TGCGGTCTCTTCCTGGCTTGTAGCGGTCGTATTTCCCTTGTTAGATGAAAACCCAGTGCCCTATTGGTTGTTCGACCCACACCATGTTGGTAAGGTTCGCCCAGTTCCACGGATTGTAGACAGCAAAAGGTGCGCTTCCATACTGCCACGAGATCGGACCATTCTCTTGCAAGAAGCCCTCGAGCGAAGAGCACCCAGGTCCTCCATTCAACCAGATCGTAATCTCGTCATCGGCATCCTTGTTCTCAGACGGGAAGAACCAAAAGTACATGGAACTGTCGTTTGCCTTGTCGCTGATCGGAAGAAGTCCGGCGTAGGATTCGCCAATGTCAAAGTTCACATCTTTGGCGTGAGGTCAGTAATGATTCATGCAGAATTCATGCGTCGGAGACTTACCTGGAATAGCTCCTGCCGTGCCGTTGACAATGAATTCTATTACTCAATGTCAGTCATGGAAAATTTCACGAGGTGCGATCCCTTACTCTTGGACGCTTCGGTATTAATGATCGACGTCGCCTCACGCTTCACCGACTGCACATTGCGCAACGGGTGTGGACGAGCAACGCGCGGTCTCGGGGCCTCTTCTCTCTTTCCAACCGACTGCATGCTCCTACCAGCAACGCTGGCAGTAAGGCCACCAATGGCCAGAAGTGAAAGAAGCTGCATGATGGGTACCGTCGTTCAGCTTGACTTGTCGCGGGTGAAGACAGAGACCACGAGGGTAATTAGGTCCTCAAGTACTTCTAGAAAAATGTGGCGCGAGCTGTAGGACCGACGTCACTCAGCACTAGATCCTAACCGTACTTCGCCCTGGCAGGGATTACGATAGTCGACAGCGCGGATAGCTTCAAGCTCGATTAGGCAGGACATATTGGAAGGCAACAAATGTGATTGTCGCCACTGGGACATCCTTAACAAGTCTTCCCGTGTCGTAGAAGTTCCTATGCAGCATCAAAAAGGCATTGATGTTTGTCGACACACCGTTGTGGTCTCGCAGATGCTGCACATGTGCACGCATGCATGCTGTCGACAGGGAGGTGGGGGAGTTCAAGACACCCGACCGATTCAGGCACACGACCATGTCGCTGGACCGAAGCTAAGCAAAGAAGCTCAACCAAGTCGTCCGCGCGCCAGTCAAGCCTCTGGAGACCCGCTCGTGGTCGCAACTGATAAACACGAGCCAGGTCATCGGGGGCAGCTGTTCAGGAGCACCCGCATAGAGAATAGCCGGCCCGAGCCAACCAGATCATGTCGACCAGACCTACGCCTACTTTAGGTTTAGAGCTTTCTACGAAATCCCTTTATCTCTCTTTTCATTAACTTTGCAATGCCACAGCTATGTAAAGCAAGACAGAATTAAGATTTTTTTTTGGACAGAAACAAGGCTTTTGCCTTCGAAGGAAGAAATCGTGACCTATACTTAAAAGGATTTGAGAGACAGAAAGGTGACTTTTAACGCGTTAAATTGAGTGAGTTAGGGAGGTGTAGATTGTTATCTATGTGGGTGCGCCTTGACAGCTGCCGTCATCGGAAATTGTCGCTTCATTTTAGACTGAACCAGCTGATTAGCCCGAACGACTCTTGTCGTGATTGCGAGGGTTTCAGAGAAGCACATTTCTCCCTCAATGATCCCGGCAGCATTCTTGTCAATCTCTGGAGTTCTGCGCCGTTGCATGCCGTGCCGCGCAATGAACTTGTCCCGTCGAGACGCCTGAAGCCGCCCGGTGGTAGCATCCCCCTCGTCCTCCTTTGCGCTCAGTCCACGGATCATCAAAACTTCATCCCAATTCGTCACATTTCGCCGCGCAGGATTTAAGCAAGGCCGAGCGCCCGCAGCCAATGCTTGGGGTGCTTGCCGCCGATAAGGTGATTGTTGCGTTAACCAAATGCGGAAGCTGGCGAGGGATCGTTTTGTGGCGCTGTGGAGACGGCAAAATGTTTGTGCATGAATCGAAGGTACAACGCGGAGACAGCAATAGTTACGAGTGTAAGTGTACAGACAGACAAGAGGTGAGGTTGCGCGAAGGTTTACGGCTGGTAATAAGGTAGCGGTAGTGGCGTACGGCGGTTGTCAGCATTTCGGATAGGCGCTATGCTGGGGTTGCTCGGTCACCAGCACAACAGTCAGCACATCACATATCAATCAGACATTCCCATGAGTTTGTAAAGAATAACATTGAGCCATGCCATCAATATGTAAGATGCATTTCCACAAAAGTTAAGCTCTTTTCCAGCCTAGACCTTGCCCGCAAGACTACGACGCCCAGTGCCGTATCCACTGCCTGTCGCAAGACGCAGCAGCTTCTCGAAATCCGGTGTACCGTGTCCAGTCACGGGATCCCACTCAACCGTCGCATTCCATGATGCATAAGGCACGCGCGGTGATTTCAGGCCCGAGTAAATACTACGGCCCACGCAGCCCGTTGAGCCTCCGTTGACGATGTCGTTGAGACCCTGGTAGCCCACTGTGTAAATCCAGGGGTTTAAGAAACCCATCTGTGACATGCCAGCAGCTTTCCGGGCGTTGTTGAGCAGTGCAACAACCGATGCGAAGACGGGCGCGGATGCACTGGTTCCTCCGACAGGCACCGTGACGCCCTTATCGACGACGCGGAATCCAAGACCTTGCGCCGCAACGTCCGGGAAACCACGGCCAGCGGCGTTGTAGAGACCATCCCACTGGCTTCCGAGGCGCTTGAGGTAGTTGGTGACAGCCTTGTCCTGGTATGCGGGCCGCTTCCAGAAGTCTGAGAATCCGCCTGAGGAGAAGTAGACGGCCCGCTCTGGCTGGACGTTGAAGGTGCCGCCAACAGATGTAACATATGGGCAAGATGCAGGAAAGATGGCCTGGAAACGAGTCGTGTTCTTGCCGTCGTTGGTCTGGCAGGCTGATCCTGGGCCGGTGTCGCCGCTGGAGAAGATCACAGATACACCGCGAGTACCAAGCTGACCGATCATATCACAAACCTTGTTAGCGTACGGGGCGCCGACAGATTGCTCGCTCTCCCCATACGACGTGGACAAAACAGATGGAAGCTTCTCGTTCTCGAGGCTAAGGAGGTATGTGAAGAACTCCATATAGGGCTCGTTCTCGTTGTCGGCTGCACTTGGCTGATCCAGATCAGGAATATGGCTACCACGACCCGCGGTGCTGAAGAAGCTGGTCTTAATGTTGGGGCCGACAAGGCCTGCCGTGTACTGAATGTCCAGGTTGGCCTCGACACTGTCATCTGTCGAGTTCTGGTCGTTCAAGCCACCTTTACAGAATTAGCATGCATGAGCGCGGGGCATGATAGCAATAGACGTACCAGCAACAAGAGTGTAAGTGAAGTTGGTTCCCGCAGCCTTCGGTGCGTATGTGGAAGTGAACTTCACAAAGTCAGAGTAACGGGCATATTGCTCAAGAAAGCCGTTGACACCAATAGACACTGGCGCACTTGCGTCGACCTCGTAGTCGGCAAACTTGTAAAGGTCTGCAAGACAGCTGGGAGTCACAGTCGTGTTGCAGGTAGCATTAACAGCCGCAGTCCTGACAGCCGATCCCTGAGTGAAGACCTGGCTACGCTCAGGCTGAAGCTGACCGAAACGAGTGATGGGGTGGATCATGTCGATATGGCGGCGAATCTCCTTGGGAACCGAGTAGCTCAATGAGCGCACCTTCTTCACGTCCCGTCGGGTCTTGCTCTGGTAAGTACTGAACTTTGCACCCATCATCTCCTCGGCGCGCTTAACAGGCGCGCGGAAGCTGATCCACTCGCCATCGTTCGCAATATCTCTCGACTCGATACCGGAAGCCTGGAGCCAGCTGAGGACGGCATCTGAAGACTCTGCGCGCGGCTTGATGAGGTCCTTGAGCTCGCTACGCTTCAAGTGCTGGCCGTAGTTCGGAGAGCTGGGAGAAGAGACGTCCATGAGCGTGCGCTCGAGCAGAGAGCTGTCGGCCTAGGAAAGATTAGCACGCGATTCGATTCGGGGCAATCTGAACGGAGGTCCATCTTCGAGACTCGAATGACACACCACCACTTCGGATCATTACGATGAACACATACGGAGCGCACCGCAACGCGGAAATGCATCTTATGGTCTGCCGAGGGCGCTCCTACGTCGCTCCAGCCCTCAGGCACGCGGCGAAGGTGCTCAACAGTCTCGCCTCCATCCTCAGGCATGACGAAGGAAGTCCTTGCGCCATTGACGCCGGCGACTGCCAGTAGACCGGCAATGAAAGCGTACTTCATGATAAAGTTTTTCTCGTAAGGTCCGGTGTCGAAGGAGTGACGAGGTAGGAATGAGCGACCTTTATACCTAACAGAGATCCCGCAGCCTTAGACCCCTCTCAGCCAAGATGTGAAAGAGTAGTGAGAGAAGCTTGTCAAACGGCGCCGCGCTCGTTATAAATCCGCAACCTGGTCGTGGACGCCCCATTAGCTCCTCGGCACACATACACATAACGATAAACAATGCTCTCCGAATCAAGAAGGCGCATGTCTGTGGCGTGTTTCACGCAGGTCCGGGATCGACATCTCAGATGCAGGGTTACAACAGGACCTGTGCAACGTGTGGAGTGAGGAGCATCCCGAGGTCATGTTAGGATTGGCCAAACCCGAGGGTCTGTCATTGGAGGGAGGTCACCACTATATTAGCCACTATTGGACGCCTTGCACGTCGATGATTTAGTGCTATGGAAGCAGCGAGGCGACGCTGTTCTTGGGTTTACCCGCGGGGGCAACGGGCTTGGCACCAGCTCGTCATGGGATCATAATCTGGATGAACAGCATCTTGTATTGTGGGTCGTCACCGTGAGAATGCTTGGTGTGGGAGTGTGGGAGCCGGATAAGGAGAATGCTTGGGACGCTTGGTGAGCTTCGGAGAATGTGCGCTGCTAGTGTTGAAATCGGGCCTCGGACATTGACGCTGAACCTCTGAGCCGCATCTTGTCTGCACGTCGGCCATGCTGCGATCAATCGATCAACCACCTGCCACATGAAACGTGCGACTTGCAGGGCAGTGACATCGCAGATTGGTGGATCACGTAATTAATGACCCTGATGGACTGAGCGACTTCAACCCTTTGTGTCGGGATCTGCACAGCTTGCTCGGCATTGTACAGCGTCATGATGGGATGAGATGAAGAAAATTGGAGTTGCGAAACACTTGACACTTATAATAGCCTGGTTCCCGGATCGGTGGAACTACAGTATCGCACGCGCCTGGAGCAAGGCACACCCGTCCGACCGCGCCCAGCCAATTACCCATCTCGGACTTCGTCTTGAACCCACTGTGCCTGGTGTTGAGCCATGTTGCCGATCGCGGGCTGTCGCACCACACTTGCAGCTACCTGCGGTGCGCCTAAACCAAGCTGAAGAGGTGTAAGGGTGTGTGAAGTCGTGTTGCTGTGGAGACGTTGTGCGAGGTCGCATTCCGCAAACGTACAACTATCTTGACTATTGCGCATCTTCTTCTACAAAACCACTGGTGTCTACGCTCTGTCGCTGGGATCAGCACGGCCCTCGAAGCCATTTTCCAAGACTGCAATCAGCTCATCAAGCTGTTTTACTACAAGGTCAGTGTGCTCGTGGTCGGCGAGGTGTTTGTTCACGTCGTTGACCAGCAGCACAGTCGCACAGCCTGCACGATGTCCAGCCGTCATATCATCGATTGAATCACCCACCATGATAAGACTGTCACCTCCATCTTCGTGCATCCATGCCTTAGCGATATGCAGGATGCCGGCAGGGTCGGGCTTGGGTGGCCTGAACTCTCGCGTGACAATCGGGCTGAATTTGGACGAGGGTAAGAAGGTTGTGAGAAGATGTTCGACTGGCGCATCGAAGTTGCGCGTACAGATACCTTTCTGTATGCCTCGCGAATCCAGGTAGTCCATAAGTTCGACGAGGCCAGCTTGTGGCTGTTGGCTCTTCATGGCCGTGCGCTCGATGTTGCGGATCTTCTCGTGCGCCTCTTCTTGCTCCGTTTCAGGGAGCGAGTAGATGTGGTCGAGGATGTCTGTGGGCTTTTCAATGTTGAGGGCCGCACTTTAGGTATGCAGTCAGCACCGGTCCCATGTTGTGCATGCCCGCGTTGCCTTACCGCATCTCTGCGAACATGTAGTTCTGCGGCAGACCTGTCTCTGTTAGGCGGGAAAAAACATTCGAAGATCGATGTGACTCACATAGCGTGCCGTCAACGTCGAATACGATGCCTTTCAGCTGTGGTCTTTTGTCTCCCTCTTGACTTTTGGCAGGATCAAGAGGCGCAAACCGCCGAGGTCGCACCGTTCGCGCCATTGAACTGAGCCTGCACCCACCCTTCAAATGCCGGGCACTGATTCTTGGGATTGAGAGAGGCGATGAAGCAAGGAGCCTGGGGTGATTAGAAGGTCGGAAGAGAATGCCAATCATCGTTGTTGAAGCGGGTGTTGGGGGCCCCTGCGATTTTCGCATCTACAAATCGTCACCATTGGCTCGTCAGGCCCGCTGTAGCGGGGCGCCCTCTCCGCGTTTTCCTCCCCATCACCTTGCGTCTCTCCTGACATCAGCCTGTACGCGAGTTCCATTGTTACCATTATGTGGCCAATACGCCCCTGCCTTACAACTATGCCGTGCTTTTTCTCATGCCCGTTCCACATAAACAGTACGACGACGCCAAAGATCATCGCGCAGCTTATGAAGCCTCATGAGTGCTATTCTAACTTCTCTCGCTGGTTTTGCTACTATGTTGCAACAGCGCTTCGCTCTGGGATGTGGTATCCAAATTCTGCTTCCTTTGGGGGCCGTACAAACATCAGAGTGTGCAAGGCGCTGGCAATCATTGCTTGATTGCATGTCTATGAGGCGACACTCTGTTCATCGAACCATCCCCAACCTTGGATCAGTATGCTCATTTCGAAATTATTGCTAGTTCTTTCGACAGGCTGCGCACAGCCTTCAAATGGAGCAGAGATAGAAGTGCCGGCCGCGATTTCGAACCGCACTGGAGACGCATACTGCTGTGATCATGCCCAGCCAGCATCGAGTACGAATGACCAGGACAGTACCGAGACCGCCAGCTACGTCCAGCCTGCAAGTGTTCTCCAACTTGACTTTATGTTGCTCCTAAGTTTTGGCCTGTACTGCCCCTGTCACGACTGGGTCGTTTCTACTCCCCATTTTCCGCCGCGTGAATGCCCTCAGAACAGTGTTACTTACACTGCTAGTCACTGCCTCGCTTCCACTGATGACCATGATAGCGAAAATTCTTGCGCCTGAGTTCCGAGCTGCTTTACGAATCGTTGGTCGCATTGTGGAGCTTGGCCTGTCCTGTCTGAGGCGCTGATCCCGGGTCGTGATTGTCAACCACTCTTCTGTTTGTTGTCTCAGCAAGTTCTTTGACAAGCTCTCACCTCTCGAGTATCACAAACAGCTTGGTCCATCAGGTTCCTCACCTTGATCATTAACACGCTGCTCTCAGACAAGAGACTAAGTAAAACTTTCTTTTTCTCCTCATTGTCGCTCCGCAAACGCCCTTCACCACGCACTCGTCTTGTGGCTCTGCAAGAATAACATGGCATGTGTTGAAGAGAAACTGGAGCTGCGTAGGCCTTGTTTTACTTCTCAATTTTTCAAACAATGTGACAACCGAACCAGTCCAATCACTTGCGTGTTATCCTAATCAACGTACAGCCTGGTCCTTCTCAGGACTAAGATCTCCGCACCTCTCACGAGGCTAACTGATCTCAAAGCTAGTGGAGTCGCCGCTCCGCCTGATTACCTCAGTGAACCTGCACCTGTGTCGAGGTGTCTCTTCCTTCCATCAACCCATCAAACCATCCGACACTGTCCTGTTCATCTGTTGAACATGACAGGTATCGATAAAGCCGACGCGAATGCTTGCGCCATCATCGCCGACAGGATTGCGCCTCGCACGTTCACACGAGAAGCGCGTAGGAGACATGACGGACTCAAACTGCAGCGAGTGGAGCAGTATCGAAAACAGATTCTCGCAAGACTGCGAGAAGCTTGCCCAACCGACGAAATTGCCAATGAAGCCGTAACCAGGTTTCGCGATTCTGGCCGAGCATTCTGCAACACACGCAGGCAGTGGCCATAGTGATTGGAGGCCCAGGATGTAAGTGACGAGGACGATTATGGTCTGCGAGACGCATGGCGGTCGCTGCTCAATGACGATGCCGCCTACGGTGGCAGATTCGTTAGATGCCCCGAACAGCTTGCGGCGGAGCCCTCGATGTTGCAAGGTCTATTCCATCCATTGCTTATCGCTTTGTTAGCATATCGCATGGGTGGTGCAGTCAACGCGGTCTTGACCACACAAGCACGCCAATGGAAGCTCCCTGAGCAGTCACAGTCGGAAGACGGACTGGAAAATTTTCATGTTGAGGGCAATGAAGACGATGTCTTCAGCGGTCACCGAATGGCGCTGCTTTGGGAAGAACGAGATGGCAAGACTAGAGGCATTTCCGGCACCCATCACGTATTCCGCGGTTCCGAAGGCCTTCAATCACATGCACTCCAGACCATTGGTCACTTGGATGAAGCCGAAGCTGTATTGCCGATGACCATGATATACGACTCCAAGAACGCGACTATCATGTACCAGTGCTCGGAGAAAGATGCCGTGCGCCACGGCATTAGCCTGGACTTCTCTCTAGTGGCACCCGACGATGAAGTCAATCTTTTGTCTAATCGTTCCGAAGTGGTACATTTGGAACCTACGCTGGGTGGATTGCTCCTCGATTTCCCAACATCGAGGTACTACCATTACTTCCACAAGCTACTGTTCGAGGACGATTCAGTTCATGCAATCGTAAGAAAGCTGTGCTGCCTCAAGGTGTCTGAATCCACGGGTAGTGCATCGCAGAACGAAGCCACGCTACTGAGGCGTTGTGAGCTTTATAACCAAGAGAACACAGTTATGATCCCGCCGGGATATTCTCCACCTGGCCGACGACGTAAGCATATCGCGCGGGATTTACCCCTCAGCACTATACCGCAGCGCTTTGATCCTGAAGGCGCGGCGAGACGTTCATCTCACTCTGGGCGCAGACATTATACCCCAGGACGCCATCGAGGACAATCGCAAATGTGCACGCAAATACATCCGAAACATGTCAGGTGTGGAAGTAGAGAAGCGACTCGAAAGATACGCACAGGATCTCAGCAACACGTTCCATTCTTATGGAGATCTGATTCCAACCAAAATTCTACAATCCATGGCAACAACGATCGAGTTAGGCGCTGTCGAAGCTACCGCTAATGGCTTCATCGACGAGACCTGTGTCTTGATCTCCCTTCCCTCCTTTGTTGTAGCCCTCGGCCAAGCTTTGAACGGGCCTAAAGCAGCCCAAATGGAATCGACTCCGCAAATCGACGGGCTCGATCTCCAGATATACCGAACAAGGTGTCTTTATTTGTTCTGGTGCGCGGACTGGTTGCTTGAATACCTCAGGACAGCGAAGCAGGGATTCTGCCCGATGGAGGTCGAGGCTGTATACATCGCATACGTACGGAGGAACCTCAAGCTCATGGCGTCGAAGTTGCTGAGAAACTGGGTGGCCTGGGGCATGTTTGTGGAGACAATCTCGGGGGCGTAAGGGTTAGCACAGCCAAGACCTGGGGTACATGGTACGCACGCTCTTGAGCTCTACTAGTAGCCGAAGCTAGGGGCAGTTGACAGGCTCACCTTACATCAAATGGAGCAAGCATTGCCATCTATTCGGACGTTCTTCGTCGTATTTGATTGTTTCGAAGCGGTTCACTCAAAATGCGACAGATCTAAATCTGCCGGTCGAATACCAACAGCCTCTCCGTGCGCAGAGACGTGAACATGTACGAATACTGCCGGTTTCTTACCTTGTCAGTTCCGCTGAAAGCGCGAAAAGTCTATGCTGGGCTAGCTATGTAGCTAGTCGATAATAATCACTGCAGTCAACTCCATGCCATTCGTGGAAACTACTTGATGAGCTCGAATCCACGCGACATAAAATAGAATCACGCGGAGATACGTTTTGGGTAGTCGCGACGATGGTCGTGGTGTTGAGCGACTCGATTAATCTGCACGGAGCCTTGCCCGGCATCACTCCAGACCTCTTCGGTCAACCCCTCTTGTCATGCAAGTACATTCCATCAATCAGAGACGTTGCACCATCTGCATCCTGTTTCGCGTCCGAGCGCCATGTTTTCTAGAAATGTGCGATTGATCCACCAAACAGATGGGATTGTGGCGTCCGCACGCGCGTTCGTTTCACCATGCGCCTCCCGAAATTTGACAGGGCAGGGATGCTCCCGTTCGCGCATCGACGGGCGGCACGCGATCCTGCTGCAAAACCTGCGTGATAAGCGAGCTTAATGGCTGGATGCTATTATGAAAGTTTGATACGATGACATCTGCTTTCTTTAGTTTGAAGAGGCAAAAGCCGATGGCGCGATGGCAAATCTCAATGATGATAGCGGGATAGAACCGTCTTAGAACATCTAGAGGCACACTTTGCAGAATGATCATACTCCATGTTAACTGTCGTTCGGCGTCACTGCATTAGCCCCATCATCTCCACACCCACCCTTAATCTAGAAGAACCCAAGCCTTGCCCAGAACGACAAGCTTCGGAAGAAATTCACAATGCCCACGACTCTGGTTTACGACTCAAGCCGGTAATACCGGAGGCGCTTTCAACTGTATAAGTATAACGATGAGATAGTGGCTTTGATGATGCATCAAGCGTTCAGTTCATTCTTTACTACCAGCTCCTTCATTTTTGCAGTCTCTCTAATTTCTATCACTCAACATCATGGTCGCCATGCAGGTCACATCTCTTCTTCTCAGCGCTGGTGCGCTCGCGTACGCAGCACCTTCGAGCCTTGATGCTCGTGCGGGTTGCACGTTTTCTGATGCGGCTGCTCTCGCCAGTGGCAAAGCATCTTGCTCAGCCATTATCATCAAAGACATGACAGTTCCAGCGGGCACGACCCTTGACTTGACCAAGCTCAAGGACGGTACAACAGTGAGTGCTGATATGGATTGCCAGTGTCCCTTACTAATATCCGTAGGTCACCTTCCAGGGAACGACTACCTTTGGCTACAAGGAGTGGGAAGGCCCGTTGATCTCAGTCTCTGGCAACAGCATCACTGTTACCGGAGCTACTGGCCATCTCATTGACGCTGCTGGTGCCAAGTGGTGGGACGGAAAGGGCAGCAATGGAGGCAAGACTAAGCCCAAGGTAAGCATATATTTTATGTTGTTCCAAGAGTATACACTAAGATAGCAGTTCTTCTTTGCACACTCCCTAACATCCTCTCGCATCACCAACCTCAACATCAAGAACACTCCTGTTCAAGGCTTCTCCATCAACCAAGCCACCAGCATCACCCTCGACCATATCACCATCGACAACTCTGCGGGTGACGTAGCGAATGGCGGCCACAACACCGACGCCTTCGACGTCGGTAGCTCGACTGGCGTCACCATCTCCAACGCCAACATCAAGAACCAGGACGACTGTCTCGCAATCAATTCCGGTTCGGATATCACCTTTACTGGTGGCATCTGCAGTGGAGGTCACGGTATCTCGATTGGCTCCGTAGGCGGCCGCTCCAACAACATCGTCAAGAACGTAAACATCCTCAATTCTAGCATCTCCAACTCGGACAACGGCGTGCGCATCAAGACCGTCTACGGTGCAACTGGGTCTGTCAGCGGCATCACCTACAAGAACATTAAGCTCTCGAACATCGCAAAATACGGCATTGTGGTTGAGCAGGATTACCAGAACGGTAGCCCGACTGGCACACCTACTGCTGGTGTGCCGATCACCGGTTTGACGATCCAGGATGTCACGGGAACTGTTGCGGCGAAGGGCACGAATGTGTACATTCTTTGTGCTAAGGGTGCTTGCTCGGGCTGGACATGGGCTGGCAACAGCATTACTGGTGGTCAGAAGAGCTCTAAGTGCTTGAATGTCCCTGCTGGTGCTTCTTGCTAAGTGCCTCAATCTTGAGGGGTTGCTTTGTTTGGGCATGCCCATCAGACAGGGTAATGTTCGTGGCAAGTGTGTCGCACGCTTGTCGTTCAATTCTTGTAAATCTTAATTTAGTATATATTTCCTCAATGTCACTGACGGATCTTTGACGTTTCGATTCAGCTTGCTCACCAATACAGAAACCAATATGGTACGGGCCGCCCACTGCACCCACATACAAGAACTGCGTTTCCCCAATTTGCGACGCAACTTCTAGCAGCAAAGCCCTCCCTTCCATGAAAATGTTCGTGTGAGCCATTATGTGAACGAAATATTTCGTTTGGCCTCTTTCACCATGTTGTCATAATAGGGCGCACGTGATACAGCGATGTACGTATCTGACAACCGACGCTCCCATCTTCGACAACGCACCAAATCAACTCGATGTACGATTTTGCGACTCCTCTCTCCGATCGTTGTGAGCCTCAAAGTATGGACAAGAGCAATATGGCCACTGAAGGGAGCTATACGGGCAAGCTGGCGCTCGCAACACTTGCCGCAGATCTGGGTGTCACCGCTGGCGTACTTAAGGTCGTGCTCGAGGAAGCCTTTGATATCATGCAAGACACCAATACCGGTGCACCTGGGCTCTTCCTCCACATGGCATTGGCTCGGAGAGGCTATCAAGTCGATGGACAAGTCTTGTACACCAAGATCAGCCAGTTCCGCAACATCTTTGCACGATCGTTGAGCGACGCACCAGGTCAGAATTGAAACTCACCATCACCGTGTATAGCCGCTGACATTTTAGCTCGTTTACCTTATTCTCAACACTCGATCGTTCAAACGAGCCCGAACTCTTACCAGGCGATGAGTGCAGCCACTGTGCGACCGTCGATACCGCAGCCGCAGCACACGCAAGCTGCCATGACCTGGCGCACCGACTCTCATCCGCAGACATTGAGTGATGCGCCCTCGATGGCCTCGCATTATTCTTTTGGTGCTTTCCATCATCAGCCCGTATATAATCAACAACAGCCCACGTATATTCACCAGCAGGCCATGCAAACACACCATCAGCCCGCATATACCCATGGCCGCACTTACCAACATCAACAACATTCAGACTGGGATCAACAGCTATGTTATGCGAGCCAGGAGGATTCTGAAAAACAGTGGCGTTGAAGCTTAGCTTCGCGGTCAGCTGTTGGCTGTGAAGTCCAGGGGAATGGGCGCGCAGCGAGCTTACTACAGTCTCTTGACACGGTGTAGACTTATTATGAATCTTCATAATGCCAACTACATGATTCTCTCACACTCTGTCTTTAATACCTTCCCAGATGGCATGTCATCAAAGTGCTTCTCCCCGTTCGCTATCCTCAGTCACACATGTTAATACCACCTCCTGAGTATCTCTCATGCTCTATTTGCGTGGTCACCAAGTGAGCTGGTGTCAATAATCAGACCTATAACAAAGGCCACGAACACCCTCTCTGCTTGTTCGCTGACTACCAGAACTGTCGAGGTGAATCCGTCTTTGTGCGGGGCAGCCAGTCGTTTGTCCTTCTGCCCTTCACACATGGTCGACTTATGTCCGTCACCGTGCCTCCTAGCAATCCGCCTTTACCTCGTGTCTCTCCAGGGAACATATAATCCACGCCACCCCCACTACGATCTCTCTTCGTCCAGCTAGTACAGCCGACCTAGAAGAGCAATTAACCCAGTTGATAATCTTCCAGGATGTCCAACTACGATTTTCCGGTGAGCAACGTGTGCCTCTTCGATGTTGCTTGAACATGTCTAATACCAATCTTCAGGAACCTTTTGAGGACTCCTATAGCCGCTACATGGCTAATCTTGCGCGAGTCCATGCACAGCATCCAAGTACGCAACGAACACAATTTACTCGGGCAATTATACTAAGTCTTCGGTAGATGAAGTCCAGGGCAACTCGATGGCTCCAGCTCAGCCCGGACGCGTTCAATGCCCTGATTCCAGTAAGCCCGCATCCCCCATAACGATTGAGTAACATCCCGCTAATGAATCACCTTCCAGACTCCCCTCCTCAAGCTCAGCACGCTCAGCCAGGCGGCTCCGGCTCCACCGACCCTCCTCGCCAGCTTCAAGTCCAGCAATCTGTATCAGGCGGATTCGGCTACGCCCAGCCTTCCCCCCAAGCCCAGCAAGGCGGCTACAGCCAGCGCTACTCCAACTCTCCGTCCCCATCTCCCGACTTCTCGCCTCCGACTCCCTCCGCCCCGTCTTCGCGAACTTCTCGCCCACCCAGGGGCGACCGCAGCCGACCCCGAGAAATCATTCACCTGCATCCCGGGTTCACTTGGAACCGCGAGAGCCTAGCGCTACTCTGCAAGAGCAAGGAGGTTGGCAAGAAGGGCTTTGGACTGATTGCCAACTCGGGCAAGTTTCCGGGCAAGACGGAGAAGGAGCTGCAGGATACATGGGCGACGCGTAAGATGGAGGCGAAGGAGTACTATCATGATGTGTATCAGAAGCCGCGCCAGCGCTGAAGAGCGGAAGGAGGGGTTATGTATGGGGCTGGAGAGATTTGAGGGTTTGGAGAAGGGGATACGGGAGGGGATTGGGCTTTGCATGTGGACTGGATAGATTGTGATACGGCTAGATGGATGGCTGAGATACAATGAATCACACCAAGCTTGTCTCATATAATGCTTCAACGGTACTACGCTTCGTTAGTCCTTTGCCACAGATGTCATACATGTGTATTGACATACCTTGACCCAACCCATGTCCGCCGCCTTCTCGCGGAACGCTTGACGGCTCATATTAAGCCCGTACTTGCGAATGAGACCCGACTTCTTTTTTTCGCCGTTTACGATACTTCATTCCAGTTAGCAATGCTGTATCCAAGTTGTGCATGCCACTACAAACCAGCTGCGCGAGCCTTTGCCATAGGTGCGTGGGCGGGAGTAGTACACCGCGTCATGCGACATCGTGATGATAGGATTGGGCGAATTTGTTGTTAATTCGTTAGAGATGAAGAAGGTCGTCAAAATTAAGGTTGGGAGAATTCGAACGATGTGTGGCAGCACCCTGATGGCCGTCGCATAGCGGTCCAACCAACGTTTTGCCATCGCGCCATCAAGGTACTGCTGAGCGCGACGCAATGCGATGCGATGCCATCGGCAGGCCCAAGACGAGCAGATCCTTGTTGCGTGTGCGATACGAGTTAACGTGGGTTGCGACATCATGGTTGAAGATGGACTTGATTCCCTACGCTTGAACGCCAACGCTTCCCTGTACATATGTATAATACAAATTGCGCCCCATGCGCAGAATCATCAAATCGCTCTCGTAATCGCGTACCCCGTAAACCCCGGAAGCATCGTCTCGTCTCAATATTTCTTTCCATCAGAATGCCCCATTGACCCAGGGTGCCGTTCTGTCTTACTAATAATGTACCAGGCGTGGATGATGCCAGGAATCCAGCCCAAACAGCACAGAAGAATGTTGATGAAAAGGTCTGCACTGCATCCTCGTCGTATTGCAACCGGGAGGAATGGTAGCCATATTGCGAGGAAGTAGAGGAGAATAGTGCCCTGCGAATTTGATGAGTAGATGCGCTGGTTATGAGGTACCAAGACTTCATACTGTGCTTGATGGCATGGTATCGTTGTATGCAGTGTCGATTGATGTGGAAGATGTTGTTGAAGTTGCCCTGCGATATGTCTATGGTGCGTAGTCGATGTAAATAACAAACATATATGCATTCATGAGGAGTTCCCCAAGCTTATATGTCGCATCGCGCCCTCGCTGGGCACATTCGGGTAGGTGACGTTGCTCGAAACTAACTTTCTGGGCTCGGCTGCTTTCCGGTGGTTCCTATTCGCGTCTTTGCGCAGCAAAGCCGTGTGTTCCGTACGCCCAGCTTCACTTCATTCGACAGTCTGTCAACAATTTTGCTAATCGTGGCGCACGACGAGCATTGTCACGGACGTGGCGCAGCAGTGACGATGCACGTTTGTTGAGGCTGAGCGGAGTGGTGCAGCTGTGGTGAAGACGGGTTGACGGCACGAGGCAATGCCGAGCCATCCGAACGATCAAGATTGCGCTGACTGGTCATCTGTGGTTGCGAATTGCGCAACTAATGGCTTCCAGACATTCTCCTTCACATCAAAGTAGACGTACGCTGCGCCGAGCAGCAAGCTCAGTGTGTGAACCTGTACCTGTCAGCGTCAAACTTCGCTCAAGAAACGGATGCTCTCACAATAAAATCTGGCCGACTGCCACCTCCTTTCGGTGCCTTAATTTCAGAGACCAGCTGCCAGGCAACATATAGCACTCCACAATATTTTGCATCCATGCGGAATACCAAAAAGTTGGGCGTCCACACTTTCTCGTCGGGATACGCCATGCAAAATGCTCCAAGCGCAGCTGCAATAGCTCCACTCGCACCCATGTTGAGTGGTATACCTCTCACAGTGGTCCAGCGAAATACGAAGTGTTGCAGGAATGTGGTGATCAGGGGAATGGTAATGAGAAAGGTTGCGGCATGGAATGAGTCGTTGTCGAAGTAATGCACCACGCCAGGCAAGAACCAGCATAATCCGAAGAAGTTGTTGCCCAGATGAGCCCAATTGCTGTGTATCAACGGGTATGTAAACGCCGTATACCTCTTCTCGCCAGTAATGTGGATAAGTCTCTCCCATATCGGCAGCGGCGATTTTCTGAGAAAGTGCATCGCAACGCAGAGGACTGCGATGCCAATCGTGAGCTTGTCGAGCTCGGCCCAACCAGCCTTGACACCTTCTATCACAACGGTCGGCGTCATGTACCAGGTCTGGGGTATTTGCGCGCGCTCTGAAGGCGCAGACTCCTCAGTCGACTGCGAACCAAACTTTGTGTCCAGGAATGCGAAGACGCCATAGGTGCCAGCAACGGCAAACACAGTCCAAACGCCGGGCCAGAAGATTTTACGTCGATTCTTGACAATCCGGCGTTGTATCGCCAACTCCTCCTCATCAATCTCAACGGTCTTCGTTCCATCTTCCTTGGGTACAATTTGCGCCTCCACGACCGGTGCCGGATGTTCAATTTTTGGTGCCACAACCTTGGCTTCGATAGGGGCTTCCCTCTTGAGTTTGTTCACATGGTTCAACAAAGAAGCAGCCTTCTTAGATGTGGAGAGATCAGGCTGCAGTTTCCGTGTGTATGGTTCAGCATTGCGGCGAACTGTAGGCTTGATAGGTTTTGAGCCCTTGGGTAGTTTCTGTGGTCGACTCGATCGCGATGCAAAGCGTGCATGTGCGAACTTTTGTAGCGACCTAGCGTTCGAAATTTGAGAATCTGCTCGTATCCATCCTCCCGTTTGCATGAAACATCTTGTGATTGGTAGCTGGGGACAAAGTAGGAAAGCCATGGTGAAGTAATAGTGGAAAGGCTCCTCAAGATCACTACTCCCGCTAAAATCGAAATCTTGACATCGCAATCGATCCAAGGATCCCAGAGGTAATTTAATGTCGGCTCTTCTCGATAGAGTTCGAAGGTGTTTACGCGTTGCATGGAAACTTTAGCATCAAGGTTGAGATTTTAGCGAGACACGCCAAGTCACGTGACACAACCAGACCAATCAGGTTAGATATGGTCTCCTGTTTGCGATCAAGGACGGAACAATTGTCAATTATAGCTAATTCAGTATTAATTACAGCTGAAGAGTAGGAGAAGTCTTGGTAAGTAGTCTTTACCACGAGTGCATAAGCGGAATGTATCTGGTTACGCCTACCATGGTACGCTCAATAAGATTCACGCACTAGTCAAGCATGCCTACCTAGGTATATAAACCTGTCAAAATTGTTGTCTGCGCGTGTAACCGGGTAAAATGCTTTCACATACTCTAATAACACAGCTTGAGGATTTCCCAACCCTTCCCCACAATGTCCACCTACTACCTCTTCAAACTAACGCCCACTCTCTCCTCCCCCTCCCAGATCCGCGCCCTATCCGACCTCACCAACGACCCAGAAATCATGACCGACGACGACAACCCCAACATCCGCTTCGTCATCATCAACACCCAAACTCGCACCGACAGTGCCACTCACCTCAGTCCTGGCAAGGGGCTGTTTATTCCACTCCCGACACCTGCTGCCAAGGAACTGAGTGACGATAAAGTGCTCGGTAATCGAGAGATGACTGCGCCTGGACAGAATGAGTACCCAGTCACGTATTTCTTCTACGGGACGTTGGGTGAGCCGGAGAAGTTAGGGGGCGTCATTGGCCTTGGAGAAGTTCCAGTGCTTGCGAGAGCGAGTGTTAAAGGTGGGAAGATCAAGACATGGGGCGGCAAGTATCGAGCGCTGGTTGATGGAAGTGAAGAAGATGTGGTTGAAGGTGCGATGTATATTGTCACAGACAAGGCAGAAGAAGATGCGCTACGGCATTACGAGGGCGCGAGCTATGAGGTGGTTAGATGCGAGATTCACACAGAGAGTGGGGAGAAAAAGCAGGGGTTGACGTTTCGGTGGTGTGGGCAAGAGGACCTTGGAGACGTGGTATGAGAGGGGGTATCATTTACAATCTGACTACAAGCGCGCAGCTTTTCCTCGAACATAGCCTTGTGGCCACCATACCATGGGGTACATCCTCACTCCGACCGCCTGATTGCCAGTTGCCCTCTCGCCGTTTGCATCGCACTCACCCTTGCCGACCACGAACTCTTTCTCCGGCGCCACGCTGACGTGCTCAAATCCGCACTTTTCATACACTCTTGCGGCACCCTTGTTGCTCGCTTCCAGATACATAGGAAGACCCTTCTTCTGCGCGATGACCTGGTGTTCTTTGATAATCGCCGCTGCCAATCCTTTGCCACGATGTTGAGTCCCAGTGCCAATGATGAGCAGATAGTAGTACGGCTCGTTCTCCAGGAAAACGGACTTCTTCACTTGCTCGGCATTAGAGGGGTATTCGACGAGAATCTTCTTGAAAAAGCTCAAACCAGCTCGCCAAACGAGTTTTAATGCCCCTTGCCGTATCAGCTTGATCCAACCGCGGAGCCCGAAGTTGGTGGCTGCTTTGCCTGGTTGCATGACGACTGCTGCTGATTGAAATAGTGGTTCAGGGCTCTCTCCAACGCTGGGGTCGAAGGCACCGGACTCATAGAATGTGGCGTTGTTTGATTCACCAATCATCAGCATCAACTCTAGGACCTTCTCAAGGCTCTTTTGTCTTGATGCTTTGGGAACCTTGTTCAGGTAATAGGTAAAGTTGGGATCGGCCTCGAAAGCCTCGACAAGAACGGGTAGGGCACGTGGCGCGTAGAGATTCCCTGCCGCGGATGTTACACGTGCTCGTGGTGTAGGTGCAGATTCTGTGGGCTCTTTGGTGGCGTGGGAAGACATGTTTGATGTTTGGTCAAGTCGTCGATGAGAGTTAGGCCGATGATTGCTGGAGGAGTCGAAGTAGTCCTTTGAACTCTGTATATATGCGAGTTGCGTAGTCGGCCCTTTTGCTGCTCATCTAGGAAATGCGCGATACGTGCTTGTTGCTGTGGCGGAGTACGCAATGCGGCTTTCAAGAGAACATGTGGATGCCGTGGTACGACTAGCCAAAAGCTAGTGCGATTATTGGTAGCCTTGCGAGATATGACACGTGCAGGAGGCAGGTTTCCAGGATGAGGAGTGCTAGGGAAGCTCGGGACAAGGAACGCCAAGAGTTCCGTGGGGAATTCGGACTCCAGAGATGCCTCGATGGACAGCTTTCCCTGTAAAAGAGAATCAGTCTGACTTGGACGATTGGCCGTGTCGAGAGGCACATAGCGTCTGATGTCTCCGAGGCAATTGAGTGGAACATGTCAACCCATTACTCTCTGCCAGGCGCATTCTGTCTCCGATATCGACCGTGGCAGATTCTCCTGCGTACGGTCTTGTCTGTATGGTCATCGGGCGTGATTTTGTGCGTTAGCGATCTCTGGCAGGATTTAAATGTCAGCTCTCCAATGTGTTCTCGCCAGATCAGTCATGCACCGCAATTCAAGAAGACCAAGTTCCAAAGCTCTCAATTCCTCGTGCAATGCCATTCAATTGTCTATGAGCACATATCCACTATTTGTACATTGTCCCTTCTTTTCCTCGGAGGCATCGCTCACAACTTGCTGATGAAGAGACGGGCGGCGAAGAGACGCACGCGCTGGGGCAGAATGTACTTGGAGAATATGTAGATGAGCGATGGCAGCAGGATGAAGGCCACGGTGGTCTCGTTGACGAAGAAGAAGGGGATCAGCTGGGGCATGGCCGACTTGAGGACCGTCTGTCGCATATCGTTAGTGGTCCCCGTATGTAGGCCAATGTATGTCTCCTCTCACCATCTGCTGGGGCCCGACTTCGGTCTTCTTGCTCTGGCTGGCGACGAGAGCAGGGCGTGCCATGGCCGAGGGGCGGGCAGCAGCGGGCGCGCGGAAAGCGGCCCTCGCGAAGGGGCGGAGGAAGCGGGCGTTCATGATGGGCTATCTGGTGTTGCGGGTCAGCGCGCGGCTGCGGAGGTCCAATGGGCGGCGTGAAGCTTTTCGCGGGGGGGGGGGTTGACGTACCGGACGAGGTTTGCGAGGCCCGTGGAGATGAGTGGTGATGGTGTTGCGGGTGGTAGCGACTGTATCGTGATGCTGCTGGTGTCGGCAAAAGCTCGAAAGCTGCGCCCGGAACTTGCCGCCTGGGCCTTGGCGTACCAAGTAGAAACACTTCTCTCTATTTGACCTTCACGATATCCGCCGACGACCACTTCTGCTACTAGCTATCGTCGCTACAATGGATAACCTGTTTCTCTGATATGGTGTCGCTCGGCGCCTCGTCCAACATCACCCTGAGCATGTTGCCCCGCTGAAGTTAAATGGCATCCCGTCGAGGTTCCACGCGACTATGTCAACACCGTGCTGGTCATCCTTGCTTCCGACCCTCATAGTAGAGTCAATGCCTGCAGCCTGCTTGTGGTCGCATATGCCAGAAACAAGCAACAAGCTGGCGTCTAGGACGCGTACCGATCACGATCGCCATTCTAACAGAGGGGCACCACCACTAGCTCCCTTTGAGCCGCATCTCTCATAGCTAGGTATATACAATACAGTGCCCATCAATATATGTCGATTGCGTCTCATGGGTCCGTGCTATCTACCTGAATTCCTAGCCATCTAAAGACTCACTCAGTAATTCCACCACTCACAGCTTTGTCAGCGCCCATCTAGCTCTACATCATGGCGAACACACGAATCACGGTCATTGGAGTATACATATATACCTCTCACCAGCAATTCATAGCTTGCTAACAAATCACAGAACTGGGAACTTTGTATCGCCATCGTAAACGCCCTCGTGCCCATTACGTTCCACCGAGAAAACCTCAAATGCCAGGTTTCCGTCCTAACATACCCTTCGCAAACGCTCGGCCTCCCTCCTCATGTCTCGCCATATGCCGTAGATCACAAGACCTCTGACTTCTCGCCCAAGTCGTTGAAAGAGGCCTTCGAAGGCCAAGACCTCGTCATCAGCACCATGTCTGGTGGCGACTTTGAGCTACAGATCTCCATCATAGATGCTCTGGTTGCTGCAGGTGTCAAGCGATTTATTCCACACGAGTTTGGGCACGACACTTTGAGCCAGGGCATTCAAGCGCGAATACCAAAATATGCGGGCCGGGCAAAAGTGCTGGAGCATCTTCAGAACAACATCTCCCCAGCCACCCCGGGCTTTGACTGGATTGGCATCGCCACTGGCTACATTCTAGACGCGAGTCTGATCCGCGGCGATATGGGCTTCGATATGAAATGGCATAGTGCGACCATCCATGGTATCGGTACTGAACCTTTTGCCGCCTCCAGTCTCGAAAGAGTCGGACAAGTAGTGGTCCAAGTGGTCCAACATTGGAGTGACATCAACAGTCACTACATTTACGCTGCAGGAATCATCACATCAGCCAACGAGGTCCTGAGGGCCGCCGAACGGGCTACTGGTCAAGAGTGGACTGTTGGAAACCACGACGTACAAGACGGTGTGAGAGAAGGCATGTCCAGAATCCAACGTGGCTTCCCAGATGCTGGTCTGGCTTTGCTGGAAAGGAGCATTCTATACGACGAAGAGTTAAATGCATCGGCACCGTTCCAGTCACAAAGCTCAAACGGCGTTTTGCAATTGCAACCAGAGTCGGTCGATACCATCGTCCAGACAGCTTACCACGATCTTCAAGAGCATGGCAAGCCAGGCTGTGGATGTTCATCGTAGCGCATAATGACTGAAACCGCAAGTCCTTCAAACATTGACCTTTTGCAACTCCAGGCGTCCGTACGATCTTATATCCATCTCGCTGCTTTCTTAGACCACCGATAGCCGCGCGGATACGCCACCCTCACCATCCATGAAGCAATCTGCCAAGATATGCACTTCAGCCTCAATCACGCCCTTGTCGAGTGTGTATGCAATATTCTATGGTGTGCATATCTGCACGGCAGATCATGTTCGGGCTATCTGGCACCTTCTCCCCGCCTTAGGCTCTCGCTCAAAGCCGAGATTACTTAATGCGCAAACTCCATGTGTTCGCGAGTTCGCTTTCGAAACCCTCTCCGCATTCGTGTACGACGTGTTGCGACAGGACGAAAACGCGTGTTCAGCCACTTATTCAGCCGCATGACAGCATGTGCGTAGCCGCGGTATATCTCTGCGCGCGCTTTATACCGCGGCAGGCAAGACGTGTAAGTCATGCTTGGTCAGCATGGTAGCTTTACCATGGGAATTCGTATAACCCTTCCTAAAGTAAAACGACAATGACATGTCACATCTTCCCCTCCACCATTCGGACCGTGACACTCTGCACAAACACACCGCTTCAGCTCTCCGCGTCATCAGCCTCACCACATCGTGACTCTTCTCCACCTCTCCACCTCTCCACCTTTGCGTCACCTGTTCGGAGATCCGCACAGCCTTGCTGTACTGTAACAGCCCTACCGACCATTCGGCGGTTATTTGTGGCTCGTGCGCTCCGCGCTTTTCTCTGCGACGCAGTCACGTTTCAAGGGTGGCCCTCGTCTGGTATCAGAACTCGTGCGCCCCCAGCTGTGAGGCGTTTGACGGCTGTCTTGGACCTGTTTCCTGGGTCGAGTTTTGGGCGCGTTGCTAAGGAAGGCACTGTGAAGTAGGCGGTAAGCGGAAGTCAGCGCCGAATGTTCTCATCGTTGGTAGAATTCTTGATTGATTGGAGGATTGTTAATGCTGTGTAGAGCAAAAAACATGGTCTATATACTAGTAACGCAGAGGAAATGAAAAAAAAAAAGCTGGAGTCTTTCTACCTAACGGGCAAAGTGCATGGGGGGAATCGAGCGCGCTGCAATGCGTCCTGTACCTATACTATACTAATGCTGGAAGTCGTGACTTCGTCATGTCGCACAGCTGATAAGCCAGCGTAGAGGAAACATGTGTGTGAGATGTAGTCGATGTGGAACGCTGGAAAAAGCACAAGAAAAGATTGCATCGCGCGACGGCGAATGAGTGACACAAGGAAACTTGGGGAGATGATTGTCCAAAGCACGAGCAGTAATTTTTTTCCCGCAAACCGCGGTAACCTTGCAATGCAACCAAGAATGCCGCATACGCCGATTCATGCTCAGTGCAGGAAGTGGTACCCGTGAAGGAAGGAGAGGGGTCGTACGATGGCGCCTTGTGATCAGTCAAACGTCTGCGCATAGTCGCATAACCGTGTCGTAGGCTACGTCATATCATGCTGGCGATGGAATTGAGTGTGGTTGTCGTCGTCCGTATGCCAACCAGTTCTGGTTCACTGACTTGATGTGCAAGAACTCGCGAGTACGATTGGGGATTGCCCGAGAAACCCTGCAGACTTTGGAGAGGCGTTGTAAACATGCCGATGACAGGTTCTTGCTGTGTTGATGGTGGCTCACGGTAGTCGGGAAACGAGGCTTGTGTTGGGGTACGGTGAGAATGCATGTTTGGCGTCCCTGGATTTGGAGTTGGGTATGCTGTATTACTTGCAAAGTTGGAGGCGTTATTCAGTTGCGGTGTTGATGTGGGGGTCGAGGTCGGCAAGGGAAGCGACGACGAAGCCGTCGGCATGCCGAAGCTTTGCAGAGATGCACTGCCCGTGATCGGTGTAGGTGTGGAATGCCGGTGAACGACTGTGTCTTCTTGCTTGATCTGGTATGAGGACGAATTGGCGGATGCAGAGGATGCTGCGCGCACTCGCCCAGCTTGCGTTTCACGACGTCTTTTAGGTCCGTCCTTAACTTTGGGATGTGTATGGCACTGTGTTTATTGTTAGCTTGCTCGAGCTTTGTGTTACATCGGAGGTAGAGTCCGGTGCCAATAACGATCAATAAAGATTGGGCCTCACAAGGCTGCTCGACTGGAATGCGCTGGGGAGGAAATGTAACCCACCTTGTATGCGTGTCTGAACCACGTCGTGCCTTTCTTCTTGCTGCTGACCAGTGCTATCCATTCACCGCAGCTTCCACAAAGTCCTTCCCAGACATCGAGGTTGCCTTCGGTCCGGCGTGTGTCTTGCGGGCCCTGGAATGCGGCCCCAGTAGCAGCACTAACACCATGCGTAAACGACTTGTCGTACCAGAAGGCACTGTTCTTCAATACTAGCCAACGTCCGGGCTTGCATAGTCCACACCAACCCTCGCGCTTGTTGCCATGCCCGCGAACCCAACGTGGTGTATAAAGGTCACCGGTGAAGCGCAAGTCTTGCTCGTGTGGGACGAGGTCGGGATCCGTAGAGTTCATGTCGGATTCTGGTGGGTTAGATGGCTCTTCATGCAGCGAAGAATACAGGTCCGGAGGGTCTGATAAGTCTGCAAAGTGCGATGAGCATCCTCCATGGCGATCTGCGTTACTTTGCAACAAGCGGAAAAGACCTTGCGACGGCAATGGACGAGGTACCTCAAGATGGTGGCTTTGCTCGTGGTTTGAGAATAGCGTATGGTTGCTCGAGTACAAAGGCGGGGTTTGTGCGTAAATGGAATTTGGCGTGGCCTGTCCGTAACTGTTGTACGCTGGTGACGGATAGACTGGCATGGAATGATGGGGGTTGTAGCGCGGTCCGTATGGGGCGAATCGATCCGGTACATGGGACAAAGCGCTTCTCGCTGGGGTTGAGGTCGGGGCCTGGCCAGTCGACCATCTCTTCATGCGAGTGCTGTCCAGGGTATAGGGCGACGAACGAACATTGTTGTGCGGTGCTGGTGAGGCTCGAGATCGACTACCACCTCGTGCAATATGCTCGTGCTGAGGCTGAGGCCGACGGGGCGAGGCGAGCGGAGAAAGAAGCTGGCTGGTCATTGGCTCTTGATTGTTCCAAGCGTCGTACTCCGGCGTGTATGAAACCACCTCAGATGTCCCTATGTCGTCGTAGGTCGATACTTCTGGGAGGACACCTCCAGTACTTGACATAGAAAAGGAAGATTCGGATAATCGACGAGAAGAATGGGGATTGAACGTGTTTTGACCTTCATGTTCTTGATGTCCCATCCCTGGGTACTGTCGCAGGTCGATGATGGGTGTGTTTTCGTCGTGTGCTATCAAACCATGATTGTAATCGCCGACCTCTGGATCCAGGGAGGGAAAAGATTCTAGTTCTTCGCATACTTTCTGGCCCCATGGACCTTTGAACGTGAGTTTGCTGCAGCAGGAATTACTGAAAAGGAGACTTACTCGTGTCAATCACACCTGGGAAGTAGTCTGTGGTTGCAAGATGGTTCGAGCCATGCATACTGTTGGTGAACGGGGTGTTACTGGATACAGGTGATTGAGCAGTGACAATATCCGACCTCCCAAGCATATGTCTAGCGTCCTCTCTGCTGCTCATAGCCTGACTCCTTGGCATCTGATAATACGGATTGTGGGTCTGTGGTACAGCCCACGTGGGTTGAGGTGGTGAAGGTCTCGACATGTGTTGCATAGGTTGCGCCTGCTGTTGTTGTCCTTGCTGTGGAAGACCGTTGTAGGGATACATCATCTGTGATCCTGGTGCGGGTGAAGAGTGATGCATTGCGTACGATCCGTTGGATGACGGTCGATATCTATATGCGCGGTCAGTGTATGCCGGTCGCTGAAAGCGTACTCTGGATTGAACGAAGAGGGCTTACTGCTGTTGCGCATTAAATTCCATCTTTATCCTCGACTGCTATGTACAGTAATCTTGGCGGATGCCGTAGTCTATCTGAAAGCTGTAAGCGACTGATTAGAGAGTCTATGATGGCTCGCCTTGCTGCGGGCTTAACCCCACGTCTGGCAGCGGCCCGTCATTGTACGGACTGTCACAGCAAGCAAGGGAGTGAATGCACAGGAAAACTCACATGGGTGCCAGAAAGAGTGACCTGCTGCAGGAGAAAGAATGTGTCTAAGATGTAGCGTAGCGTTGTGCGACTATGGCTGAACAGATGGTGGCCGAGGAAGGAACTTGGAGACTAATAAATGAGTGTACGGAGAACAAACGTTCCCAAGTGCTGCCAGCGCGGATGGAGCCCGCTCCTAAGAAAGAATATGAAGTTAAAGATAGTTGGGTGGTTCCTAAAGAGTGACGGGGCCAAATAGAAAGAAAGGCAGTTAGAGGAACCGTTAGACTATATGATGGAAACACGGGTCTGACAGTATCCGAGAGCAACGATGTGATGAAATGACCTTTACGAAGTTGACGCAAGAGGACCACCTCAGCGCAAGTTTGAGAGCAGTGTCGTGAGGCGCCTTGGCTGCAGATGATCTGGAACGGCGAGGACGAGAGCGTTCACCCGAAGGAGTGTATGGCTGCCATCGTGTAGTGGGGGGTGGACAAAGCGCAGGGCTGCTGGGATGCAGGATGGCGATTAGACACTAATGGGACAGTCGCACCACTGCTATCCACCCCGTCCCTCCGGCTCACTCGGACGGATGACTCGACATGGGCAGCCAGTGTCCCTTGCGGCTGTAGCAGTGTCGTTGTTGTGGGTGAATTGCTGCCACCAACGATCGGAACGCCCTTGAGCAGGGAGTCGCCAGTCGACCAGATGACGGTAACAGGGTTGTGAGCACTTTGTCGCGACTCGAAGCCAGGTTTCAGTGCCCAATTGAGACGATGAGAGTCGTTTAGGAACAGAATGGAGTGGTGGAAGAAAGCCGCCGAGGACTTCGGACTTCGCGAAGTATCAAAGTCGACTACCGCGTTTTAGAGGCCACGGAGTTTCACATAGACAGACTGTACAGCCAGATTGGGACTGGTGGAGTTCCTCCTAGCGAGTGTGATTGGGGGACTGATGCGAGTGGCGCATGCTTTGGAGGGATATGGGATGACTAAGGACTCGTTTACCGGGCTTGGCAGCTGCCCCACATCCTCTACCGCGACGCGACAGGACTGAAACACACCTCCAACCTGCTACAGCCTCAGGAGTACGCCAATGTCTCCGTATTTCCACACCCCACCCGCACCATTGACGCAAATTTCGAAAGTCGCGAGATTGATTCGTCCAGAGACTCTCTCAGAAAATTCCAACAGTAAAGTGCGGGCCGAACGCCTTGTCCCAATTGCTCTTGTCAAGTTGTCGTGGCACAGCCCAAAGCGGATTCCACCACGGTCGGACAGACCAGGAACCGGCCTTGTCCTTGAGGCGATCACTTGTGCTGTTCGTGGCGTCACTGGCCTTGCTGAGGCCAGGATTCCGGTAAGTTTCGCGTCCCGCAGCTTTATTGTTCTGACATATGACAGCTGGCATGTGTATCCACAGCACCACACTGCTGCAGATACTGATCGACTCATGTCAATGCTGAGCCACACGCAATATGTTGTTAACCTACTCGACGCGTGTCTAGCAAGACAGAAGTTTTGTTCGACATGGTCTAGAGAAGAGCAAACACATTCACAACGAATACGTGTTGGCCGTAGCATGCTCTACCCAGCTAATTTGCAAGTAAGCAATAGGGTTCGCAGGTGATGCGAGCCATTCGCCTCGCAGCCACACCTTTCGATCTAGCAAATCACCTGCTGTTATCTGCGTTCGCTGCCCTGGCATGCTTGCGTCTTGTGCTACCCAATCGGCTTAGTATTTGTCAGTAGTGCACATCATCCCCGGATATTATTGTTCCACTGTGTAGCATGAACAATCTGATCAAAAGAGGCGAGCTAGGCGAGCTGAGCGCAATCCTCCGGCATCCTCCATGCCTCACCTACGCGTATCTAGATTCTTGTCCGTGTAGCAAGCTCATAGGCTGTGTTCCACGATTCTGCATCTCGGAGCATGCCTCGACTCTTCCATACAGCCGACAGCTACGAGATCGTCATGTCATATTTACAGATGGCACGGTAAGCGCGATCACATTGCATGCCGACCTCCTTGCTTCATTTCAGCTGCAGGTAATATTCAAAGGGTCGTAAGGGTCGTGTATCCCCACACTACGCTGCGTGCGGGCGCATGTTTACGCAAGGTCGAGTCTCCTAAGCCATCTCCACGTTTTCTGGTGGCACGACAACGTTCTCGTTGATTGAAGTCAGCTGCAGGGGCCTCCGAAGGTGGTAAGGTAAAATTCCAATCTCGTCCCTCGCTCGCCCCGGCCAAGCATCGATCCATGATCGTCGGCGCTCGCCGAATATTCTCACCACAATTCATGAGGATCTGCTCGCCCACACCTGATCTGGAAGTTTCGCCCAGAAAGTCTGACCTAACCAGGTAAATGACATCTGGTTGTGGCCATTTGCAGCGTTGTACCAGCACATTGATCGACCGTTACGTAGATCGGACACTCTTTTCATAATAACATTGGCCAGCCCCGATCCGAGCACAAGTGTTATCTTGACAGGCCTGGAGTCTCGAATCGAGGTGTAGCCTGCACTAGACCGCGCTGCTTCGGTTCAAGCATCCGACAAATAGAAGCAGTGCTCGATGGGCCGATGATAGCCCTTCGGTGTAACACATGCTAGCAATATAGATTGAAGAATGTGAGACTCGATACCTGACAATCCGTGGGGATGGGCGTGAATGGTTCGGATGCGTATCCCAGCCTCATAACAAGTGGCTTGGATTGTGCCTGTAAACGTCACTACCTTCACGTCCCTCGAACAGTCGTGTTCGGAATGTCGCTCCTTGGGTGGGACACCGTCTCCGCCACCGATCCGAGATTCGATTTCTCTAGTCGAGGACTGGTCACCGCACCAAATCGGTCTAACAGCAATACAGCAGTGGGGTCTGACCTCTTTTACACCTTGTTGCTATTTACAGGAGCGTCTAAATTGACAACTACGGATGTGGTTCTTCGATCTACCATATCCTCGCTGTTGATCTTCTTGAGCAATCACACCTTATCTTTGCGATTTCAACAGCACTGGACTTCCGAAAAATTGTGTAATCCACCAAGGCTGAAGCAAAAGCGTCGCGAATTCGATGTACCAAGCTTGACAAATTCGCGCATCATCATCGTCATCGTCCCCATCAACGATCTGGAGGGGTTGAAGTGGCGCACAGACGACACGCAACTAGGATTATCCATAGTGTAGCAGACTACGAAGACAGGCCACCGCTGGCGGGACGGGACGCGCGGACAACCACACCGTTTAGCCCAAGTACACCAAGAAACTGCGCGCTACACGAAAGGTGCGGCAGCGAAGGTGTTAGCAACATTATTCAGCAGCACCGAGGTAATCTAGACGGCATTATTCAGTGAGACATTAAGTGGAGGCTGTGGTGAATGAAACATGAAATATTGTGTCTCGTGGACGACTTTGAGGCTGTGTTGCGGACAATGACGTGGGTCCGGAGTCCATCTACCAGGAAAAGTGAACATTGGGCGACTAAGTTTCTTTATTCGCGCACAAACATTATAGCGATACATGATATAGCCATCCCAAAATTTTCACGCCTTCCCGATCTTGATCTTACACTCTCCGCTGTCTGTGTCGAATTCCAATTTTCCACCACCTTTGCCTTTTTGCGCCTCGACGTGATTCTCTTGAGGCTTGTCGTTTTCGCCCAGGAGCTCGAGATCTTTTCCTTCGAGATGTAATGCTCCGCTCAGCGAGGTACCGTTGATATGTCCAACCCATTCTTGGGGGTAGGTCAAGTCTAGTTCTCCAGATACAGTCTTGTGTACGCTGGTAAGACCAGTCATAGGTATGTTCTTCGCCTTATACGGCGTTCGTACCCTGATTCTGGTTTGCCCAGCATCGGTATCCGTGTTGATTGTTGAAGCGAAGTCGCCAGACTTGAAGGGTAGGAGGTCAGCATTGACGTAACCAGCAACCGAGTTAATCTCAGTCCTGGAGCCATGAATGAATGTTCCATCGACCGATCCGACGGTGGTGTTGATGTAAACTTGGTAGTCGCGGTCAGGGATACGCTTCCGCTTGAAGTCCGTCCTGACGCTGCTCGAATGCGCGTCGACCATAAAGATGGCGGAAGGAGACGAATCTGCGGTCGCAGCTTGTGGTTCGACCTCGATGTTTACAGAGCCGCTTTTTGAGGTTACAGAGACAAGATCGGATAACGTGTACAAGCCGCTGATGGAGCCAGATATGGTCTTGAGGTACGTTGCACTGGAGTTGAAAGCAGCAGCATCCAGCGTGCCCTTCGTAAGGGAGATATGGGTAGACTTCTTGACGGTAAACTCAACTCCTTGATGTATCTGCATGCCCAGGTGGTTAGCGGACACCTTGAGAGTGTCGATTTCAACGCCTGCAGCCATATACACGACAAGTGACATTCCAAGACAAGCTGAACCTTTGTGGAGACCATCGAAGCCATCGGGATATGTTGGGTCACCAATGACCAGACCATTGGCTGAGGTTGAGTGTGGAATAGAGCCGATGTTTACCCTTGGTGAAGCAGCATACGAGAGACGGGCTTGGATGGTGCCAGGTGCCTGGTTTGCGGGTGCGCGGACCACGTGTATCCAGCCGTAAACCTTCTTGTACGATCCGTCGAGTTGATGTACAGCTTCCTGTATATCCAGGTCTTTCGATGTACCAAAATCGTACTCGTCGACCTTGACATTGTACTGCTTGCCGCAAAACGCCGGCCATCGGATTGGAAACACTTGTCTGGAATGAGTTGGAGAAGGTGGCTTGGCTCCGGTCGGCGTGGGTGTCGGCCAGGGAATGGCTATCAAGTCAGGTCGCTCGTTGTCTTCGCCAATGAAGCCCTCATCTAGCGAAGAGGATGCTTCTGCGCCCGATGGTTGTGCAAAGGTTGGCGGGTTCACCTTCTCAGCTGAGGATCCTTGAGCTACAGATCCAGCGTTAGTGACTGAAGCCTAGGTACAAAGTTAGTTTAAATCCCAACAACACAACCATATAACGCACCTGGTTGCTGCTTCTGACCGAGACTGCAGCAGCCATTGCTGCAAGCATGACCGCTAGCAAGAGGATGAATGCGAATGCGGGAATCCATCGCACCCATCTCCTTGATGTACATTGTTCTCTTAAACTTCTCTTGCGGTACTGGTCCTCTTTGTTTGATGCTTCTCTTTCTTCCCGGTCGCCTTCACCTAGGAGCCTCGCCCCTTGGTCTTCACTCAATCTACTACTGTAAAGGCCGGGGGTTGTGGCTTCCAGATATGTCGGTGGAGGTACACGGTCAACAGGCGGCTCTAAGAAAGGCGTTGAGGACTCGTTGTAGGGCGATGAGCGTGATGAGACTGAGACTTGTGGTCGCGCTGACCGGCTGTTCGCGTTCGCTGTGTCAATGTACATCTTGTCGCCGTAATTAAAGGTACAAGAAGAATAAATAAGAATAACAGAATGCGACAGTCAATGTCTAGGAAGAATAAATGTATGACAGTCAATGCCCAGGAAAAATGACAAGAAGTTGGAGAGAATGTGGGGAGACAGAACTGCTCAGAAGAACGGTCAGGCAGCCATGTCTTATTTCTCTTAAGCTCAGGCACTAGATACCGATCCGCCCTTGAAGCCGGGAAATATCACCTCCTGCAACAGTTTTGTTTCGGTGATGGAAACAATGCATGTTTGACTATGGGCTTGGCAGGTGTCTGCACGCGAAAGCAGCATCACGTCCGCAAATGCGCATCTCTGTCCTCACCGATGCTATTGGACTCCATCTCATTGGGCTCAGTTGCGCATAAAAAAAGTGATGGATATCCCGTTTCTGCGTACGTTGAACGTCAATGCGCGAGAATATCGAAAGGGTTGTCCGAAGTCGAAGTTTGTTTGGCACAGTTCAAGTCAATCCAAAGCTCCGCCACTAAGAGCGGGAAAGGCATAGTGTTCCCTTGGCGCCCCGCACCATCCAGATGTCATCATGCCTGTCAGGAGAAATCTGGACCCAGGTCGGACGACATCACGACCACGATAATGTGTTTTCAACAGGGGATAAAGATGGATCCCATCAACAGTGCATCGTGAACGGTCGGCAGATTTTACGCCAGTCTCTGCCCACCACAGTGTACATCCTTTGCCTGCGTTGAACTCGAAATCTTCATAGATCAGAAAATGCATCAAGGTCTGAAGGTGGGTCTGCAGTTGTGCGCATGCGTCTTTATTATATCAACAGACTCACTGAATCATAATCAATGTCTGTTGAAACATCATGTTCACTCGCTTTCCAAGTAGACTGCGCTAAGTTATCAATTGCTACAACTAAAAGTAGTGTGATACTCCTGATCAGACGTTCTTAGAGACACACGACGTGCAATCTAGCAGTTCCCACCTCAAGTCGTACGTGCTACGGGATAAGACGAATACTTCTCTATCTCCTTAAGATACCTATCGAAGGAAATGGCAAACATCGGTAGAGATTATTACTATTGTTCAAATCGAACGTCATGATAGAGCTCAGCATTCTAGATGAGGTGAGCCACATTGTTCCAAATGTGTCTTCACGAGCTTTGTATATACTTGAAGGCGATAGCTCGTTAGCTTCAGGGTTTCTTCACCTCCATTTATCTACATCATCCTAACATGCAATATTTTGGACTTCACTGCTGTCGATCCAACACCGGACATAACTATCTTTAATTGCGATACCGTCCAGTGGCTTTCGTCCGGGTTATCTCCATCCTTTCAACCGGTATGAAAAATTACAACGCCTCTGATGTCTTGCCTCAGCTTGCTTCGAATACGCTCTATATACGCGCGGTTGTACAGTCACTCTCGAAAGATAAACGCCATCGAAGCCTCTTCGCCGATGTACCTGACGGCGTCGTTTGAATGGCATTTCACGAACCATCTAGATCTGAACGATTCCCAGACTGCGTAGTAAACTCCCCATCGCCGTTCAAAGCTCCGCTACATCCAGCACCTCCGACCTATTCGAGCGCGCACAACTAAAAAAAATGAAAGTCACTTTCTAAGGCGCCCAGCACGTTCCAAAAGACGTTGAGACGCATGTGCTGCTCAACCCTTCCTAAGTCATCATCGGAGCAACATAGCACCACCGGGACAATAGGAAGCCGCGCTACACCCAACACGACCTGGAAACCGCCTAAGAGAGTCCATCATCGTCGAGCGAGTAGAAGCCGCGCTGGCCAAAGGCGTCAAGGGTCCAGCTTACTTGGCCAGTAAGACGCACCCCAGACGTGCGACAAGGAACTTCAGTAAAAAGTATGTTCAAGATTTTCACCAGAATCTGGCGTGTCTCGCTCCGCCAATGGTACCCATTCCCGCCAGTGACCAGAAAGTTGAAGCGAAACACCGAGGAGGATTTTACACTGGCTTATTAGGGTGCACAATCTGCAAATAAGTTCGGCGAAGATGCCATCCCGCGCAGTGGATATGCACGGCCTCGCTAACGCACATGTTTGGCGCGTGGACTTGGCGAAAGACGCGAATAGACGATGTTATATCCGGGATTGGGTATGGGAGATGTCAGGAGTCAAGGGAACGCCAAGGGCTTGAGTAAGGAAGTTCGAGGTGGGTTGGAGGCGGAGTGCCAATGGATGGAGCGATCCAAAAAAAGGCAGCTTGACGTTGCGTTGGGCCAGAAGAGTTGTCGAGCGAAGACCTAGTTAGGCATGAGGCAGAAAAAAAGCGGGGATGTATGGCGATATGAGCAAACAGTTGGAGATGGTGAGTGATGTCACTGTGCAAGCGGATGGTGTTTGCGAGGTGAGTGGGCGGCTGGATGTGACAAAGTACTAAGGTTTCCAACGATGCCTGTGATTATAGCTGTGTCAATGACGAATTTCGGGATGACATGAATAGCAGCGAATTCAAGGCATTCAGGGTGGTGCTGGTTCTCATGACTCTCTGTCGGGCACTCATCACCCTCGAGGTTCTTTCGGGTATTTCACTGATCCGCGGACCTGTTTTGTTATTGTTCATTGTTGAAGGACTGCCGCTCGCTAGTCCTGTCAAAGAACCACAAGTGCCAGGGTAATTTCCCTCGCATTGTATGACCAAGCACCCGGGGCTTGACCTCTTTGTCGGGACTAAGCGAGCCGTTACATATCGCTTTACTTGCCATTTTGCTTGCTCCGACCATAGGCGACTGGAACGATAACCCTTTGTGCCTGCTGTATGTATAGACTTCCGTTCCTGGAAGGCAGTACGAGTCAGGTATACCACAGCATTGAATCTTGAAAAGGTAAAACGCAGCTCTGATGCCAGCCGACCGGTTTCATACAACTAAGTGAAAGGAAACGAAAGACAGCACTGCCGATCCCTGTAACAAGTGAATATGCCGAATCTGAAAATCCTATGGTCCATGATGTTGGCCTTGAATGCAACCTTTCGAGTTTATCGTATCAGGTTGGCTTACAGCGTGCTCTACATCTTATCACCAGGTCTCTCTACCCCATTGTTTCTTCCTCTACCATTCAATATTGTATATAGACAACAACACTATTCTCAGTCTTCCCACCGCACAACGTCTGCGCTTGTAATTGCACAGACCCTGTGGAATACCATTCTCGCGGTCGCGCCCCATTGTTTATTCACGTACTGCGGCACGGTAGCGGCTCCGAACAGTCGATATGAGGCTATAAGATAACTTTCCTCTCTGAGAACAATATCTTCAAACCAATCCCCAAAATACAACCACGAACAACATAGAATGCGTCTAGCCATCACTTCGAATTCAGCATCCGTCGGCAACGTCGACATCCACGAAACTTTCCGCGTCATCGAGCTTGACGCTGGGCAATATGTCGAAACCACCAAGTCAACCGGACTCGATGGTCGCTCAGACTCGATGTCTTTCTCCCGCGAAGCTCTCAGTGCGATAGAGACTCAACTCGCCATTGTCGTCCCTTGCAAAGACGAGGCAGTTTCGATTCTTGATGGTGTACTCCACGGTATACCACACGACTGTTTGATCATTTTGGTATCAAACAGCAAGAAGGACAACTTCACCGCAGAGTGCAATCTCCTCTCAGACTTTTGTACAGATACACGTCGATCAGGAATTGCTTGCCATCAGCATGATCCCGGTTTCGCCGAAGCCTTCGTCGCCGGCGGGCTGCCTGCAATCGTACGCGTAGTCAATGGACGTCCTCAGATCCGGAATGGCAAAGGCGAGGCCATGATGATGGGAGCGGCGCTTGCCAAGCTTGCTGGCAAGAAATACATTGGATTCATTGACGCCGACAATCTGGTTTCTGGGGCCGTCCATGAGTATTGCAAGGTCTACGCTGCAGGCTTACACTACGCTCTCCACTGCACTGGCGATGGCGGCCAACCCGATACTGATGCCATGACACCGCATTGTATGGTCCGTATCAAATGGAACTCTAAGCCCAAGGTCAAGGATGGGATCATCATATTCGAAAAGCTTGGTCGAAGCTCACGCGTGGTTAACCAATGGATGAATCGTCTCCTGACTACGGTTCTCGGTGATGAGCCCGAGGGGAACCTCCAGCTTATTGAGACCGGAAATGCCGGTGAACATGCCATGAGCATAGACTTAGCCATGGATCTGAAGTTCGCGACTGGCTATGCGGTAGAGCCCTTCCAATACATCGATGCTTGGGAACGCTTTAGTGGGAGAAAGTTTGGCGATCCTGAATCGCGTCTGGCGCAACAATCGTACGATTACGAATTCCTTGCGAATGATGCCGCATACACCAGCTCAGACGAGTCTACTTTGTCTAGCTCGGCATCTGTGTCGCCCATATCGACCCCAGCGACCTCTCGTCCTCCGAGTCTAATGCCAGCATTGCCTGCGCATGAGGTCCGAATTCTTCAAGTCCAGACTCGGAACCCACACTTCCATGATACCAGCAAAGGCGCTGACCACATCTCGGCAATGCAGGCCGGTGGCTTAAGCACAATCTACCACTCTGCGCTGACGCCTCAAGATCTGAAAGACGATCTGCGACAATACTTCAAGGACAACCTGTCTGACGTCAAAGGCGTAGCCGAGGATGGGACACCGGAAGCGCCTCGTTGCTACCCATCAATGAGCGCGATGGATTTTGAGGTATTCCATGCGAAGGTCAAGGCTCGAAATGAGACCATGACGGTTATTGGAGAGTGTGGATACAACATGCTGGGTTGTTATCAATGCGCTGTCCGGTGTATGACTAGCAGTGATTGAAAAATTCGGTGAGGAGCTTTTGCTTTTCATGATACCCCAGGCTTGTACTAAAAGCCATGTAGAAAGTGACTGTCGTACTGTAGACAGACTGGATTAGATCTGAAGGTTTGCTGCCAGATGCCAGCGAATAAAACTTTTTTTGAAGTAAGACAGCCTCACTGTGGGTTTCGTGATTTCGTGAGTGGCTTGCTGGCAAATTGTGGCGCTACCTGGTGACGGTGAAGACGTGGACTATCCTAGGTAATTCGATACGTCGTGGGTGCTATGTCAGGGCGTCGGCTCCGGGATGCTGTGCTGGAATCCCTGCATTGATGGTTTAAGCTTCTACCGCTGCGCACTAGCGGAGCCCTCTTCGTCTTCAGTGACATCAGAATGAGGCGTTACCGAAGGGGTCGAGTCGTATGCCTCTTTCGGCTTCTCGGCAGCTTCGAAAGCCTTATTTTGGAACGATCAGCAAGGTTACTGCATCGTAAGGAAACCCGGCCGAAGATGCACGTCAGCTATGATCACTTTTCCAACATGCAATACTTAATCAACCTTTCACTTGATGCTCGCCGACACCCATTTGTGATTCGTTAATCGAAGCGTTCTGAGTGGAGGAAGCAGCATGCTGCAGGATATTTATCCAGTCAATCAGAATACAGATGCACGTTATGACGAGGTTTCTGAAAGTGTTCTGAGGTCATCGTAACATCTTGAGGCGTGCATCGCGGCCAAGCAACCATCAGGCATCAAGCACGAGTTGGGGTACCATCTCTTTCATGTGTTCTTTTCGCTCTTTGCAAAGACTTTCCTGACTCTCCAACATGTTTCCTCAGGGTCCCTGTGCTTGTTCCATCGGCCGACCCGTCTAAACATAGACAGGTGGTGGGGTTTCCGGTCAGCTTAGGTGAGAGCATGATCACGAAGCGCGTCGCGGGGACGGCAGGCTTTTAGCTCCGCGGACCCTTCGATCGATAAATGTAACTATGCGAATCGGCTTTATCGTATGATTCAGACCCCCCTAAATCCATGGATGCTGTAATAAGTCTAGGTCAGCATGAAATGTTGCAAGATTCAGGTTAATGCAGGGGCGTCAGTATCGTAAAACCCTTTCTCCAACGAATATGTTGGCATGTGAGAGAATAGATGGGCTCAAGAGATATCCATCAGAGCTCCGTATGGCTCAAATGTCAGGGTGCAGTCGTCGTGTGATGGATCTATGGGCCAAGCGCAACCAATGACCCATTTCGTGTGGTTTCCAATAACGCCTTTTCATTTACATTGGCAAGTTTAATTGGCGACCTACTCAGATGATAAAGAAAGCAGCAATTTGCAAGATGTGGAAGTCGATCCCAAGCTGCTGCGATTTCGTGCTGTTCAAGCGCTCAGGTCGAAGGTTAAGATGGTGCAAGAGCTGCCTCAATCCGATGGCTGTTCGGATGATTTAGCTGCGGCACACAGCCTGCGGGGCTCGGGGCGTTTGGCGGGTCGCACAGAAACGGACCCGCGTCGAGGGACTGTAGCACAATGGCCGAACAACGATGGCAGACAGAGTCCTCAAGATCTGACAAGTGTTTGCCACGACCACAGCACTCTCTCGGTGGAAGTTGGAAGTTGGAAGTTGGAACGAAGGAAACGAGGCCCACACTGGGCTGCAAGCGGTCGAATCGCATTTCGCCGCGTGCCCATGCATCAGACTCCGCTTCAGTTGCTCTATTCCTACGAATGGGCGGCGAGGCGCGGCCGCTAAGGCACACCAAACTCTGGGCCAACGCGTGACGTGTTGTTTAGGGGTCGTCTAGGGCAACGACCGCTGCTGCTCGTGGATGTGGATGCAACTTCTCACGCGAGGGCATGCAGCAAGACAGGAACAAGCGGAAGGGAGAGATGCATGGCGCTGCAGTCGATTGAGTGACAGTTTGACAGGCGAGGGGTTTTGGCGTGACGCAGACTGGAGGGTGGTTTTGTGGGGACGACGTAACGGCCCGTGGACGCTAGCCAACCATGTGCATTGCTTGGCAAACAAACCCGCTTGAGGAGTCTGCAACTACACCACAAAATCCTTAGCCGCACAAGAAAAGACTTTTTGAAACACCTCATACCTCCATCTACACACCAATTGCACAAGACGCCGGTCTCGGGAACACTTGCACCTCTGCTGGTCGGAATAACAGCTGTCGACGCTCCTTTCACCCCCAGCTACGCCCTGCTGATGCGTCTCCGCCGACGTCAGACGAAACCTCCTCACACCGCTCAACCCGCCCAGTTGCGGTAGTCACACCTCCACCTCCACCTCCACCACGACCCTCGCAACGCCTGATATAACGTACACCACCGCCCTCACGGGCACACTCAGCCATGGACGGCGGCCCTCCTCCTCCACCGCCTCCGCATGGCGCCAATCCAAAGACGACGGGAGGTAGCCATGCCCCGCCCAACAGCGGCGGCACCGGCGGCTTGCCCCCGGGCAACTACGACATCTTCATCATACCACCACACACTGCAGGCGGCGGCTTCATCTACCTCCCCAGCATGGGAGTACAGCGGAACAGCTTCATGGCTGGTGTCGCTAGCACCATAGCAGCCATAGCCATCTGGAAGATAATCGAGCCCCAAATGAAGCAATACTTCATGCTCGTCAGCCAGGGTGTGTCGTCAGGCGGCAATGGTGTCATACTGCTGGTGGTCGTGGTTGCAATCGCTGCTTGGCTATTGGGCCAGACACAGAGTGGGGGGAGATTCAGCAGTGGCGCATCGGGCAACGGGCCACACGGGGCCGGTGCTGGAGCTGGAGCTGGAGCTGGAGCTTCAGCGCAAGGGGCAGGCTACCAACGTGCACCTCCACCGCCTCCAGGAAATGGCACCTTTCCGGGCGCTGGAGCCCCTCCGCCTCAGGGCGCCCATGGTGGATGGGGGGGCTACAACCAGTACGGCGCCTCGTCACCGCCTCCGCAAGACGAGGACTTCTCGTGGAAAGAAGAGGAGGAACGTGCCGAGGAGGAACGCAAGCAGGCTGAAGAGAAGCAGCGACAAGAAGAAGAGAAGAAGCAACAGGAAGAAGAGAAGAAGCGACAGGAAGAGGAGAGAAAGAAGCGAGAAGAAAAGAAACGCCAGGAGGAGGAGAAGAGACAACGAGAGGAAGAGGAACGCAAGAAGGCTGAAGCCGAGTCCAAGAGGCGTGAGGAAGAGAAACAACGGCGAGCCGAGGAGGAGCGCCGCATCGAGCTGGAACGCAAGAAGGCTGAAGACGCCAAACGCCAAGCTGAAGAAGAGCGACGGCGAGCCGAAGAGGCAAAGAAGCAGGAAGAGGAGCGGCGGCGGGCCGAGGAGGAGAAAAGGCTCCGGGAGGAGGAAGAGAAGAAGAAACGCGACGAGGAGGAACGAAAGCGTGCTTGGGACGAGCTCAAGCGTGCCGAAGAAGCTCGCCAGAAGCGAGAGGCTGAAGAGAAAGAGAGAGAAGAGGCCGCCAAACAGGCTCGCGCCAAAGCCGAGAAGGAGAAGTGGGAGCAAATGCGAAAACGAGAGCGAGAACAGCGAGAACGAGAGGCTCGAGAACGGCTTGCCAAAGAAAAAGCCCGCAAGCAACAAGAAGCCCTCGAGAAGGAGCAAGCTGAACGGGAAGCTCGCGAGGCCGAAGCCAGGGCCAAGATCGAGAAGGAGATCCGTGAGAAGCTTGAAGCTGAGCAGAAAGCCAGGGCCGCCGAAGAGGCGGAGCGACGGGCAGCAGCTGAGAAACTTGCCGCTGAAAAGGCAAAAGCCATGGCCGAAGCAGCAGCAGCAAAAGCCAAAGCCGAAGCCCAAGCCGAAGCTGCTGCAGCCGCTGCAAAAGCAGAAGCAGATGCTGCCGCCGCAAAAGCCAAAGCAGACGCTGAACGTTCCGAACGCCTCAAGGCAGCTCGTGAACGCGCGCAAAAGGAACGCGAAGCTCGTCTCAAAGCCGAAGCCGAGAAGATCAAGGCTGAGGCTGCCGCTGCTGCTGTCCCAGACATCACCGCCACTCGACGATCGACTACGTATGGCGGCGTTGGTGGAGGCGAACGCCTGGACCCATATGCTGGCATCAGGATTTCCAGTCCATCGCCCTCCGTCACTTCGACGCATTCTTCCCCGATCAAGGCAACCGTTGTCCCGAAGAAACCCTACGAACAGCCATCAGCAAAGTCATACGTCCCGTCCGAAGACGCGCGCAGCTTCCAACCCCCACGCTCCACAGCCACGCGCTCGCACGTGTCCTCGCAGTATTCTGAATCGAGCTATGCGCCGTCGCAATCGACGAGTCGGACGACGCCTCCTGCGAGCATGCGAGGCCCGTATGCGACGACAGATCCCAACAAGATCGTCATCAAGGCAGTGTATTTGTTCAACGACCTGTTCCCGAAGCCCGTTGCACAGCTCGTTGCCAGCGTGGGTAAAGTGACGGATGGCCTGATTCTCAAGATCCAGTCAGAGGGTCTGTTCATCGACGACGACGTGCGCAGTATTCCGCAGCGAGAGTGGGATGTCAAGGCTTGGACGCTGAAGATGGTCGAGGTTAGTGAAGCTCTTTCTCGTTCCTATGTACCCTTGAACATACTAACATACTTGATAGACTGGTGTCCAGACCTCCAAACGCCTGCACATTCTGCGCGCCTCGGTCCGCGACACCGACGGCAAGAAATACGTCTTTCTCATCGACGAGTCCGAGAGCTGGAAATTGGCTATTGGCCTGCAGCGTCTACGCAAAGGTAGCCAGGTCCGCAGCTTGCAGAACAGCCAGATGGCGCCGAACGAAGTGGCCAGAGTGCTGAATGCCGTGCCGCCGATTGCTTTGTAACGAGTTTGCATGAAACAAGAAGCGTTGAGGATTGTAGGGAGAAAGGGATGCATTCCTAACATGTTGTTCGTTGTCAGGTTGCGCTGCCGCCCTTGCGAAAAGAGACATTCTTAAGTGCCGAAGCGAAAGCAAAAAACATTTTTCGATTGGAAGATATACCCCACTCTCGCTTTTTATCTAGATCGCGTAGCATGGCATTAGCGAAGGAGTATGATTTTTCTTGTTCGTTCGTTAGCTTTGTATCTTTGTATATGAGATGAGTGTAGATATGTGTGTTGGTGTCGGAGTCGGAGGTAGCGTATATAAGGGCAGCGCAGGGCGTGTAGATAGAATGAGAAGACGTCAAGTCGGGCATGGATATTGATTCATTGAGGTGAGAAGTTGTAATGTTCCTCCATCGTCTCTCTGTCTCGTATATCTGCATGAAACTAGTCTGCTAGACCATTCTTCTCTACTACTCTTTTGCGTGTGTTCACAACGTCTACCCCTCACCCTTAATCCCTCAACTTGACCAAGTACGCCTTGTACATTTCGACATTCTCACACGCACCACCATCCAGCTCCACGTACTTCCAGTCTTGTCCCGCATCGCAGTTGGCGGTCGTGAACACGCGCACTGTCACGTCAGTCAGCTTTCCATTCTCAAATTATTCATCGTAGTGAGGTTCTTACGAGCATTGTACGTTGCACCTGGGGAGTGGTGCGTGACGCGCATGCCCTTGGTGTCGCCGAATGAGTAGCAGCGGTTGGTCTCCATCTCGAAGGTTGTGGGGGTGCTGGAGCAGGTTGAGTTGGTGGAGAGGGCGAGGGAGACGATGGCGTTCGACTGTGCGAGGGCGGAGGGGAGGAAGGCCACCAGCACGGGGATGACAATGTTGGTGAAAAGCATCCTTGGTGATTGTTGAAGAGATTGAGATGTTGATTGATTATGTGCTGGAAGTCGATTGTTCTGTGGTGAGGGCTGTAGGATGGAGGTAGAGGGGGGAGGCAGGGGAAAAGTTTACATGTATCACGAAGCTGCGTGCGTTTAATCAAGGTAAAGGCAGGGGCAACCCTTACCGAACCAAAAAAACCCCGGTGAGAGAACCTTGGAAACGTGTGTTCACGCGTGTGAAACACAGAAAGACAGAGAGCACCGATTTTAAGTTTGTTTTCTACCCGTTGCCACACGAATGTCTAATTCGATCATTCTGGCTGTTTCACTCCCGTTGTTCAAATTCCCCAGCAGGTCTCCATGGCCCTCTCCCTCCCCAGCCCTAAGTAACAACCATAATACTCTCGTACGCGCTGACATCCGAGCAGTTGTCCTGAAGAGGCTGCAGCGTCCAAGCCACATTGCACTTGGCGCTCGGGTACACATGCACTGCAAAATAATTAGCCTTCCCAGCTCATCAATCGAGCGCCCTGAATTTTCAGAAACTTACGAGAGTTGTAGAACAGCCCAGCCTTGTGTTCAATGACACGAAGACTGTTATTGCCGGCAATCGAGTAACAGACGCCGGCCACGAGGTTCAGGGTAGTGGGCGCACCGCCACAGGTGCGGCTGCGGCCGAAGAGGTTGATTGTGACGAGAGTTTCGCCGGTTGGAAAGGTATAGGCAGACTGGATCGCGAGGAACAGTGTTGTGATCATTGTAGTGAGACGCATTGTTGTTGTTCGACTGTAGATTCGATTGACTCAGGATGGTGGACAGGGTGAGAAGAGGGAGCGAGGAGTATGGCGGGCTTATGTACCTTTGGGAGGCAGTGCCAGGGAATGCTATCTCAAGGTGAGATGCGCAGAGATAGAAGCGTTTGCTCTTTGATGTCACGGCGCAGGAAAATGTTGGGAAAGAGCGATGGAAGCGGTGAAATACACTCACGCTCGCCCTACATGAGAGCAATTACAAACGACGACGAGCAAGATGCAGGAAGTCATCATGTCGCTCGCCGTTGAGGTGGGTATCTTTTCTTGTTGTTTGCCTATAGTATGCTACTCGCGCTCCTGTTCTTGTACTGGTTTGGCACCTGCTCGAAATTAGCCTTAACCCAGGACCCAATATCTGCAGTGTAAAATGAGACTTACCTAACATCCAGCCCAGTCCGCTGGCAAGTGCACCGGTGCCGCTTGCCAACGCTCCAGTCGCAGCACTTGCGACCATATCTCTTTTCCTCATGCGCTCATCGTGTCCACTCATGCTACCCGAATCGCTAAAGTCCATGCTGACGCGACTCGAGCTCATGCTTGTATCGCGCGCATCCGCACTTGATGCTGCCTGTGCACCGCCACGAAGCGGGAACGCTGACTTGGAGAAGGCTGCTGCTGCTCCTCGAGCAACGTCGAAAAGGCCCATAGGTGCTTCTTCGACGGCACCGCGCCCAACTTCACGGCGCGGCTGAACGGTGATGGTCTCATTAATGAACGTACCAGGCAGCTTGCGGTCGGCGGCATCGTTGAACCGCTCTTCTGCTTCTGTCTCTGCAGCCAAGAGGGTAGTCATCTCAGTTTCGCACTGTTGCCATACATTGAGCACTTCTTCAAGGTGATTCGGAGGAGCCAGGAGCAGCGCTTGTGATAAGAGCTCCATGCGTTGTTCTAGGCGGCGGAGGTCTGGTCGCGCAGCAGATTGCGACCATGAGTTGGAGAGCGATGTCGAGCTGTATCGACCAGCACGTAATGCTGCTTTCCATGCTACGTCTTCCGCATCATCTTCATGCTCATCAGTGTCAACTGAGCCAAAAGAAAATCGCTGGGATGCAATGGATGGTGTTGGTGATGGTGTCGATGGTGTCAGTCGATTCACGACGTAGGAGTAAGCTGTTTCGAAGTCGTCTTCTTCCAAAGCTGCATCAATCGCCATACCAATAACACGGCGCTCAGTAGCAGTCTTCTTCCGATCTACTGTAGAAGCGTCGAGTGGAGTAGATGAATCGTCGTTCATAATAGTGGGACGGCATTGATACTACAAGATTCTGCCCAATAGAGATCAAATCATCCAGTTTTGTATAGCTCCCATCATTTTGGGACAAGAGTTTCCGAATAAGGGGAAAGCGGGTTGGAGCTGGCGCGAATATCGACAGGCTGAAACGGCACGCCGTGTTGGAGGATAAGTGAATAAAACGACATGGCATGTGTCGCAGAGAGCAAAGCCTGCGTGCGCTGGAAGCGCGACGACTTGGAGAAATGAGGTGCAAATGCAGCGACAGTCTCTGCGGCGCGTTTCATGCCGCCTCTAGTTCGATTACCATTACTGGCGCCATCGTAGTGATTCATGGTCGACGACAGAATAACTCGCTCTACCTCTTGGAGAGGCAGTGGTGGCTGGCCAGTACTGGGTCTGATGTATGTCTGCACAACAAGAGGATAGTGGCTGCTCTCTATGAGCGCCTTGAGTACTTCTGTCTCAACCTCACTCCTCCTGAGCATACCAAGGATGCCCTGTGCGTGGCGATCGCTGTCATGCCTGTCTGTGCCCCAGTTCCAGAGCCAGAGAAGCTTGATTCTTGCGCTTGTCCATTGATCACTGTCCTTTCTCGAGCTGCTCAGCTGGTGCACGACTTTTTGTAGCAAGGAGATTTGTTCGGCGTGGTCGTCGCGCAAAGACATAGTCGCAAGCTGTCGCATCGAGACGGGATATTGTAGGGTGGACAAAGCGCATGCTGAAAAGAGGATAAGTTTGAGCACCTGTATACTGCCGTGACCAGGCGTCGTGATGACATTGTCGGACTCGAGTAGACGTTGTTCTTGGAGAAGAGCCGCAGAAGCGTCCTGCAGAAGCGGCTCCTGCAGGTCATAGGTAGGGGAGTGATTCGACGCCAACACTGAGATTTGGTGGAGGTTCGTGGTTCAGCAGATCGCATATCCGTCCCAACAATGAATGGGCAGTCTGCAGTGTCGGTACGTCGCTCTTCTCAACCAAGTAAAGACAGGCGAGAGCAGTCTGGGCGTACTGCACCTCCAGTCTGCGCTGCTGCTCATCGTCGACATAGTCCCGTCCCTCCTCGTACCCACCGAGGTCCATGTCTTCGGGCCCGTCCCATTCGCTGATGGCCGTCGTGGCCAACTGCAGGTTCTCTTTGGACGTGTGAAGTATCCACTCGAACAAGCATTCCCAGTCGCCTGGCGCGTGTGGTGTTTCTTGCGCTACTGAGGCCCTTGGTCCTTGGTGCGAGAGCCTTCGCCGCTTGCGATGGTGTGCACCACACATCCACGGAGCGACAACACCCTTGATATCCCGCGCCACATGACTCTTGTCACCTCCACTGGCATGCCGCACGTTGGCGAACTGGTGTTCTATGGCGCGCCTGCCCTGCAGACGTGCGAACTCGTCCAGCGAGGCAGTCGCGTTTTGTGGGTAGTATTCGTAGCTGAGGCGGAGGAGCGGTAGGACGGTTGATATAAACCACGTGCGGAGGTACTCGGAATGGTCCAAGAAGGGGACGATGAGCTGGGGCACGAGGTCGAGGAGGCCGGTCTGGGCATCGATGCGGTGCGCGCGGTGGACAAGGAAGTGGCTGATGACGTCGAGCTCATCTTCTGCAGCATACAATGGGTGTATGACTGGTAACAAGTCTAGTGCTTTCCTCCTCTTCTTTGCCCGTGACAACGACAGCTCCTCCACCGAAGCTACATCCAACACTGCAGCGGGGTCTTCGCCTGGGTCTCGCGAGGCGGTCGCAAGCTCGTGGAGGTATTCGATGTAGGACGCCGGTTCGAATTCTTCAGGAAGATATGTCAGGAGAATGCTCAGAATGAGCTCCAGCGGTAGGTCGGCATCCCGCAGGGCTGTCAAGGCTCGCAGCGCCTTGACGTTGGACTCGGTTGCGTATTGCACGGCTAGCAGCACGCAATGCGGCGCGGAGAGCTGGCGCAGCTTCTCTACAGGATGCATTTCGCTTGTCGTCTCGATGTGCTATCGTGGTTTATGCGTAGTTCTCATTTTGGTCGCAAATAGATTGTTATGCAAAGGACACGCCCGCTTTCACGAGATTCGCTACGTCAGGCGCCCGGACCAAGCACCATCGAGGTCCGCTCTTCAGCTCTCCAGCTCTCCAGCTCTTGAGGTCCATCACCGAACCCTTCACCATTCTTCACACCAACACAATGGCATGAGCTACACTTTTCGCAGCTTTTCATATGTCCAACGCTCGGATATCCGACGACACAAATTTTGCATCCTGGCGTGCCTCGAAAGGACAAACTAGTTCGAGAGCTCATGCGTGTTGATTGAAGGATACATTATGCGCCCGGTCAGGCCAAGTAACATGACTTCTATTACCTTATCTTCCCATATTCGTCTACTCATCAGACCTACTCTGTCTCCTTAGCCTCCATCTCCTCAGCCGCCCGCCTTGCCTCTCTTATCTCCGCAGCCCGCTTCCTCCCAAAGGCCTTCACCGCCTCATAATAAATCGTAGCCGTCGCTCGACAAGCTTCCTTGAATCTCTCGTTCTGACACTGGTTGAACATGTCTTGCTTGAAGTTGCTGTCAATCCTCGCTTTGTTGGCCTCGAAGCGCGATTGCTTTTTGAAGTTGCGGTAGCCAAAGTCGTGGCGATTGCACGAGTCTTTGACTAGACGAGCGTCAGAGGGTTTACTTAACAACGCACAAGGGAGGGCGTACAGTCAAAGCCGAACGGATTGTCGGGTGAAGAGGAGCAGCCGTCAGAATTCCAGTCTAGCTCTGCAGGGCCGACTTGGCCGTTGCGGTTGCTGTTGAACTCGCTGATGGAAATGCTGAAAACATAACTATCCGTGATTTCTTCTAGGGACGATTGGCGTGGATCGACGGTTGGAGCAGAAAGGGCAAGGCTGGCAAAGCCTATGATGGCGAGGAGAGTCGACTTCATTGTAGGAAGTGGTGGTATTGGAGGAACAGGCTGCTTGTTGAGGGCGCGCCCAAGGAAATTGGTATGAAGCCTTCAACCTTTAATCTTCGGGATCTCGGGTCTATCCTTGCTCGTGTCTCAAGGAGGGAGCCAGTCTTTTTTAAAGGTGTTGCAAGCAAGGGTGTCTGGTAGTCTGGGCTCTTGGACTGGGCTGCTGGACTCGGGCCTTTCGGTGTGTTCTTCACATCAGCATTTTCGATAGTCTGCATGGCTACCACGCTTCACACATGCCTGGTACTGCGGGTACCATTCGCCAAACGTCCGACCATACCATGTTTCTCTTCCCGCAATTACCGACAAAACGACAGGGTCAAGCGGCAAGAAGGTACAAGCACGACTACATCGGGATAAGTTATTGGTGATGTTAGTACCCGCTATATCGGAGATCTACACTCCAAGCGAGAATGAAGGACTAGCTTCCTAGTATAGACTGGTACAAGCGAAAAAAGGTAGTCAACCGCCGAAGCTTCCCAATAAGAGTGAACAACGTGCAAAGGGCAGACGGCGGGGCTTTACGTTCAAGCTTGGCCGTCTCGTCGCCGTGTCTTTTCATGTCATCAGGTGCTCGATGCACAGGGTGTGATTCGCTGCCAGGAGTGCACAGCGGCTGGACACCTGGGCAGGCTGGGCAGAGTGCCCGGGAGGAGCATTATCGCAGAGCCGTGTATCGAGGCAGGCTAGTTATGCGCAACAACGTCGACTGTCCAAGTTGTACAGTAACTATCTAAGATGCGGGAAGTAACGAAGCGGAAACGTGTACCTGCGTCCAGACACCAACCGAGGCCCCAGTCGACGTCGTCATCACCCAGGGTCCTAGCTTACATCAGAAAATAAGCACGCCAACGTCCAACTGCCGCACGCGTCAATCTATCACCATGTTTATCCAGCAGCACTTCCTCAATCACCCTCCCAACATCCGTCCACGCGTCAAGGGTCATTTGTTGCTGTCTGCCCTGTGACGCGCCCCGCGTTCCATGCGCTTGGCAAAAGACCACGAGTATGGCCGCGACCGGCGCGCAGCCCGAGCTGGAGCTTATGCCAGTTCCTCCAACAGCTTCAGAACAAAACATGCCGCCCGATGAAGCTGAGGAAGCATACGCGGTGGACCCACGCCTGCACCGGCGCACTCTAGCGAAGCTCGACTGCTTACTGCTGCCCTTCCTTGCGCTCTTCTTCCTCTTCAATGCCCTGGACAAAGCCAACGTTGGTCAAAACCACCCGCCCCGTCAGAGCCATATGCTGACGACAAGCCACGATAGATAGGAAACGCCGAATCTGCGAATTTTACTGAAGATGTCGGGCTGGAGAAGAGCGACATCAACACGGCCGTGGCCCTCTTCTTTGCCTTCTTCGTCACTCTGCAGCCTCCTAAGGCGCTGTCCTTGGAAGGAAATATGGCATGGTTGCATTCGTGCCGACCTGCATGCTCTTGTGGGGCGTTTCGACAGCTCTCCATGCTTGGGTCAGGCACAGGTGGCAGCTCTTTGCACTTCGGACACTGATAGGCTGTCTCGAAGGTAGAGCTACAAGTCAAAGGCGCGTTTGGGCTAATAGCTGACATGGTCACAGCGGGCTTCTACCCAGTCACCGTCACATATCTGTCCCTCTTCTACACCCGCTTTGAGTTTGGACGACGGTTGAGCTTGTTCTACGGCCAGGCCGCTGTTGGGGGCGCTCTGGGCGGAATCATAAGCTGGGCCGTCTTCTCGCGCTTTCACAACGACGGCCCGCCGGGAGATGCTGGTTGGAGGCCATGGCAGGTGCTCTTTCTGATTGAGGGAAGCATGACCATCGCCATCGCGATTGTAGGATACTTCGTGCTGCCCCACAATGTCGAGACCGCATGGTTTCTTACCCCCGAGGAGCGCCAGTACGCATCAACACGCGTGTTGCAGGATCGCAACATTCAAAACGTGAGCGCATCGTCCACGCATGAGGCTCATGACTACGCAGACGAAGACTACGATGATGAGGAGTCCCGTGACTTGCTGAACCCAGCCAAGGCTCCTGCAACTTCACGCGACCATGCCTCGCTAGACGACCGCGGAGTGACGCCAGCTGATATCTTTTCAGCCGTCTTCAACACCAAGATCTGGCATTTGCTAGCTTGCAATATTCTCTCTGCAATCCCGGTCTACGCCTTCTCTGTCTTTCTACCTTTGGTTCTGGCTCCGCTGACAAAGAAGTCAAACCCCGCTTTGATCAATCTGCTAACTGCGCCGCCACATATATGTGGCGCTATTGTGCTCTTCTGCTTCGCTTGGTACAGCGACTTGCACCGTATCAGATTGATACCTGTCCTCTACGGTCTCGCAATCATGGTTGCAGGCTTGACTATTGTAGTCGCCTTGCCCGTCTCCTGGGCCATCCCTCGCTACTTGGCGCTGAACCTTCTACTTTCTGGGACTTACGTCGCTTCGCCGCTGACCGTAGCTTGGATATCTGGCAACACGCCTTCGCCTGGAAAACGAGCAGTACTGCTTGGCATCAACGGTTGGGGCAACTTGGCTGGCATCATAGCAGCAATGCTATATCGACCGAGTTATGCAGAATCGGGCTACATTGTTCCATTTTGGTGGACGCTCATCTCGGTCGCGCTCTCTGCGATCGGGTATCTAGTGTTCTTAAGAAGGCTTCGAAATGAGAACGCGACCAGGAAGAGAATACTGAACGAATGGAGCGAGGATGCTGTAGAGATGGAGAGGCTCGAGGGCAAAGGACCGCGTCCACGTGAACACAGGCTGATCAGAAGGGTTGTTGAGTTTTCGAGAAGCAGCAAGTTAGACTCGCTTGCGAATTGGCTTGAGGATGCCACTGAGCGTGGACGCCAAGGTGACGAGCGAGTCACTTTTGTTTACGGGCTCTGATCTCGGCGTTTGCAGATTTGGGTGCTTGTCTCGTTTTACAAATACCCTTTAGATCGCTTCAGTAATAGACATCGCAGAACCATGTTACTGTCGCCGACGTGACATCTTCGCGGTTCCGTCGTCAGATGCACACTTCTGAACGGTGACCCCCGTTACAACCCTCGTATTTAGGCGCGCATTCATTCTAACACTCTGAGACTAACAGATGCATGTCTCAGCTAAGCCGAGGCGGTTGTGCATAGGAGGTCAAACAGAGTTGCTCTTTAACCAGTAATACGACTGCCGAAATGGTCGTCGCGTACTTTCCTACTTGTGTGGCTTATGGCACATGCCCTAGGCTGCAATCGTGGTTGGCCATCTTCGAAGCTCCGCCTCGAACTTCAAGAATTTGTTCCGTGGGAATTAGCCTTGTCAAACAAGCGGATCAGCCTTGTCTGTAGCACACCGCGCACCCGAATTCGGTATCTTTAGACGAAATGGATACTCGTATCTCGTCTGTGCTTTCTACAAATACAGCACAACAGCCACGATGTTCATGCTCACATTGATTGAAGCAGGACCGTCCTCTTTATCTTCTAATGAAATATGTCAGGCACCAAAGCACAAAGGACGAATGAAGAGAAGGGAATCAATGCCGCGCGCGAATTGTCAATGAAGAAATTTGAGGATCGTTATGCGGAGCCACCAGCTTATAGCTCTCGCCCACCATCTTCCAATGAGGCCCCTTCCAGAACCGTACCAAACGCAGAAGAATTGAATTTCCAACCAAGTCCACTCGAGATTCCAACACCTGCCGAGTGCATCGCGCATCTCAAGTTGCTACATGCGTTTGCGAAGCTCAGGCATGAGGTTGGCAACCACGAAGGCCTCTTCGGCATTAGCATGGGTGACACCGGTGCCAAACGCCAAACGGGTGGTCACTCAGGATCGAATGGACCAAATCAGTCCGGAGTAGCTCATGAGCAAGACGCCGCGGCAGCTGGCATTGACACTCACACTTCGGATACTGATGCCAGCTCCATCGCCGGGCTCGCGGAACGCATTCGAGGCAAGCGATGGGCAGTTTTTGTTACCAAAGCTGTTGCTCGCTTTGAGAAATGGTGGGAACTAATGCAGGGTCGATGTAACTGGTACAGACCTATCAGAACTGATGACTTCGAAGGAGAGGATGTGACACATGCTGGTAAGTCACAATGAAAACCCCATCTACCAAGCTGAGCACTTTACAGTCAGGAGGTTCCCTACTACAGGAGATGGATACGATAACAGCGAGGCGTTCTTCTTGCCTCCGCTGGACGTCCTGATGGTGTGGCATGCTTACATGCTCAACCCTAGGATATATCTCGAAGACTCCGTGCGCTACACCAAGCCTACCCTTTGGCGGACTGCATTTCCGTGGGCGCGTATCTACCAGATCATCGATAAAGAGACGTTCGAGTACAGTCCAGGAACTGAATCTGTTTTTGAGCAGGCTACTAGACTTCGCTGGAACTCGTTGCAAGATGAGCGTTTGGCGACGATCAAATGCCCTCAGTGTCGGACCACATGCAATCCTCCATGGACACGACCACCCCACAGAGTCTGTTCCCGAGACTCTGGAAATATACCTGGCAAATGACACTGGCTTCGCAGGATCTGAATTTGACCATCGCTGCTCGACTTGTAGCTTGGTCATCACGCACGAGAAGCTCAGGGTCGGCAAATTCTGCGATGACACAGACAGTCTTATACAAAACAAGCGTCCCCTCTCAGGCACCATTCTGAATGCCTGGGGAGAGCCTTCAGGTATCCCCCCACACTATCCTACATGAAGTATGTACACGTGAAGTATGTATTGACGAGTATAGGGACTACCACGGGCAAGAAACTCGGCACGCACGACGCCTTCTTCCCCCATCGCGTTATCGAGACGAAGACAGAATTCAGAGGACCTTGGATTCGCCCGCGGATGTCCAAAATGACCATGGAATTGCTCAAACTCAATTTCCAGAATCTCATGCGAACACAGTCGGATGTCTTACTGGTGAATGCGCAGCAGAAGAAACCATACTTTATCGCCAAGGCAAGTCGCATTGCTGTACGTAAAGTACTGAGCCACTATTGGGACAATTCAAGCGTTTTCGGCATCGATCTCGTTGGCGCCGTCCTACGCCAGGGAGTCTTCGTGCAGAAAATGACGAAGCTGGACTGGCTGCATAGCCCGACGCTAATGTCAACGACTCAACGACTTATCGTGAAGTACCATCGTTTCGTTCGTCTCGCAGCCGAAAACCCACAGAAAATCGTGGTACCGACTTTGGACGTTGACTTGGCTTGGGTGAGCGTCAATGGATAATCTCCCTAAACAGAAGCGATGCTGACCTGCCATTGATGAAGCATACTCACCAGCTCACTCCGAAGTCATACTATGCCTACACCATGGCTGAAACCAAGAAATTTCTGAACCATGACGATAAGATTCCTGAGTCGAACTTGCACAACAGCTTCCAGTTCACCTCGCTTGCCTACGAAAAGAAGTACGCCCAACCATACTCAGAATGCTGTTGCTGGTACTGCGAGTGTACGCGCGAACCCCTACGGTCCAGCTTTCTCTCCAAGCTCTCATCTCGCCGAACATCTCTCAGCATCCCCACTCTCACCAACGAGAAAGGCTTCACGACAAACCCACACGAAGGCGTGCATCTGAGTTCGCACAACGCGCTTCCGATGCCCAGATCAGCCGAGCAAAAGCGAAAAGAGCTGGAAGACTTGGATTTGCAGTACGCAAAGGTTTTGAAGAGGTATCAGAAGCAGAAAGCGGCGGAGCCGAAACGCGACGGTAACGATGCATATGTCTATGGAGCGTATGGATATCCGATGTATTACCCCATGCCGATATATGTACCGTACTATGCGGATCCAAGCGCGGGTGAGCATGCGAGCGCTGATGTTGCAGGCACAGGCGGTTGTGCAGCGGGAACTTGTGGGGCGGGTACAAGCATAGGAGCCTGTGCTGGCGGTTTGGGGACGCCGGGGTGTGCGGCAAGCTGTGGTGGGCACGGAGGAGCAGATGGCGGATGTGGAAGTTGTGGTGGAGGCGATGGGGGTGGTGGAGGCGGAGGAGGCTGTGGTGGGTGAGTTATAGCCTTTGATATTGTCAGGCTGATGGACTGACGTTTTACAGTGGTGATTAGAGGACGAAATGCTCGATATGTTGAGGTAAAACGGTGCCTCTCGTAGGTCTGCTCTAGTTGCGTTTCTCTCTCTCTCGTAAAGTTCGGAATTTCTCTTCTTTCTCAGTATAGAAAGGTCTCAGGTCATTGCTACGTTAGAGTCTGCCGTATGCCATCAGCGCGATTGATCAGCCCGTCTTTAGTTAGGATAACTGGGTGCCCTTTGTTAATGTATCAGATGTCTTCAAAGTGATATTGCGCTGAATTTGGTCCAGTGTGTTGATACCGCGATGAAGGTGAAATAGAATCTTGTCGCGAAACAACCTGACAAAAGTTATTTTCAATCCTCGACTTGTACATCTAACAGAGTACGCGGTCTCCAGTCCGCACTTCTATGCATCCGTAAACAGTCAGCGGAAGTTTTCGTCATCTACACGCTCGGAGCTGGTGTGGTGAACCGTGGAAGTTATCTAGGAACGTGTTGGAATAGTAGTGCGGTTGCGGAAAGGCTAGGAAGTTTGCTGCACCATCTAGTACCTAGCTTCCCCAACGATTCATATCAATTGTCGCCGGGTACTAGCACGAGTAGCGACTTCCGGCTATCGCAATTGGCCCATACTAGACACTTGAATACTTGATGATGACGATGCAACTTGTAGTTGCTGCCATTTGTCAACAACCATTCAGGTACTAGAAGTACGCATATGCTTTGACGTATAGATGCTTGATTATTTTCTACTTCACTTCCCTTATCGATGAGAAGTTATCATGCGACTCACGATTTTCATTGCACTGGAAATCACACGAGCGTTAGCCTGGACCCATAGACGCTCTGGCTATGTTCCCGGAAACGACTTTGGAGTCCCGCAGAATGCATCCTTCGACTACGTGATCGTTGGAGGAGGTGATGGACCACATAAACATACGCTTCTATTCTCCTCTAACACTTCTCAGGCACTGCGGGGTTAACTTTAGCATATCGCTTAGCCGAAAACAGCACCAATACTGTCGCCGTGATAGAAGCCGGCGGGTTCTACGAGCAAGATAATGGAAACACATCTGTTGTGCCAGCGTATTGTTCTCGCTATGGCGCTTTTAGCGAGGATTCTGCGTCTCAGTATCCGCTGGTTGATTGGGGGTTTGTTACTGAGGCGCAGGAGGGTCTTGGGGGAAGGAGGCTGCATTATGGGCGCGGCAAGACACTGGGTGGAAGGTATGGATGATTGCGTATAGGAAACGCTGAGGACTGGCAGCTGATGTGTGTTTGCAAGCTCGGCGCTGAATGCGATGATATACAACAGAGGGACGTATGGGTCTCAGCAACAATGGGTAGGCGATTCATGTTCCTATCAAGTGCAAACAAGCTTACACTTCAACAGGCAGATCTCGTTGGCGATGATGCCTGGACATTCGATAACACGCTCCATTACTTTGCACGAGGTGTATCGTACTATCCTGGAAACGCAAGTCTGCGTGCCGCAAACGCGAGTGTGCCACCGCCCGCCAACAATCTGGCGTTCAACGGGACAGGACCGTTGCATGTTTCACACCCAAACTTCGCCCAGATTTTCGCGAGCTACATCGATGGCGCCATGGCTGAATCAGGTATTCCTGTGCAGCAAGACTTTGCCAGCGGAAGTTTGCTAGGCAGGCAGTACGCCCCACTTACCATCTCCTACCCCGGCGAAGAGCGGAGTTCTTCACGTTCGTTTCTGCTAGGAGCCTGGGATAGCGGAAAGTCGAACTTGGTGGTGTATCCCAACATGCTTGCGAGGAAGATTGTGTTCAATGGGACTTTGAGAGCCATGGGCGTGGAAGTCGAAGCGTCTTCGTACGGAAACACGAACACTTTCGTGCTCAATGCCACGAAAGAGGTTATTCTGTCCGCAGGCGCATTTCAATCGCCGCAGCTGTTGATGGTGTCTGGAATTGGTCCGCGGGAACAGCTCGAAGCACATGGCATTCCCGTCTTGGTTGATCGGCCGGGCGTAGGTAAGTGATTGTGAAGCCATATACAGCTCAGCGGATCGATTGGCAAGTGTGTAACAGGCGCAAATATGGAAGATCATCTGGATATCACGCCCGTGTTCGAGATCGCGATTGAAAATGGCGTCGGTGCAATTGCTGATCCTTCCGTCAACGCACCGCTGATTGAACAATATCGCACGAATCGAACCGGACCTTTTACAAACGCAGGAGTGGACTATATCGGATGGGAGAAACTGCCAGACATGTACCGCAGCAATCTGAGCGCCGCTGCGCTCGCGGATCTGGCACGATTTCCTGCAGACTGGCCAGAGGTGAGAACTCAGTATCCTGTCTAGAAGGCTCGAAATGCGGGCTAGGTGGCATCGCTGACAAGATGGAAAGGTCGAGTATGAAGTCACAGCAGCCTCTCTGTCCGGCAACGACCCAAGCAAGCGCTTCGGCACCATCGTCACTGTGCCCGTGACGCCACTATCGCGAGGCTACGTGAACATAACCTCCAACTCGATGCACGACCTGCCCCTCGTCAACCCCAATCATCTCTCCCATCCGACAGATCGAGAAGTCGCGGCGCAGGCGTTCAAGCGGGCGAGGTCCTTCTTCGATACAGAAGCCATGCGGCCTATTGTGATTCAGGAGGCCATGCCGGGAGCGAATGTTACGAGTGACGAAGCTATCTTGGAGTATATCATGGCGTCGAGCTACCAGAATTGGCATGCGTCTTGCACGTGTAGAATGGGGCAAAGGAACGATTCGATGGCGGTGGTTGATACACATGCAAAGGTAATAGGCGTGGAGGGGTTGAGAGTAGTCGATTCGTCTTCCTTCGCACTGTTACCGCCGGGGCATCCGCAAAGCATGGTTTGTAAGTTTATTGTTTTCCTTTTCTGCGTGGCAGGTTGGTTCCAGGGGAAAGACGAGTGCTGACTGAAGGGAATCTAGATGCCTTGGCAGAGAAGATTGCTGCCGATATACTACGCGGTAACTAGTTACTGGTTAGGCGTTCTTGGGCGTCAAATTCTGGAACGTGGAGAAGGCAAATATTCTGCTATAGAATTCAGCTGCAGCTGTATTACATCCTGTTTGCGCCTGATCTCAGGCCAATGTTGCTGAAGCCAACAACCTCCCTTTTGTCAAGGGCAGCAATGGTGGTACAAAGAGCACCTGCAGCAAGGAAAACAGCCCTCGCAAGGTTAAGTGTCGCCCACTTGTCGATCAAAGCATGTGTGGTCTCTCCCTCGGCTACACCCTGCTCGACGGCCTCGTCGTCCAGGGATGCGGAGGCCATTGAGTTCATCTTCTCAATGAGCTTGTCATTGATCGGAGCGATGAAGGCAATTGTAAAAGGCACAATGCTTGGGAGGAGGATAGTAGCTGCGACGTTGAGCTTGAATGCCAGCGAGTCTCTGGCGTCTGTTGCCTTGTGAGTACGTGTGGAATGAAGCGTAGAGAGACTTGTTTACGTTGAGATGCAACATATGCTGTGGCTAGAGCACTGCCGAGTGCGAATGGGATACCAAAGCTACCGCCGCGCATGAGGACGGTGTACCACTGCTTTGCGGCAAGTGGGGCGGGAGCCTGCATTATTGCGGGAACTGCAATTAATGAAAGAGAGGCATTGGAACCTGAGCAATTTGGTAAGTAAACTGCTGTGAGGAATATTTTTCATTGTATTTTGAAGGGCTCTCACTCACCACAAATCCATGCGCTCCCTGTAATACCAATTGTGGTGGCAATCAGAAGCCCTGTGGGTGTTTGCTGGGTGAAGGGGGAAGACATTGTGGTGTTAATGGTATGTTAGTAAAAATGTCGGTGACAGCAGGTAACTGAGCAGCGGAAGAGCCCATCTTCTAGATATACACTGCGTGCCTTGTTCGCCTGGTGTATCACGTGAAGCCAGGGATGGCCCTCCGCGTGTGGCAGAGCCAATGACACGGCGACACCTCCGCGTAACGTTACCGCCCGCATCGGCGGATCGCCTTAGACAAAGGTGCCTATGTAGCGCCCCACAGGATTTGGGGGCAATTGAGTGGCAATCATGCCAGAAGCTTGGATGCAACTCTGTACGTAGGCGCAAGCTTCGTTATAGCTTGGGATCCTCGGTGATGGCCTCTAGGTGGAGTTGAAACTCGAGCACCGTCAGCAAATAGCGGTGCATTGATGTCGGTCCTCATTCGGGCGCCGTGGTGACTTGCAGCAACTACAACTACGAGCGTTTACAGCATCAATTGTTCATCCACCGTTCATCCACCGTTCAACAGGTACTACCCTCAGCTTCGCACTTCCTGATAGCAGCCTCGTGCAGACCAGGAGCCACGACCATGTTCTGTAAGTCCACGGGCACGTACGAGTGAACAAGACGTTCTGACAACGGTAGCACTCAGCACCACAGCAACTCTCCACCATGTCACGAACCTGCCACCAGGCACAGCGCCCGAAGACGCCATTAGGCTGCTGCACAACCACGAGGTCCTGATCCGATTCGACCCCGAGTTCGCACACTTTGACAACCTCCCCGCCAACCCCTCGAATCCCGAAGCAAAGCGCTACAAGATCACCGACCACATGCACGCTCTGCCAAAAGGGCTGTGGGACTCGACAGTGACGTTTGAGGCAGAGATGACGGACACGGAAGACGGGGTGCTATGGATCATCAAGGCGCCGTTGGGGCTGGTGCAGCGGACAACGTGGAGGTGCTTGAGGACGGCGTCGTTGGCCGAGGAGGATAGGAAGGGTGAAGGAGAGTGGAGCCTTGTGGAAGATGTCGAGATCAACGCGAACAGGCTGCTGGTCGGGACGGTGAAGGGCAAATGCGAAGAGAACTGGCCGGGCGCGCATGGGAAGTTTGTTAAGCATTTGAAGGGCGAGCCGTAGGCACGAGGCAGATAGTGTAGAGCAGAGCATCGCTAGCCCACGCTGTGTGGAATGGAGCGACTTGGTCTCGAGCTGGAAATTTGCACATGCGCTCGCAGATAAGAGAGAAACATGTGTTCTACGAAGCAGTCGCATGGTGACATCTGACCTCGCTCCGGGCCCCTGCAAATGTGCCGCGTGCTCACTCGAATTCGCCAGACAGGATGGCCATGGCGTCACAGGTCAGTCGCCGCTTCCAGAACCATGCATTTCCAATGCGCTCGGCAAGCAAAACGCAGACTGACGGCGATGAGTGGAAGTGCAGCAGCGTGGACGGTAGGCAGGCGCAAGCTCTCCACAGTCTGGGGCCGGTGGTGCCGACGGTGCCGACGAGTGGCCCGGCAGAAAGGTCGATGCCTGTCTAGCGGGCAGAGAGGAAGTCGTTGGGTTCCTGGGCTGAGCCTCTCGCAGTGAGCTACCCGTCTACTGCGGGCCTAGATGGGTGGGCAAACTACCCAAAAAGGCTGCAGATGCTGTCCCTGCAGACCGACTGCATGCTGCAATGTTGACGGCGCGCAGAAGAAGCCCGGAAGACTTGCCCCCAGTGCTGTCATGTGCTGTCCTTCCTATCTGCGTCGGGTTCTGTGTGTGGACGAGGTTGCAGGCGATGCTGCAGGCGATGCTGCGGGCGATGCTGCGGGTCTCAGCGGTTTGGCGGATCATCTGCAGATGTCTTGGTGGCGGGGTGGCCATGTGCCCGATAGCGCAAGATGGCGGGCGGGAAGCCGCGAGCGATAACGATAACACGACAGGCACCTTGCAGCACATGTATATATCTACGGTCGATGCAAAACGTGCGACACGCGTGTGTTCATGTACACTGCTTTCCCACTGTCTTGCAGTTTCTCCCACTCTTGATGTGGTTCCAGATTCTAGATCCCTCGGACTGCAAAGGCTGTTGAACGACGCTTCCTGCTCCGTCGCGTTCACGGACCCTCTCCCCGCTTTCTCTTTCTGGAAGCCGGCCCATCAGCCTCGATAAACCGCTCAGCCCAGACGCCAGGTCAGCTCGGCTCATTGCCTGCAGTCGTTCCTCTTAGTTCTCCTGCGCCCAGGTTCCGAGCCTGTCACTTTATCTTCTTGACAAACCACACGCTCGTTCAAAGTCTCAGGTCCCTTTCCCCGCGCTGACCCGTCAGCTGTGTACTGTGTACCATACTATGGCGTTGGCGTCCACCATGGAACCTCTATCCATTGACTCTGTTGTCGTCGACCATGCCCGGGAAATGACCCCTTCGCCTCCGGGCACTCCTCCCAGCGAGGCCATTATGATTGAACGGCCCAAGCTCAAGGGCAGACAGCGACTACTCAATGGCCTGCAACGCATGGGCTCTTCCTCGAGCCTAGCCGGCCTGAGCAGACCACGCTCACACAGTCTGAGAAGCGGCGGAAAAGCATCCATGTCTTGCGTCTCGTTGGCATCACCAGGCTCGCCCTACAGCAACACATTCGGCAGCTCGTTTGGGTCCGAGCTGTCCAATGGCTTCTCTACTGCTCCCACTTCAGTCGCCAATAGCCCGCCAGCCAGTCCATTCTGGGACGAAAGGACCCGCATCCACATGCGTACTCCCGACATAGCATCCTCTGTACCTCTGCCTTCTGCCCGCCCGCTATCACGAAGCGGTATTGAAGCGGAGAGCGACTACTTTTCGCGTCCTGTCAAGAAGCATGTCCAGAAGCGGCCCAACTTCAACTTTTGGCGCGATATGCCCACCGAGATCCGCATGCAGATACTCCGCCATCTCGAACCGAAACAGGTCGTGCGCTGTTCGCGAGTCTCTCGATCATGGCACCACATGTGCTTCGACGGCCAGCTTTGGGGCGACCTCGACACCAGTGCTTTCTACCGCGACATCCCCGCCAGCGCCCTCGTAAACATCATAACATCGGCAGGCCCTTTTGTTAGGGACTTGAATCTGAGAGGCTGTGTGCAGCTAAAGGAACAATGGAACAAGAATGACTGGATTCAGTCATGCCAGAACTTGGAGAATTTCTCGCTCGAAGGCTGCCGCATCGATCGAACCTCGATCCACTGCTTCCTGCTGCAGAACAGCCGCCTTGTACATGTCAATCTCTCCGGGCTCGCAGGTGCCACAAACGCAGCCATGAAGATCATTGCATCCAGCTGCTCGCGGGTCGAGGTGCTGAACATCTCTTGGTGCAACAACATCGACAATCGCGGGCTCAAGAAGGTTGTCGAGGGCTGCCCCAGGCTAAGAGATTTGAGAGCTGGCGAGGTGCGAGGCTGGGACGATGTTGATCTCATGGTCCAGCTGTTCAAGCGCAACACCCTTGAGAGGCTGGTTCTCATGAACTGCGACAGCCTCAGCGATGAGTCGCTTGCTGCCCTCATGGAGGGTGTAGGCGAAGAAGTCGACCTTCTCACTGACCGGCCAATTGTGCCTCCTCGCAGGCTCAAGCACCTGGACCTCACTCGATGTCGCACCATCACCGACACTGGACTCAAAACTTTGATCGGCAATGTCCCGCACCTTGAAGGCCTTCAGGTCTCAAAGTGCGGTGGACTGACTGACGACGCTTTGATGGCACTACTCCCCACCATGCCACTCTTGACACATCTCGACATTGAAGAGCTTGATGGTCTCACAAACGAGGTCCTCAAAACATTGGCTGAATCTTCCTGCGCTGCACACCTCCGGCACCTGTGCATCTCCTACTGCGAGAATCTCGGCGACACTGGAATGCTGCCCGTCTTGAAGGCTTGCTCAAAGCTCAACTCGCTGGAGATGGACAACACTCGCATCTCTGACCTCGTCCTTACCGAAGCCGCTGCAAGCATGCGTAATCGCAACCGACTTGGCCGCGGCTTAACTGTCTCAGAACGTCCTGAGATTGGCCTCCGCATCGTGGCCTACGACTGCGCCAACGTCACCTGGACGGGCGTTCGCGAGGTCCTATCACGCAATGCAGAAATCACTCGTCCCTCCAAAACCTCCGTCTCTCAAGTCGCCACCTACCCGCGTGAGATCATCCAGTTGAAGTGCTTCTACAACTGGCAACCCACAGTTGAGGAGCACACCAAACGTGTACTCAAAGGCGATTTTTCTGCAGCCGCGCGCCTAGAGCGCAAGTGGGCCGACTGGATGATGCTGAACGAAGAGGCCGGTGTGGGTGGCGCGGGTGCGCGTCGTCGACGGAGGAGGGCTCGCGAAGCGCAGATGATGCATGCTGACGAAGAGGAAGGTGGCGCTGGCGTGACTGGAGGCGTCGGTCGCCGTCGACGAGCGAGAAGTGGTCCTGGAGGATGCACTGTGATGTGAGGGCTGAATTTCTTTCATGTTGTAAAGTTTTGGAACATTCTCGGGCATTGCTTTCTTCTTCAGCGCAACAAACGCATGCATTTGACACCACACCATATCTTGTATTTCTACATGATGCATACATGCGGAGCATTTGGAATGTCGGTCTCCTTTTTTTTCTTTGAGCGCAGCGCGTGTCCGATCTAGGGTTAGAAAGGTTGAGTGATAGTTTCCTCCCTTTGCTGTGTTGATATAGCCACATCAAGCATATACACTTTCGATATACGTACAGAGTGATTCATATTATTCCAATTCCCCTCTGCCTTCACAAGATTGCGATATGTGATCAATAACTTGCGAGGTCCACCTGAAAACGCGACAGATTAGCTAAGCGGCTCGTGTACTTCCAATAGTCTGCAACGCACTCTCACCACTTATCACCAACTTTCGACTTGGGTTTTCACGTGCATATTACCCATTTCCCAAGAGACTTAATCTATTAGAGCACAGTTCCAAATGTCAACTATCGACATGACTACGAAGGATGATCTGAAGGCCTTTCGCATAGCTGGTCTGCCATCAGAATTCTACTACATTCCAAACTTCATCACGCCAGAGGAAGAGGCATCCATCTTGGACAAGGTAAACATGCTTTCCTCACTCAGCTGCCATATTTGCATCAACCATGTCATTGCGTTCCGTGCACCTAATTAACATACGTGCAGATCCCAGCGCAACGATGGACACAACTCACTCATCGTCGCCTACAAGCGCATCCATCCACTCTTACCAAGAACAACACCTTACTCGCATCTCCCCTGCCAGACTATCTCTCCAACCCGGTGATCCAGCGCTTCAAGAACCTCGGCATCTTCGACGCCACGCCACACCGTCAACCCAACCACGTCCTAATCAACGAGTACCGCGCAGGCGAGGGCATAATGCCCCACGAAGACGGCAGCGCCTACGCCCCGGTCGTCGCGACCGTGTCCCTAGGATCAAGTCTGGTTCTGGACATCATGCCAAGACCAGATGACGGTGATGGTGGTGGTGGCGGACTTCCCGCGCGGATTTTCCAGGAGCCGAGATCGCTGCTCATCACGGCTGGGGGTGCGTATGCCGATCTCATGCATGGCATCGCGCCTGTCGAGGTCGATGAAGATATTCATGCTGGGTCGGTTGCGAATTGGGGGCTCTTGGCTGATGAGCAGAAGCTTGTGGAGAAGGGAGGGAGGAATGTGAGAGGGACGAGGGTTAGCTTGACCTATAGGGATGTGCTCAAGGTTAGCTCGGCGGCGAGTAAGGTTCTTGGGGGGCTCGGGAGGAGGTGAAGAGATGGAATAAGGGTAAAGTTCAAAAGAGACATGCCATTCTCGAGACCCAATGTTGTGCTAAGACAGACATGACGTGCCTGTAACAGCTGTCTATACTTTCCCAAAGTTCGTTCTTCGCGCATCCGATGCATATCTGCTCGTAAGCGACGATCAACCGATCGAAAAAAGCTTTGGTAAGAACTATGTAGAACTATATCGAGGAACATCTCTCATCCGTCTTGTGTGCGTCGCTCGAGCATAAGATCGGTGTTGTTTCCGCACAAATCATTGGCCACAAAGTGGTAATAGCAGCCTCAACCAAACTGTAATCGTAACCTTCTTGTTCCAACCTGCTGTGTCCTGAAGAATCGGGCGTCGCTCCATGCAACCGTGGCGCATTCTAGCGATTGCTACCCTAAATCCAGCGTCAGCATGAATGATGTCGGGTGCAGAAGAGATTGTGTATATGAGGCCAAATAGCCATGTGTATACCACTCCAGCTCACAAATCACCTTTTTGAACAAACCACACTAACAAGTTAGCGCCAAAGCCATCATGATCTACCTCCAACCCCTCATCCTCTCAACGCTGGCCGCTACAGCTACCGCAATGGCCGCTGATATAAACATCCGCTACATGCCCTTTGGCGACAGCATCACTGACGATGTCTGCTGGCGCTTCAAACTCTGGGAAAGACTTCAAGGCACTGAATTCGCGTCCGTCAGCTTTGTGGGCTCCTCGACCCATGATAGAAACTGCACGGATACAAAGTACGATCGGAACCATGAGGGTCACTCGGGCTTTCTTGCCGTGGAGATTGCGAAGCAGAACCAGTTGGAGGGATGGTTGAAGGCGAATCCGGCAGATGTGATTACCATGCATTTGGGCACGAATGATATCGTGCACATGACTTTGACATCAGACATCATCGCGGCGTATACAAAGTTGGTTGCCACGATGCGATCGTGCAATCCGAGGATGAAGATTGTCGTGCGTTCTTCCCCCACGAATGCGTCCCTTTATTTCCTTCGCTCACTTACTTTCCACAGGTCGCACAGATCCTGCCCGTCGACCTCGGCGGGGCCTACAACGCACATATCCAAGAATTAAACGCTGCTATTCCGTCATGGGCAAAAAGTTTGAATCAGACCAAGAGCCCAATATGGGTCGTGGATCAGTATACTGGAATTGTGTCGAGCGACCTCAGAGATGGAGTTCATCCGAGCGATAGCGGGGACGAGAAGATGATGAATGTGTGGTATCCAGCTCTTATGCAGGCATTTATGGCGGTGAAGGCGGAGAAGAGCGCGAGAAGAGAGATAGGGTTTGAGGCGTAGGGCGTGAGGCGACGGAAAGTTTGACTCGGCGATCAGAAAACAGATATACTCAATGACCGAAGAAGGGCAGACCTACACTTCGTCTCGCACAACCACGATTTGGCTAACGCATGAGGTCGTCCGTGGCACGGAGAGCGTGCTAGATATTATACTCCCTGATCATGGTGAAGCTGACAAGCCTCTTACAAAGGACGAACAACGGCTGCCCTGTGCGCGGAAAGATCCTTTTGCACGTACAGAATGGAAACCCTGGGTTCATTTTGGAATGTTCGCATGTAACTTCCCAGGGCGGTTAGCTGATCCACGTGGTTGCTAAGGCGTTGGAAACTCTAGATGTCAAATTCAAGGCTTCAGATCGTGGCTGTGGTAGCGACCGTATCGCGGCGTGTGCATTATCGACGTTCGCGTGTTGCACAGGATTGCCTACGCTCACTTGGGCAAGTACGGGTGCTGTAGTAAGCAGCAATGCTGAAAAAGACCTTCACATTTGCGCCTGAGGCCGCATGCGCCTGCCTGTTATGGCTCTCTCGACTGCGCCCTCCTCTCCAACACCTCGTATGGTCTGATGTTTAATTATCGGCGGTAAATACTTCGGTGCCGCAGAGTGTTTTGAGCATCGTCGATGTGTTGTTGAGGCGGTGCAGCGTAAAGGCTGGGGTGTAGGGCCTAATTCGGTGATGAGACGGGCCTTTTTTTACTGCCACAAACTGTTCACATCCCTGGGAAACGAGGGTGTTTGTAATCATATACGGACGTAGAGAGGATGACCTACTGCTGTTTTGGAACTATGTGATGAGCATGACGGCTACCCCACGTTTCGGCACGACTTTATATTCTGGGTGAATTGCAGTGTTGGGATGCGCAAATATCGGAATTGATCGCATCTGCCAGAACACAAACTCATGGCAGAGGGGCCGTGTGTAGCCACACTCATGGCAACGGTTACTTCAGATCGGAGGTGTAAGGTGGCCGCTGAGTGTATCGACAAGTTGTCATACAGTCTTCTGTATAGCTCTAAGCGGTTCGCCCGTAAGGATGACGGGGCAGCATACCGGAGCTTTCATCCCGAGCAGAGACCACTTTGCGCCACCAGATACGGGGGGAACGAGGTGCAGCGGAAGTAATATGCGCTTAAGCTCCCATAGGGCAGGTGAGGGCCGGCTATTTTTTTTGGCGAGCCCGCCATGGCAGCCCAGGGTAGGGATGGGTTTGCTTGTCACCGTGTTGTCCAGACTGACTCTCCGGGAAGTTTCGAGATGCACTGTTGTGATGAAGATGGCATGTGACCTTGCGTAATGTGAGATGGTCGAAGGCGGCGCTGTGCACAATGGTGTGGATGATGCATCTGTGCAGAGTTGTGGTTGTCGTCCCGAGCAGCAGCCCTCGAAGTAGATGCCAGACGCTTTTTTGGCAGCGTGCATCGCGCAATCTTCCCATGCTGGGCAGATTTCCAAGATGCCCTCCAAGATTTTGCTCCAAGATCCAAGACTCAGCACCATGCATAAATCATAGCATCTATGAGTTGTGACACGCTCCCCCTTGTTTCGGGCGAGCTCGATGCGAAATACCGCAATTGTGATTCGCTCGATACTGGCTACTCGAGCTCAGCCTCTACCACGCGTCCAGGCTAAGACGTTGTTCCCCTCACATTTTCCCTACAACTGATACAATCCATGTATCCATGGCTTCAGGATAAGCCCGCGAAGTTCTAATAGGTCGCGGGTACTCGACCCTCAAGCCCTACTGTGCTCAATGACGCATAGCGCGTGGCTGTTGGCAACGCTCATTCCCATTCCTCGGGTCTCCGACTCTCCACATGCAGCCAAACGTCCATGATCTCAACATGGTTTGGTCTGCGAGTAGAATTGCGCCGAGCTGGCTGTTCAGTGTACAGCCTGTTTCTCAATCTTACGCGTCCGGCAGCAATTGCGGGTTCTGTGTTGGACAATGATCGACTCTATTTAAGTCCTTTGTTGCCCCCCCACAAGCCTATACAAACGGACCTGATTCCGCACAGTAACTCGACGCCCTCTCGTCCCATTGAGGCTTGAACGCTTGCGATCCACGTGCATCTAGCCTTTCTTGCCGCCCCATCTAGCTGGCGCATCACGGAACCTTACACTCCCGAGCATACATAGAGTTGGAGTAGCCGACCTGAGAAGAAAAGTCCATCTGTCGCCCACACAGCAGCACAGTTGCTGGAAGCAATAACAACATGAAGCTCAACGGTGCGACAACGTCAGCATTGCTGGCTTTTAGTGAGTGCATACGTACTTTGAGGATACAGCTCCATGCTAACAACGAGTAGCAAGCCAAGTCTCGGCTCAAGTGGCCAGTGTATGCCCGTCAAAAAATGTGTGCTTCAAGCTCAACATTCCTGATAGCACTGCATCATCAGGAAGTGGTGATATTTTCTTCCAGATCTCAGCCCCCAGTAGTCATGAATGGGTGGCGCTCGGGCAAGGAACGAGCATGGCCGGTTCAAACATGTTCTTGGTCTACACGTCCGCAAATGGAAACAACGTGACTCTGTCGCCTCGAACAGCCAGCGGATATGTTCCTCCGGACCTCAACAGTGAGGCTCAGGTCACGTTGCTCGAGGGATCAGGCGTTGCGAACGGTATCATGACCGCAAATGTAAAGTGTAAGTCTACATCTCGTTATAACGCGCCGCGTACCTTGCGCTTAGCTCATCGGCTGACCCATTTCCAGGCTCCAATTGCAACAGTTGGTCTGGCGGGACGATGGACTTCAAATCGTCGAAAGGAAACTGGGTCTACGCGTTCAACCCATCGAACGGTCCCAAGAACTCCGACTCTCAATCCGCTTCGATACGACAACACACTGGACATGACACCTTCTCCTGGGACTTTGCGACTGCCAAGGGCGGAAACAGCGTAAACCCCCTTCTCACCGCCGCCCCAGTTGCACCCGGTGCTGGATCAGGTGCTGGACCTGCTGGCCCTGGAAACGCGAGTGGGGGTCCTGGAGGCATCACTTCTACCGGCGGTGGGAGCAGCAACAGGAGAGCTATGCTCATTGCACACGGTGTTCTTGCATCTCTTGCTTTTGTCATTCTCTTCCCAGCTGGAGCCATCGCAATCCGCCTTGCTTCTGTCCCTGGCATCGCCTGGATCCACGGTGGCTTCCAAATTTTTGCCTACATGGTATACATTGCTGCGGCTGGACTTGGTATCCACCTTGCATGCGGACTGGGCTTGCTGAAGAGCTACCACCCCGTCATCGGCTTGGTGGTACTGGCTGTTCTCTTTTTTCAGCCGATTCTTGGCGCCGTGCATCACAGACTCTTCAAGGTGCACAATGGCCGCACTCTCTGGTCCTATGGACACATCTGGCTCGGCCGTGCTGCGATTACTCTTGGTATAATCAACGGAGGTCTTGGCCTTCGTCTCGCCAACAACACAAACTCAGGCAAGATTGCGTACGGTGTTATCGCTGGATTCATGTGGTTGGCTTGGGTTGCTGCTATGGTCATTGGAGAGAAGCGCAGAAAGACGGCAGTTCATCACAAGGAGAGAACTGGCTCGGACGGCAGTGAAGGTGCGGTCGTGCCTCCTACCAACGGCCACTATGAGCCCAAGCAGACGTAGGATGTTGTGGTTGAGATGGAGGTGTTCGGGGACGGATTGCTTGTACGGGAGCCCGGCAGTCCTGTAAAGTAATTAGCTATTATTGAATTTTCCCTATGTAAAGATATCCAACACGTTCCTATGCTTAGGCGCAATAATGCATGTCGCATCGAGAAACTTCGAGATCATGGACACGTGATGGTGGCGCTAATTTAGCGCCGCCGCTATCGTGGGGTCAAGATGAAATCGCGGTTGCCGTCCAACGAAGCCAGCAAGATCAACAAACAGCCACGGCCGATAATATCTCCTTCCCCGCCACTTCTCCTTTGCCCGTTCCAGTCGCGTACTCACCGACACCCATTTCCTCGCTTGATTTCTTCACGACAGGCGCATCACACATCTGTTCACGATGGGAGAGTCCAGGTATGTTTTGCGAGGGGCTCAGGCTCCGACGGCCAACTTTTCGGGCCACGGCGCGCAATGAGCAGCACACATGCTGACCAGGGCTTCACTACAGACAAGAACTCGTCGCCTGGTTAAACAACCTCCTCCAGCTTAACATCACGAAAGTCGAACAATGCGGGACAGGGTACGTCACACGGACGGCCTCAAGAAGAAGCAGGCGGGTGCTAATACATGCTTCAGCGCAGCACTATGCCAGATCTTCGACAGCATCTTCTGTGAGTAGTAACGCGCAAACAACAGCTCGCATCCTCTAACAGACAACGCAGATGATGTCCCCATGTCGCGAGTCAAGTTCAATGCCAACACGGAGTATGCATATCTGCAGAATTTCAAGATATTGCAAAGTACGTATCTACGTTGATGAGAGCATCCAGAGGCTCTCGTACTATTGGTTCACATCACTGACACCACGCAGACACGTTCGCCAAGCACCAAGTCGACAAGCCCATCCGTGTTGAGTCACTCGTGAAGTGCAAGATGCAGGACAACCTCGAGTTCCTGCAATTCGTAAAGCAATACTGGGACCAGCACTTTCCTGGCCACGAATACGACCCCGTCGCACGCCGCAAGGGCTCGGGCGCTATGCCCGCTTCCGGAGGCGGTGCACCGCGTGCCGCACCCGCCGCTGCCCGAAGAGCGCCGGCCGCCAGCAACACGGCCGCGCCTAGGACGCGCACACCGCTCGCTGCTGGAGGAGGAGCTGCCAGTGCTGCGCTGCGGGAAGAGAACAATCAGCTGAAGGAGACAGTCTCTGGCCTTGAGCGTGAACGGGACTTCTACTTCAGCAAGCTCCGCGACATTGAGCTGCTCATTCAACAAGCGATGGAGGCCGATCCTGAGCTCGAGAAGGATGAGGGTCTGCTCAAGCAGATCCAGAACATTCTGTACTCGACCGAAGAGGGCTTCGAGATCCCGCCAGAGGCTGAGGGTGTTGAGGAGGAGACGTTCTAGGTGACGGGTCTTCAGGCTCAAGATGTTGCGGCAACTATTGCGCGCGCCGAAGACATCATTGGCGAGCTTTCTGCCACTACTGCGCCAGGGGTCATTGTGTCGGAGGACGTCATGTCAGATGTCAGGCCGTGAAGGCAAACGTGGAGATGCATTGTAAGCGTTGCTGGGATACCATTTCGCAGGGATTTCAGCGTCCCTTTCTTTGACGAGTTACGAGCGGTATAGGAGATGGCCTGCTGTGGGAGGTGATAGATTCATGGACTGCGTCATCCACGATGATCTCGCCTGTCACTTATCACTCACGAACAATAATATAAGGTGCAGAGTGTAGCAAGCGTATGTTTATTATGGTCGTATTCACCTGTTACACTATTCTCTTTGACGCGAGCCCCGTGAAGGGATTGAGGCATTCGGACTGCCAGTACATTCTATGCCTCACTCCATACTCGGCACATGTCAATAGTAGCCCCTCCACGATTGACTAGCAACACGAACACACTAATAAACGAACAAGAATACCACATGCACTACCCGTTTTCTTCCAATGTCTTCACAAGATGAAGTTCGTGTCGGGATACGTCGGATGTGAGCTAGAGGCTGGATGAATGTGGGGAAATGCGCTAACCACACCCCTCCAATTGCTGCAAGTTGCTGCAGGCTTCGCATATCACTATTTGTGACGAAACCTACAACAGTTAGCTGCTTCATTCCCCAACAATGGCAAACTAGGGCCAAGTGCAGCGACGACTGATCTTCTCGAAACGAAGGCCCACGTGCAGCCGCACCCCGCATTTCAGCTACCCCTCCCTGACTTCATGGCGCTTGTGGCACAGATGATTGACGCGTTTGTCCATATATATTGACCATGGGGATGTGGTGATGGCCACATCACTACCTCCCTTCCCTACTTACGAGCACTTTGTCACCCTTCTGTTCCCTAGAGCAACGTTGCAATTGATTTGCACACGACAAACATGGCAGACTGGTCTGATATCACGGCCGCATTGAAAGGCAGCTTCGACAAGTTCAACAAGCTCCTTGAGTCTGATGCACAATTGAAGGCTTTCACAACGTCGAATGCGATCGACAAAGCCGCTACATTTGGTATCAAATCCAGTGGCTCCGACAACACGTTGCTGATCAGCGTCACCAATGGCAGCGCGAAAGCGAGCACTGGCACGCCCAAGGATGCTCTCTTTACGCTAGCTGCTCTTCCAGAGCAATGGGAACAACACTTCCAGAAAGTCCCTAAGATGCCGTATCAGAGCTACTGGGGCATGTTCGGCATGAACATCAAGCAGAAAGGCATTGAAGTGCTCGGCGACCAGACAGCATACGCTCACTGGACCCATGTCTGGAGACGCGTACTTGAGCTCGCACACGACGCGCAGTGTGGGCCCATGCCAATGGACGAGCAGCCGGAGCCCGAAGAAGACTACATCACGGGCCGCTACCTCTACCTCGAGGCTCCCGTCTGGGGCAGGAGCAAGGTCTTCTACGAATTTGCGGGCGAAGGGAAACAAGCAATTGTCTTCCTCCACACCGCCGGCAGCGACAGTAGACAGTATCACGGTGTCATGAACGATGCTCGGATGCGCAAGAGGTGCACAATGTACGCTTTCGACCTCCCCGGCCATGGACGCAGCTTTCCATCGAAGAACTACCTCCCCGGCGCTCACACAAATACGGAGGATAGCTACGTTGGCATCATCGCTGCTTTCGTGAGGGAATTGGGGCTCCGCAGGCCAATCATATGCGGTGCGAGCATGGCGGGCCAGGTCTGCCTTGCTGTGGCAATTCGACACAAAGAAGTGGGGGCTTCAGGCACGATTCCTCTACAAGGGTGAGTTCGGCCTTTTTGTTTGCAGAAGCACAACTCTCCACGCCACTTGATGGCCATGCAAACGTTGCTGACGCTAGTAGATCTGAGTATCTGAATATGGAACGCCAATGGCACGACCGCTCACCCTATGTAAATCAGTCGCTCTTTAACCCCGAATGGATATATGGAGTATGTTCAGAGCCAGTAGCATGAAAGTTTCTAGTGTTAACAGTCCAAAGATGATGTCACCTACCGCTCCTCTTGCAAACAAGCAGCTTATCTGGCACCTTTACAGCGCCCAAGCTTATGGAATTGTGTGTAAATTGAAGCAGGACATTCGAAATCTTTCGAAGCTGACTTTACTACAGTTCCATGGAGATTTAGATTTCTATTTTGGCGGCTGGGATGGTCGTTCGCGCGTCGCGTCCATCGACACACAAGCATGTCCTGTATACATGCTCACAGGCGAATACGACTGGTCGAACACACCAGAGATGTCGCAGAAGACGGCTGATAAGATCCCGGGTGCTATGCACAAGGCGATGCCAGATTTGGGGCATTTTCCAGCCACGGAGAACCCTGCCAAGTTTGTACCGCATCTCATTGAGGCGATTGAGCACATCCAGAAGGTGAGGAGTGAGAGCTTGAGTACAATGAGGCTGGGCAATGGCACAGATTGAGCAGTGCGATGTATTATAGCACTCCCGTTGGTATGAAGCTGTACATGACAGTTTGTAAACGAAATAGCCCTTGCTACATTACATGTATTTTCAGTGGAAATTGTTCAGTGGAAATGTCGTTGATGTATTACGGCCTTCACTCTGAGGCAAAGTTGCCGAGACGATGCACGTTCCATGTTCAAAGTTACGTCACAACGGTCCGCGTGTGGACCCTGCTCTTGATCATCTGCTATCAACTTCGAATCCAACGTGGTTTTCGACGCCCAACATTACGCTGGGCTCACGCAATCTTGACATCCACAAGGCTCTGGTATTACAGACACTGCCTGGAGCACGGCACGCGACGCCAGACACGTGCGCACTGAAGCACGGCTGCCTGCAACCACACCTTAGCACCTTAGCTGGACGTCGAGCCCGTCTACCTCCCCCCCACACCCTCGGGACCACCATGGCGCCTCTCAAGATTAGCATACCGTCGGCGAATGAGAAGACGCCTGAAGGCGGCAAGCCCTATACGGCCTACACGGTCAAGATCGAACATGCTTTCCCACGCGCAGCCACGAGCGTGTCGAAACGATACACGGACTTCTCCACACTCGACAGTGCCCTAAGATCGTCAGTTGGATCTGCGCCACCTGTTGCCCTGCCGGCAAAAACCTGGGGAATCGGGGGTTTCCTGGGCTTGGGCGGAGGAACGGCCACGCCCGACGCCATTGAGAAGCGAAGAGTCGGACTTGAACAATATCTTCGAGCCATCGAAAATGCCGAAGACGGACGATGGCGCGTCAGCAGGCCGTACCGTGACTTTCTCGAGCTGGACGACAAGGATGCAAAGAAACCCGCCAGCTTCCCAGGTTCACAATTCGGCAAGGACAGGGTGCGCGACTCGTCGGATTGGCTGGACAAACACGGAGCTCTGAAGAGTAGCCTGCAAGATGCACGCAGGTGCCTGACAGCCCGCGAACAAGCCATCGCTGCGACCGCGCAACACGAGGCTGCTGCGAATGCGAAGAAGAGCCTACTCCGCGCCAGCACGCTGCTCTCCGCCCTGGACGAGGGACTGGGGAGGCTGAGTGGGAGCTCGGGAGACGAGTGGTCTGGAGAGAAGCTCGGTGAGGGCGAAATCCGGCGAAGGAGAGACATGATCAGTAGCATGCGCAAAGAAAAGGACGGCCTGGAGAGCGTGCTCAATAGCATGGCTGTCAAAGCTGCCATGTCGGGCAGCTCTTCAACACCATCTACATCCTCGGCAGCTGTCACACAAGAACAGAAAGCCGGCCTGTTCAAAGGCGCTCAGTCCTCTGGCCGACGCGTCCTCGGCGCTCCACAAGAGACGGAGCGAACGCGCGAACTAGACAATGAGGGTGTTCTGCAGATGCAGAAACAAATCATCCAAGACCAAGATGAGGACTTGGTGGATTTGACCACGGTTGTGCGGAGGATGAGGGACATGGGCGTGGCGATTAATACGGAGATTGTAGAGCAGAACGCCATGCTAGGATTGTTGGACGAGGACGTGGAGAGAGTCGACGGCAAGATCAAGATTGCAAAGAAGAGGATCGCCAAGATACGATAGAAATGACGAGCTTGTGGTCTACTCTGAATAGATGGGAAAGGGAGGAGCGATTTGGTCGTTTCCATGTACATGATACCCTGCTTTGCAATCAAATTCTTTCATCACGTTATGCACTTGCCACACATACTGAAATGTACCTGAAGTTACTACAACTTTCTTTGCAGCTGCTTTCGATGTAACATGTACATTGGTATATCGCGACAAACTTTAGGCAATCGATCCGCCCACCAGACCCAACTTCTATGAGCCCCCAAACTTCTCCCGCTTCACGGCCAGAAACGTCAAGCTCCACAGCTGCCGGATATTACTCTCGGTCGACGTAATAGCACCCAGAGGAACAGACTGGTACTGCCCACCATTGTATGACCAGCTCCACACCTCATGACTGAGCTGCGCGCGATTGGCATCAATCGTATCCCAGAGACCGTCGTATGCCGACAGGACCTTACCGTAGAGCTGCGAATCGTTACAGAAATCTACAATGAGTATTAATGGGTGCTTCAGATAGGGAGATGGGATTGTGACTTGCCAGGTTTGCCGTACGACGACGCACATCGGCCAAGCTGCTTGCCGAGACCCGCTGCCATCATAGCAAGCTGGAAGCTCCACACCACAGTACCGTGGTATTCGCGAGCCGAGAAGCCATTTTCAAAGTTCGCGTCGTTGGCATAGGCTGGGTTCGCAACGACTAGGCCGACGCCGGTGGAGAGACCAACTGGGAATGGCTGCAGAATATGGTCCGCGGACTGATCCAAGAAGGCACTGAGCTGCGTCTGATTGGTCGCATTGAGGAAGAAATGGCGGAAGCAGTCGTCAGTGTTCATGACTGGAATGGGGTCCCCGGAGTTGAACGAGCCATCGACAGCCAGCCCGTAGAACTTGACGTCGCTAGTGATGCTATCCGCATTCGCAGGTACAGAAATTCCAGCGCCTTTAACGTAGCTCTGCACTCGGGATGCGGCGTCCGCTTGGGACACAGTGACTTCGAAAAAGGGCAGCGTCTCGTCTTCCCAGATCTGAGCGTATTGATCCGCTGTGTCCTTCCACTCAGGATGGCTTGTGAAGAAACCAGCTCGGCTGAGGGCAGCGACGGCACGGAGACCGGCAGGCACAAGGGCGGTGTTGACATCGTAAGGTGTATGCCCGCCACCGAGACCATTGCCAGAATCACGCCATTGACCAACGCCCTCGCCATCGCGAAGATGGAGGAGATTGGCTTTTGTTTGGCTTTTCGCGAACGGTGCTGCGTTGCGCATAATCTTCTCTGCAGCAACTTCAGATAAGTAGGAGTACTTTGCTCCATTGTTCGCGGCCAAGAAGGTTGCCGTCTTGCCAAAGAATGCCTCCTTGCGTTGCTGGCCGGACGGAGTGTCGACAAAATAGCGCTGCATGGCGATGGGGAGCATAAAGTCGGTATCGATCATCTTGTAATCACATCGAGGGCTAGAGGATTCTACTCCTTCCTTGCGATTGAGGTATGTGGCATAGTCGCCAAGGACTTCCTCATGGCAGACAGTTCCGTCCTGTCGATCGATCCGCTCAATGACAGCCGAAATGACCGCCTCGATAGCCTCGTCGCTAAGGATTGACTGCATGAGAAACATCGAGATCATGCTGTCGCGGCCAAAATAGGTAAGAAAACGCCAAGTACCAGCTAGAAGTTTATCGGTGTATGACAAGAAGGACAACGATGCCGTCAAGTCTGGGTTCTGGGCGATCAAGCCACTTGCGGCCTCAGTGAGCACCTCCTGCGAGCTGAACTGGTCGAGCTGGGGATAATTGTAAGAAGCCTCGAAGTAGTAGGAGCCGGATCCAAACAAGAGCGTCCATGCAGAGCCACGCCCCACAGTGATATTTTGTGCGCCATTGAGAGGCGTAAACTTGATCGTAGTTGTCGTGACGCCATCAAACCAGGTCCGGTTAATGGAACCACTACCATCATCGTATTCGGCGAAGCCAAAGCTGTTTTGGAATGCTTGATCGATACCTCCGCCCTCAGAATAATCTCGCATCGCGCGGACACTGCCCAAGATGGGAACAGCGAGAATCGCCGTGTTGTTGAAGGCGACTGTACCGGAGACACCTACACGAGGGTTCACACCTACATTCGTGTCGAAGATGGGACTCAAGGCCGCGCCAGTGCTAGACTTCTCCATCATCATGGTGAGCGTACCGGCCTGGCCATTGCCCGGCTCGAAGATCGCCAGTGCGCCGCTATTGCCAGCCGGCCATGCGACTAGTAGCCGAGGCTTGACAATGTTGAGATTATCCCCAACCCTAGGATTGGTGATGATGACATGGGAGCTTGAGTGGCAGTCACTGTAGAAGTAGTTGTCGTAGGGGCCATCCACAAGATTCAACCGTGACGCAGCCTCGGAACAGGAAGCAGCAGGAGCCGAATACTGAGGGGATGGATGGGCAATGGCCGCCGTTGCGAGCAGTATCGTGGCGAGAACTGCCATGAAGGCCATGGTGGCTATAACAATAGTAAGGTTAGCAGACGGTAGGCGCATGGTGGGCATGGGTGCGTCGATGGAGGTGGACAACTTACCTTTGTAGAGCTCTGCGGAACTTGTTCAGCTGGGTGTGTTGAACGATTGCACGGTGGCTATTCTGGTGATTCGGTTGACTGTCGCATGTGAAGCGCGTGTGTTTTCTGAGTAGCGTGGGTCGTGATCCAAGTCGAGGCACCTGACGTTCGTCCGAAGGAGCAGTCCAATTTAATCTGATCGAGCATAAACAAGTGTGAAGTATTAAGAAAAGATGATATCCGGCTCAGGATAGGAATTCTCGACACAACCTCTTGTTTCCTATTGCGTGTTTGCTCGGTTGAGGTTGTCCACTTCGGGGAGGGTCAGGACTGGACCTCGAAGATTAGAAGAGCTTTTGTAGTACACAAGCCCTCGCCCTCCCGCATAACATGGGGCTCCATCGCAGAGGTGAGAGGACCAAGAAAAGCTTTGGCCACGAGAGCCCTTGAACCCCAGGTCTTTCCCCATATGCCCCATAATGAAAGGCTCTAGCAGTGCTACATGACTACATATATGGAGCACCTTGTCACGGCAGCGGCAGTGCTGGCGTTTCGCGCCCCACGGCACATCTGCGCCAATGCTGCTATGACATGTCGATAGGCAGAGACAGGGTCACGATGGTAGTGCTGGTGTTGTTCGAATCTGGGGTAGAAGAGACATGGTTGGATGGTGACTAGATCACGCATGCTGCCGCAGATGCGCTTTCCCCGTTTCAACCCCGATCAGCGCAAGGCCCGCAATTTCTCGACGCACCCCTAACAGTTCCTTATCTGGTAAAACGCTCAAACACCACGATAATACCCGGGTTAACTCGCAATCATTACCGCGGCCTCTCGTCGACTCTGAGCCTGTACTTGCTCTTGTGCTAATGAAGCCATGGTGCCGCCCTGGCATTACAACACTTTGAGTTTCCGTGCTCGCCGGCCGCACCAAGCCTACGTATTGTCATCACAAACCTATAGCTTAAGAAGCCCGAACCATCACTGCCACAGGAAGTGTCTCTGTAGCAGGCCTTACACATGTGGAGCGGGCCTATCGGAGCCATTTATCTTCCGAAACGTGATAAAATCCATAATTTACTATGATACTGACGTTTGTGGAACATGTTGCACACTCATAGCGAGTCTCCTCTTCGCGTGCACAGTCGTATCGCATGTACAGCGTCGCACGGCAAGTTCAGTGGCACCTTGTCCGTTCTTCCTTCTCGTAACACAATCATGCGCGAGTACCCTATATCCACTCGGGCCGTCACTCACAGGATGCTACCAAGACGCTTGATTGAGTCGTGTCGAAGGCCAACGTCATGAACACAGTCATCCTCGAATTATTGTGTTGACGTCGCCAATCTTGCCTTCGATCCGTCTTGCTGGTTTGCCTCGCGGCTTGCTCGTCCAGGTCTCCCAGGCTCGCTCCGAGCTCGGTAGAAACTCTGTACCAACCTCAAGGCTCAACCCGTCAAAGACAGACTGCCGCTAAGAGACTACACGTCCACTCACTCGTCATGGATCTTCTTGCCCACAGATCACGTCCAATGTAGACAGAAGTTGTGGCGTATATTATCTCGACTACCCATAGCTCGAATCTATCATACGCGTTCAAGACAGCAGAGAATGCCGAGCAGAGAAATGTGCGAACGCACTACGGCGATGACTCCAATACTTCGAAGCCTACGAGGTCAGGCGCAGTGCCATTCCCGTATCCCGCGAAAGTCAACACATTTTGCTCGCCTTGAATAAACCCATCGGCTTCGACGAGCAACCTTCCGCTCTCGTTCCAATTGCCACCCGAAAGAGGGAATGCCCATCTCTTAGCCTTTTGACCATTTACTGCAATAGTCATGTTCCTAATATTGTCACCCAAGCCCCAGGCAGTCGTGAAAGCGTAATCGTAGTTTACAAAGTCGACTCCCACCAACTTCTTGCCCGCAGATTGAGCGCTGACATTTTCAAAGGTGACACTGCCGCCCAATCCAATGTTTTCAATCTTTGCACCAGTAGGTAGGCATGTTCCTAATGGGCATGTATTGACTCGAGCTGAGCCACTTGTAGTCGCCAGGGTAGCATTGTAGTATGCTGTGGCCTTGAGAGGACTAGCTGCCGTTATGTTTGACAGCAGCCACAGTCGCAACTCGTGACCTGCCAAAGTAAGATTTTGCGATCCGCTCACCACACCTTGGTCCTTCTCTGCCCACAAGTCGCGCGCCTGCGCTGAGCCGATCCCAAGTGCCGCCAAGTCGACTTGAATGCTCTGAGAATCGTTTTTCCAATTCGCAATACCCAAAATCTGACGGGCCCCGGAGAGCTCGCCCTGCCACACATCCCACTCCTCCTCAGTAGCTCGGATGATGAGCTGCGCTTGCTTGGCAAGACTGTCTTGGTTAACAGCGATCACTTCTGCGTTCGACATGATTTGCAACGACACGTTGCTTAGACGCCCGGGATCGAGCGCTGCTCCCATGATCAAGGGCGACTTGTTGATGGCCCACATGCCAAAGTGGAAGCGCTCTTCTTCGGCCGAAAGAGCATTGAGTCCGACACTGTGGTTGTCAGCCTTTCATCGAATATGACCTTCGCCTTCAAGACACCCCAGGACCACAAAGAGGACTTACATCAACATGTCCATATCCGCGAACGCACCAACTTTCGTATGTCTGAAATATGGCACAATCTGGTTCGTGATGCGCCATATACTTCTCCAGGCATTGTAGATGTCATTGCTCATCCTCCAAGTAGTTCCTAGCTCGCTTGCCCACTTTCCAACATCCACGCCAATGCCCCATTGACAAATGTAGTACTCAATGTCACGATCGACCGCGTCCAGCTCAGCACCCATATGCTGGAATCTCGCAGGCGATTGCGATTCAACAGAACTGGAATCAACCATAGTTGTGTTCGACGTGGCGTAGCAATTATCGTATCTAGGCATGATCAGCAGAAAGTAAGCTCCGGTGACCTTGAGGAATATATACTTGAGGCTATCACCGCCCCACTCAGCAAAGCTCTCGGCATCCAACTTCTCAAATCCCAGACTTGCAGGAATCTCAGTAGATCCGCATTGCAAGTACCCTGCGCCCGAGTACAGGCCGAAGCTGAGCCCGCGCTCATGAATATAATCACCCAGCGCCTTACCGCCACTCGGGAACAGGGTCGTATTCCATTGCATCCTTCCTTCGCTATCACGATATTTTGAATTCCAACCACAGTCCACGGTTATGAAGTCGTAGCCAAGCTTGTCGAGCCCCATGGAGATGAGGCCTTCGGTACTCTCCTTGATCCGCTCTTCCGAAGGCAAGCAGTTCCATGAGTTGTACGAGTTCCAGCCCATTGGGGGCCTGTCGGATCGGACAAGTCTGCCTGCAGCGAGATTTGCGAGGCACGCAACGGCGAGAAGCTTCGAGGCAGCCATGCTTAAGATGAAAGAGCTCAAGTCGCTTGCGATAACTAAGCAGCTCTGATTGGCAGAAGTCACAATAAATGCGTGCCGGTTTTTGAAGAGAGCAGAGTTCGATGGGTACTTATGGTAGGTAATGAGCATCATGATACACCCTTGCGCAGTATAGTACGTGTGATATCATCCATGCAGCAACACGGACGACCTGCCCCGAACAAACCTGTCGTTTGATCCCGTCACCAACGGGGAAAATCCAGCGGAAAAATAACCCACCGCACAGCGTAGCATGTCAGGCCAAAAGTGCTGGTAGTGTCGGAAGCCATACCGAACCGGGACACTACCCTCGCTTGGATCGTGAGGGGAAAAGAACCGGTTGTTGTTCATCTAGCGGGGTACCTACATAGTGGCGGAGATCTTGTTTCCTTCGTGGTGCATCGGGGCATTAATGACGCGGGAACTACCAAGACGGTACTTTTGTAATGGGGGTGTTGCTCTGCTTGGCCATGTCCCGCCAAGATGCCAACTTGAACTGTTCAGCCGGCTCAGCGAGTTGGTCTTTGTCTGTTGCACACCATTGTTAGTCGCAATCAAGACATGTTGTTCGAGTTGCAGGTCAAGTTGCCAGTGGATGTCTGTGCCATGTCGAGAGCACTTACACGATTCCTCGAGACTTTGGCAGTAGTGCAAACACGTTATCGAGAGTCTTCGTCTTCATAGCATCAAGTTTGAAATCCAAATGAACTGTTATTGAGAAGAGCAGCGAAGATTCATGATCTTCGTCATGGCGGCGAATTCGGAGTTCTCGCGATTTCTGTATGTACAACAACCGTCATACGCAAGGTAAATAGGCGAAGGACATCGGACAGTAGACACGAACAAGACGGATAAATGTGCGCATATAGTTTGCAAGTAAAGACTCGCGAAAAAGCCAGTGAATAAATAATGATCAACATCTTAGCGAATGAATGTGAAGGTGTTAAAGCTGCTGCGTGGAATTGAAGGTATGGATCCGTGATAACGCGTAACGTTGTTTAGCAAGAAGACTGGCCATTCGCAGTGCCACTCGTGTACGCTCCAGCGGCAGTGTCACCAAGGCATTCGGCTATGGAAGGTTAGCAGACATGCACATACAGATAGAAACGCTCGACTTACCAACAGTGACCAACTTCAAGTTGTTGTTCTTCGCCCAGGTAATCAACCAAGGCGTGAGAGTGTTCACCGTCCCGGCGTACGTCTCATGCATCAAAGAAATGTGTCCATTGCCACTGGTGCCCGCCTGTTGGAACTTCTGCTGGCTCTGCTGCGGGGTCTGGTTGTTCCAGTCGCCACTGTCAACATCGTTGGTGATGACGCGGTATCCTAGATTCTTCATTGTGGGGAGGACGTTGCCACCTGTGGCGAGATAGGGTGGACGCATGTACGTGGGCTTAACGCCGATGATGTTGACCAACGCCTGCTCAAGGCGAGTCATTTGCGTGTTGAGATCGCTGCTAGAAAGCGAGCCAAAGTTCTGTGGGTGACTCCACGAGTGTGAAGCTATCTGGTGGCCGGCTTTGTAGGCGTTCTGCAGTGCGGACTTTTGGTTGTAGATGCAGCCTGTGTATGTTAGATTTCAAAATATAGCGAGGTATGGTAAAAAGGAGGCGAGTATCCATTTGAGTCTTACCGTATAGAGTTCCTAGCAATGGGGTCAATATCGACTTCAATTATCAAGCTACTGATCTCTTACCTGTAACGAAGAAAGTGCCCTTGGCTCCAGCTGCTGACAATGTGTCTACGAGCTTCTGGGTGTTCTGAGACGGTCCATCATCGTATGCGAGAGCAAGCTGGCCCAGGCGCATTGCATTTCGTGATGACAACACCCGCCGCAGGACCGGCACGCTTCATCATCTGTACCGGATCTGGAACTGGCTTGGCCAGCGCAACTGCTGCGAGCGCAGCTACAACGAAAGACGCAATACCCATGATGACTAACGAATGCTGTGTTGCAAGAAAAACGACCTGTGTACCAATACATGGCTCCTAGCTTATATACAAAGGCCTCGCTCGCAGCGCCTGCTAATGTAAGTGGAAAATCTTGGCTTGTATACGTTAAACGACGATGTTTACCCGTCATGACGAAACACCCATGCTCGGTGGGAAGGAACTTGGCGCCAAGTACTATTTGGAGAGTCGCATTTAAAAACACTGGGTCGAGAGAAACATGGCGTGCGGCTTCGAAAGCCTTGCGTTGCTTATCTGTTGCGCATACATTGGGCACGGTGCAGGCTACAGCTCGTTTCATTCTCCTTGAAACGCGCAACCCTTGGACAAAGGCTAGACTTGCCCTTCATTCGAGACTCGCCGTGCTCAATATCACCTGTTCAACTAGCTAAAGGAGATCCGATGTTCCCGCCGGTTAAACATAGTTGTTTGGAGTGCTTGGCATCGTATCGCCTTCCTGAGCGCCGCGTGACTGCGTGGAGTCCACGGGTCTTGGAACGGATCGCGGCGCTAGTCGCACCGGACTCCTGTGAAGAAGTGCACCTACAAACGGCATGGAAAATATATCTACGATTGATTTAGCATCTTGGGGTTCAATATAATTGCTGCACAGTACTTCGTCGTAAAGCAGTATGTAGCTGAAATCAATTGTAGCTAGCTTATTTATCGGAGGGTCTTGCCCAATCACATATCGTAAGATGTAGGTAATGACAGATGGAGCTTGAACTCAAGAGTTGAAGGAAGAATGAGAATCCGGATACGCTCACCGGCGTTTCCAAGGTCCTCGGGTAGCCACTAGCCACCCATCTCTAATGCACCGCAGTTGGTCAAACCCCGCGTAGCGTTTTACAGCCACGCGCAGTGAGTGCGATCTAAATGGCGAGCATTCGCTTTGTCATCGGGACCATGCCATGGGCGACGGAGTTGGAGGTAGCCGAGGCGCAAATTCTGCCACCAATTGCACTAGCCTCACATCCATCGGGATAGTAGTAACTCACCACCGCAATGATGATATAAGCTGCGATGAGAAGACTACCTTCGAGGTAATTACTCCTGCCATCCAGAACAAGGAAGTTGACGACGAGTACCGTGACGAACAGCGCCACCGTCTCGAAGATGTTGAAGTAAAGCGTCATGTTCTTGTTCATGATCCAGCCAAGGATGACGATGAGAGGTGTGATGAAGAGGGCGATCTGTATAGAGGAGCCGACGGCGATTCCGATTGCGAGGTCCATCTTGTTTTTCATAGCAACGACAACTGCTGTCACGTGCTCTGCAGCATTGCCCACAATAGGAATGATGATAAGACCAATGAAAGCTTGGCTTACACCAGAGGTCTCGACCATGGGTTCGATTGCTTCAGACATGAAATCTGCGCAAACTGCGACAAGGCCCGTGCTGATGAGCAGCATGAAAATGGCCGCCTTGATAGACATCTCAGGGAGCGTCCTCGTCATTGACATCTTTCATTGAGGGCCATTGCTGCTTGTGGCGACACTGCTGGCTGGTTCCTGGTACTGGTCTGCGACTGCTCGCGGTTCATACGCTCGGGTAGGGACTTTGCGCGACGACGGGGTGTACGTGCTGCAATACGAATATTAGGAACTGGGCCTGCCGGGGCCGCATTTTGCGGATTTGAGAAGACGTTGTTGGAGAGCAGCGAAGGCAGAGCTGGTCGATACGGTCGACGGGACGTGACTGGAGCAGTATCTTCTGGCTGAACTTTTTCAGAGAAAGCCACCTTGGGTTTCGCTGCTATTGCTTCACCTGCCGGCTCTTGCTCCTTGTTGCGGTCTCTTGTATCACGCTTGCTCTTTTTCCCCTCATGCTTGTGCTTGCGCTTCTCGCGTTTGGTGTAAGGAGCTGAAGCAGAAGACGCGACCTCAAAGTCTCGGGCTCTAGGGGCGTACTGATCGTCATCGTCGGCCTCGTCGCCACTCATGACGTAGTTGAAGGAGCGCTGGCGGGTTGTTGCAGGTGCATCGAGTGCGGCATTCGTGGCACTGCCGTTTCTTTCTTCATCGAAGGGACTTTGAATCTCAGCGGAGGGTGAAGCCGGATTAGAAGGTGCATGAGAGTCCTTGGAAAGAGAGCTGGATTTACGGCGCAGCCTCTTCACCATTCGCTTCGCCTTCCTCTTCATAGTCCCATTGGATGAGTGTGCCGAGTTTTCGCTGTCACTGCTGCTAGAGCTGGAAGAGGAACTGGAGCTGGAAGAATCGAAGACATCAGCGAGAACACCTGGATGAGACTCTTCGTCGATGATATGCTGAGGCGTACTAGCGTACAAGTACCTATGGCTCTTGAGTTGGAACAAGAGATACAGGCCATAGACGAGAAGCAGGACGATACTAGTGATGCGACTAACTATCAGTGTTTCGTGGTCGGCAATCTCGTTATCGTTGAAGGCCGAGTGGAAGGCTGTTGGTAGGAGAAGACTCATGACGGCCAAGGCAAGCATGACACCACTCATCTGGGTGGCGGTGTTGTTGTAGACCTGCATGCGTCAGTGGATGAAAACGATTGGGCATGGTGGACCATGAGCTTACTTGTTCCTGGTACTTCAGACCGCCGAGAAGGAAGGCCATGCCTAGGATGAGCAGCAAGTTGGCTAGGATAGAGCCAAGCAGCGAAGCTTGCACAACCTCAATCTGATCGGAGGCGAGCAGGATGATGAAGAGAATTAGCTCGACTGCATTTCCGAACGACACGTTGAGGAGTGCACCCAAAGCATCTCCAACGCGTGCAGCGACCACCTCGGTCGCGTGCGCCAAAAGACCAGCGAGCGGAATGATGGCAATAGCGTTCATGGAGAAGACAATCTCGGGTTTCAGATGAGCCAGTTTGGATGCAATACCGATAGGCACAAACACCAACATGATGTTGATGTAGCTATGGGTCAAAGCATTTTTGGTGTGTTTAAGAAATCGGATGGATCCGTCCTTGATGCGTGAGGGCGACCACAACGGACGGCTGGCCGACTCTAGGGCGGGAGATGCCTCTCCATCAGGCGCGGTATTGACGAGGACATTGCCACCGACAGTTGTGCTATTGTCGCTGCCGTCGCGCTTCTCGCTTGGAGTGTTGCTGCTGGAGCCGCCACGCTGCGGGTCGGGAACATCACGGGAAGCTGTGTGGGGGTCGTGGGTGGGTAGTGCTGGGTTGGTGTCCTTTCTGCGTCCCAAGCCAAGCCAAGTTGCCTTTGACTTGACACTGCGTATAGAGGGTTCGTCGGCGTCTCCCATCGATTGTGGTGTGTTGTGGATGAGGCTAGGGGGCAGTACAGCAAGTACTAAGAAAGGTGGTGAACAAGCACAAGAAATGAGGCGGGAAGGTCGCTTATCTATTGCTTGCTGAGCGTAGGCGCTGCAGGGCAAGCATCGGCAAGCTTAACCGGAATCGCCTTGGAACGAAGCGCCCAATGACGTCTACCGCACCACGCGCTGGCGATTGCTACGCCACACCTGCACTAGGCTGGCTTCCTCCGGGTGCGCTGGTCTGGATCTTTGTTGCGGATGCGGGCAAGCCGTCGAGAACGCAGCCATGACCGTATGCAGCTCTGAAGGCGTTGCAATCGTCGCAGCAGAGAAAATAGGCATTGCTGCTGCTGCATTCCTGCGACTTCCCCAAAGCGGAAACAACATGGACACGTGCATCAGCCAGCACTAGGTAGCCACGTATAGCGCAAACCTTGGGACTCCGGATAGCAGGTCCCAAACATCCTCTGGGCCACACTGGCATTGTTCCCGCTCCTCATCTTCACTACCGCCAACCAAGACCAGTGCTATACTGATCGCTACCACTAATATCTTTGCACGTCGTCAGCCTGCGCGTTACTCTGCGATAAGCTTCTGCCCAAGTGCTCATTGAAGCTTGTTTGGCAAAATTCCCCTCTGGAACATGGAAACTGCATAAACCCCGCACCCACAGCCAAGGGCTCGTGATAACGTGGAAAGCGTCAACAAGCCTAGTCCTATGCGCGTATGGGGAAAGGGCTCTTACATCATTCTGGCAACCTGGTGGTGGTGTTGAGAGGACCTCGGACTTTCTACCCGCACATCCATTGCGTCTTACCACGGGCTACAAATCCGAGGATTACAGCGTTATCCTTCCCTATTTCTTCATCAAGCCAGCGGCAATCTGTTCACTCACGCACCGTGACAGACTGATCGCCATGGGGCATTACCACTGGCTTGTGATGCCATGATTGGACTTGGTGAAGGGGTATCAGCCAGCTGGGCTTAGCACGTTTTTTTTCACTTACAAGCAGCTTTTGATTGTGGAGACAGTGCGGTAAGTACCCTAGAGAATTCTTTGCGACAGCAGATGATTGGGCTGTATTACGATGCCAGCCGACGGGTCACAAATAAACTTGGGAATGAGGTGTAGGTTCATGTCGTGTCCAAGATCGCTACAGCAATATAGGAAAGAAATGGAACAACAGTACCCAAATCGCTTCAGGTATAGCTCTTCCTGAGCAGACAGGTTATTACACAAGGGCAAAGCTTCAAAGAGTTTTCTGCGTGCAACTTATCACCTGCACCGGAAAGTAAATAGGGGCAGTCAATGACTTGAAGCTGTGCACTAACTTTCAACGTCGCTACTTAAGCCTAGCGATACTGTGTACAGCTTCGGGCTATTGAATAAGCCGCTATTTATTGTGCTATGGTCGCTTTCCATCGTAGTTTACAGCACGTGATGCACACCTCCGGCCTTCCAAGATTGTGCACGCCTTCTTCTGTAGCACAAGATCTTCATGTTGTGCTTCACGTTTCTTGAGAGATTGTCCATTGAGGAAGTGTATTAGATCTTTTTCCAAAGCCACAACGCATCTTTCTTAATATAGTCTCCTTCGGTGCATGCATGCACGCGCACGCGACAAACTGCCATTCCTACTCGGTGTCGCTAGCATGGCATGTTGAAACAGGGTCTAGATCATCAACATGGTGGCTTAGACAGCACCACCTCCAATCACATTCTGTACATGCAGTCAGCGCACGCGTCATAACGTTGACAACAGCACTATCTATTGATTCAGGCGGGCTGCGAGGCTGTGTATTTTGCCATCTACCTGCACCTTCGCACAATCGTCGCATACAAAGCACAGTTACCCCAGAGGTTGCGTGACACTACCTGCACTTGCCTGAGCATAGTTCAATTACACCTCAATCAACACATCTCACAGCCTAGCATTTGAATATGGGCCGTTTCACAGACATGGACGATGTAAGCCCGGTACCGAGTGAGATGCTCCGAAGAACACTACTGATAAGCTCCAGGACGAGCATCGCTTGCCCGAGGGCATGCAGCGCATAGGCTACGATGCCGACACACAGCGCTACACCTTCCGCGACGCCAACGGCAACCTCTTCGAGTCCGAACCGGGTTCCCGCTACGGGGAACTCAGACCAGCCGGTTTCGAGACGCCCCAATCGACAAGCTACACGCCACCCGAAGATATTGAAGAGCGCAACCACGCCGTGGACCGGAACCACCGCGAGGCCATGCGCACAATGCTCCCGTTCGCACTCCTCATCTTTGTATTCCTGCTGTTGGTGTTCAGAGGCGTCAACGGCAGCTTTGGCATGCGGGCTGACCACGGAACCTCGCAGGTTCTGGACTGTCATGAAGGCGGTCGTCATATTCGAGTCGAGGAGGGCGAGACATGTTGGGCGATTGCGCAGAGTCATAGTCTGGGTGTAGAGGAGCTGCTGGGGCTGGAAGGAAACGAGGACGTCGACTGTAACCGGCTGAGAGTCGGGCAGGCCATGTGCGTGCCGGTGTGAAGCTGGCACCGTGTAAGGTGGCCTCTGGACTCGTCGTTATACTACATATTATCAACTACGATGGAAAGTGCACAGGCTACCTCAAGGTGCACACAAAGCCCTGCTTTCGCAATCGAAGTCAAGCTATACAGTGTACAGTGTCGCGCTGTTAGACGCCCTTGTGCGTTTTCCGTCGTAGTTGATAACCTGCAGTAAATTCAGCCTGTCCGTGCCGTTGCTTTTCAGTCCATTGACCGCCGGTTCTAAATGGAAATGAATGTGTTCTGTCTTTCTTTTATGCAATGGTGAAGTCAGATCCAATCACGGGAGCCTTATTGTGCTTGTTGCGCCATACCGCATTATCGCTAGGGGAAAGAAAAGGCTTGGCGATTGAGCTCCGGCCGCACCTGCACGCTTTCCAACCTCATCGCCATCCTCTTACAACCACCAATTGCACCCCCAACGCTCCCCGACATATCTTCACAATGGCTGGCGGCGGCTCCGATCCCAACGCGCGGACCAAGATCACGTACGTCTCGCCCGCAATCGCTCCTACCATCCTTCCGCCCTTCGCTCCAACGCCGCACACAGCACACACACACATAGGCTAATACGACACATACAGATGGCACATTGGCGGCTGGGGTAACCCATACGAGGGCGGTGGCCGACCAGGCAAGGGCGTCGTGACATATGCTCTCAGCCCCAACCGACAGCGCCCTATGGCCAACTTCATCGCCAAAGGCTTCTGGAACGTTGCGCGCCGATCAAAGAACCAGATCCTATACATCATCCCCCCCTTCCTCGTCGCATACGGAACTATGCAGTGGGCCATTGAAAAGTGAGTTCTGGACAATCAGGCGTAAGTGTAGATGGATGGGTGGGCTGACGTGGTGAATCTAGGAACGAATTCTACAACTCCAAGACTGGTCGTGCGCTGTTCGGCGACGAGGAGTAGATTTGATGGAGCTGGATCTGCCCATTTAGGAGACTGGCTCGTGGCGTCTGCTGAACATGACATCTCCTATCGAATTGATGAATAGATTGTACAATCAGTGATTTTCATTTCACTCTATGACGTATCACCCGCTACATACCCGTTCACTGTGTGTCTGTGTGCTCTCACATTAGCCAGTGACAACATAGAAAGGAGAGATATTCAAGTCAACTTGCGATGTAATTCTTCGTACATCTATGCGAATCATTCGCTTTACTATTTTACAGAACCACCACTATGCACATGTGGTCGTCAATCTAACATGAAAACACCATGGCATGCTAAGATGGAGAGTGGGATGAGAACCAAACCGATACCCGCTCGCCATGCCCAGAGAACAAGTACAAAAAGAAGCAGGGATCGACACGTTTATTGCCGTGAATCGATGTCCTTGAACGAGGCGGGCGCTGGCGGCACAAGAGGCCCCTTGACACCATCATCACCTTTGGGCTCAATCAAGCCCGGAGCCTTGCCGTACTCGCCAGAGAAGTACTTGTGAAAGTCTGCCGGGTCCTCGAATGGTCTTGGTCCTAATAATCTGATCATGTCCTCGCGGCCCAGCATCTCCTTCTTCAACAGCTCCTCAGCAACAAGGCCGACCTCGTGCTTCTTCTCCGTGAGTAAGTCTTTGCACTGCGTATACGCCTCATCGACGATGCGCTTGACCTCCATGTCAATGTTCTTCGCCGTGTCTTCGGAGAAAGGCTTCGTCAGTTGCTGGCCCTGGTCCGAGTCTTCAAAGTAGATGTATCCGATCTTCTTGCTCATACCCCATTTGCTGACCATGGCGGTGGCCATTTGCGTGACTTTTCGGAAGTCGTCGGACGCGCCAGAGGTCACAGTGTCAAAATGCAGTTCCTTCGGACACACGCCCACCCAGTGTCATGGCCATACGGTCCATTAGCTGGTTGACGTTCATGAGATATGTGTCACCATTGGGCAGGTATTGTGCATAACCTAGGGCACCTTGGCCTCGAGGTATGATGGAAACCTTGAGAAGAGGGTCGGCCCACTTGAAATACCACCCGCAAATGGCGTGGCCAGCCTCGTGGTATGCAACGGTCTTCTTCTCCTCGGGCTTGAGGACCAATGATTTCTTTTCCAAGCCGCCAATAACACGTTCAATGGCTTGCTCGAAGTGCACCATGGTGACTGTTTCTGCTGAATAACGGGCAGCTGGCACTCGTTAGTTAAAGTCATGGTCGTGCGAAGAATACACGCTTACCTATCAGAGCTGCTTCGTTGACGCAGTTGGCAATGTCGGCACCAGAGAAACCCGGAGTCAAAGCGGCAAGTCTGCCCTTGAGGAACTCGATGTCTTCATTGGTGATGATTTTCTTGATATGCACACCGAAGATCTGGGCCCGGCCGTCCATCGTTGGTCGGTCAATGCCAATGTGTCTGTCGAAGCGGCCGGGTCGCATAAGAGCCTTGTCCAGTACATCGGCTCGGTTGGTGCCTGCGAGGACAACAACTTGTTCCGTGGTGTTGAAGCCATCCATCTCTGTTAGAATCTGGTTGAGTGTGGCTTCACGTTCATCGTTGCCGCCGCCGAAATTTGACTTTGATCGGGCACGTCCAATAGCGTCAATCTCGTCGATGAAGATGATGCACGGTGTGCTCTTACGCGCGTTGGCAAAGAGATCGCGCACACGCGATGCACCAACACCGACGAACATCTCAACGAACTCAGAGCCACTCACACTGAAGAAGGGCACACCAGACTCGCCAGCTGTGGCCTTTGCCAGTAGTGTCTTACCGGTACCTGGAGGGCCAGACAGGATGGCGCCACGAGGGATCTTGGCACCAAGCTTCTGGAAACGTCCAGGGTCCTTGAGGAAAGCGACAAACTCCATGATTTCTTGCTTAGCCTCGTCCATGCCGGCAACATCGGCGAACTTGACCTTGATATCGGTCTCGTGGTTGAACTTCTTCGCCCGACTCTTGCCCATGCCAAAGATGCCGCTACCACCTCCACCTCCACCGCCTCCGGCACGTCGTGTGAAGTAGAAGAGGGAGCCGAGAAGCAGAATCGTAGGACCGAAAGAGAGGAACGTGCCGAACCAAGAGATTTCGTTGGAGTATGCAACGGGTATGCGCTCGGAGCTGGGAATGCCGAGCTCGTATTGTGCGTCATCCATCTTCCTCTCGAAGGCCTCGACGGAACCGATGGTGAAGTAGTAGTAGAAGTTCTGGTTGACGGACGGGGAATCAGGATACATGGACGCTACGGCCTCGCGGTGCAGGTGAACCTTGGCCTTGTTGCCGTTGAGAATGACAATCTTCTCGACTAAGCCCTTGTCCAGGAATGTCGTCCTGAACTCTTGCCATGTAATCTCCTTGGTGTTCTCGCCGGGGAAGATCATCTTGTACGTGAGGTAGGTAAGGAAGGCGGTGATCAGAATGGTATTGGTGTCCATGGTGTTGCCCATGACGCCGCCAGAGCCAGCGGGGCCGCCCTTGGATCCCTTCTCCTTCCCTTGTGGTCCCGGATCGTGGGCGCCAGCTTTTTGCTGTGGCTCCTCGCTGCCATCATCCTTGAAGCGCTGCTGCTCAGCAGCTTTCCGTGCCATGTTGGTGGTCAACCGTGAGATCTTGGCCGCTGTGGCTAGGTCAAGCTTCTCCCCGCGCGCCAGCTTGTCCATCTCCTGGCGCAGTTCCGGCGGGATGCCCGTCTTCTTGATCTCGTCCATTGCGTCTTTTATTGCCTGCTTCTGGGTCTTGGGCACGCCCATGGACACGAATGAGACCAGCTGGTCAAGCAACTTCTCCTCTTCGGGTGTGAGCTTCGACATGTGCTGCTGTGCGTCTTTGCCGCTCTTTGCGGTCTCGGGCTTCTCTGTCTGGCCGTCCGTTTTCGCGGTCTCGTCATTGCCATTGTCATTGTCTTTGTCCTTGTTGTTCTTGGGTTCCTGGGGGGGGCCTGTCGCAAATCTCCGCGCGCGCTGCTGGGCGTATATGCACTGTGGAATTGGTACTCGTCGTCGCAGGGTGAGGGGAGCTCGCGATGCGGCAGTCAGACTTGGCCTGGCTATCCGCGCTAGCTGACCTGACCGGCGGAGGAGCGTCGACATGCTGGGTGGGTGGCGGGCAGGATGCGATGGCGAGGGGGGATGTTCGAGCGTGTGTGTGAGGTGTGGGATGCCGCGCCTGGGATGTGCTACGGCGGGACGGTAGCAGAACGGTCGTGATGTGGCGGGCGGGCGCTGATGGCGAGAAATGCTCTAGCGGGCGACAGTCGTGACGAAGTTGATCGATGCTCCAAATTCCGCCGGCCGAAGTCTGACTAGTCTGAGTCTGGCCACAGCTACAACTACTACAACTACTACAACTACTGCAACTACTACAACTACTACAACTACTACAACTACTACAACTACTGCAACTACTACAACTACTACAACTACTGCAACTACTACAACTACCACAACAACTTGCATACCCCACTTTGATTCTTACCCACTCCGGTTCTTACCCATCTTCCGTAATCCACCGTTTTCGGCCATTTCCTTTGCTTCGCACTGGATGACCTACAGTAGATACATTGCAATGCCCTGTCAGCACCATCGGCCCTCGTTCCGACCACGTCCGCAGCACCATCCATGTACCGGTAGCCCCGTCTTTGAAGGTTTGCACAAATAGAGCCTCCCTCGCACCTTCCTCGTTCTTGCATACATCAATTCCATCGCTACCATTACATCGCCTTTCAGCATGCACGCCCTCTCGTACATTTCATCGTTACCACTCCTTGCAATAGTCATCGCAGCACAGCTGCAGGCTAACACAACCTACCTCATTGCCCCGGCCCTTGTAACAAAGCACAATCGCACCGTGGTCGAGTGCTGGAAGATGGCCGCTCCCTTTCGACGTTCCTCCACGCCCGGCGTCAGTGGTGCCCAGGTTGCCACCCTAGGCAACTTCACCAATCTTGCCTACACCATCTTACCGCCGCGCTACGATGGTGGCTTACATACGGCACCTGCCCCACAGCTGGTTCACTTCCTCTCTGGCGTTGCGCATGTTACCGCCCCTCAAGATGATTCCGTTAGCCTCTGGCTAGTTGGAGGAAAGTCCGGCTTACTCTTCGCCGTTGACACTGCTGGAGCCGGGCACATCACCCGATATCCCTCTGATCAAGAAACAGTTGCTATCACGGCACCATTCGCGGGTGGCAAGCTGCCAGATCATGAGGTCCTTTTCGAGGGGCCTTGTTTAGGCATGCAGACTTTTGCCTAGTGCTATTAGGTATTCCTTAAGTCATCATCGCACTGCACCCGTAAACGACATCCATCAAGCTTCATTCTCAGGCGTTGTGGCTTCATCTCCCGCCCTCGGTTGGTGCTGACATTTTCTAGTCGCATGTCGTTATGCGGCTTACGGTGCATACTGCACCGGTTATTGTGCTGCATCGATACGCGATCAGCCCTACTGCTTTAGCCGGGCTCACGCCTGCGAACAAATGTTGTGGCGAGTGGCGCTCCTTTCAAGCTGGGAAATGTGCTCGATCCAGAATATTTAGCCTTGTTGAGACATTCCACTTCTATAAGACTTGACGACTTCTTTAGTGTCGTGAGTGTGCGCGTCTCTACCTTGAGTCAAATCAGATCGCCATGCTTCTGTCTGCGAAAGTCATTATTGCATCCCTGCTGGCCGGGTCCAAAGCGGCCTTCTATTACCCAGACGTGCAAACGCATCTTCTCGAGCATATCCTGGTTGACAATTGGGGTACATATGCTTCAAACTTTTCTTCTGCCATCACCCCTTGCACAAACTATGTCACGCAAATAGGAACCGCCGCGCTTAATAGTGGCCGCACGACCGCCGCACAATGGATGCGAGTTCTGTTTCATGACTTTGTCACCGCAAATGTCAGTGCAGGAACTGGCGGTGTCGATGCGAGCATTGGTTTCGAAACCGCACGCAGCGAGAACTCTGGTAGTGCATTCAACGATAGTTTCACATTCTGGCGCCCGTTTGTGAACAATGCAGTGTCCAGTAAGCAAGTCCAACCGGGAGATGGGGTGAGGTGCTGATCGAGTCGCAGTGGCTGATCTCGTTGCCCTCGGAACCGCCATGTCCAACAATCTTTGCGGTGGTCGAAATATTCCCTATCGTGCTGGCCGTATTGATGCTACATCAGCAGGCTCTACGACTGGCGTACCCGCTCCAGAGACCGACCTGGAGGAAACCTTGGTCTTTTTTGAGCGCGCAGGCTTCGACAAAGTAGATTCCATAGGTTTGACTGCATGTGGGCATACCATGGGATCTGTGCATCATGTTGGTAAGCTTCAACAATACGGCTTCTTTTACTAACCATCCCAGGGAGGGTTCCCTGATGTGGTCGAGGAGATTGCCGTCACGCCCAACAACACAAATGGTGGCAGCAACTTCGATAGCACGCGTGGCGCTTTTGACCCGGCAGTATTGGGCGAGTATCTCCACGGAACGGGGAAGAGAGGCGGACCGCTGGTGACATCGAACAACGTTACCACTCGTTCAGATCTCCGACTTTACGAGAGTGACCAAAATGCAACTATGCAAGCTTTATTTGCTCAAGGAGATACCTTCCTGGACACCTGTGTCGGTTTGTTCAATCGCATGATGAACACGGTCCCCACAGGAGTACAACTCGGACCTGTCATCGAAGCCTTAGCCGTCAAGCCAATGCAACGTTACCTTCGACTTCGATGCACATGGGAAGTTGAAGCTGTCCGGCAAGTTCAGAATACTCACTGGGGCTGATGATTCGCCCACCATTGTTGTTAAGTTTCCGTGTATCCAATCACACTAGCGAGTTGCTACCAGAGACGGCAACTGGCAGCTCAACCTTCGGTCGAGATGGAAGTCGTTACGGTAAATTGACGTACTTTCCCTTCTCCGTATCCGGCCCAGATCTACGGCGCATGACTTCATTCTCTGTCGAATCTTCGACTGTCGCGGTGCAGTCCTTCGCAATCACTGGGACAGCTTTTGTAGTACCCCGCTGGACAACATTGGTCGATGACTACCTCAATATTACTCTCGCTATATCATCTCCACACACCTGTGAGGACGTTTCGCTGCGAATTGCTACGGCTGTTCCGCAGCATGGCACGCTGGCGCCGGTACTAAAGAGAACTGAACTTGCCCTAAGTCAAGCAAAGGATGCCGTTGATAAATACACACTCTGCACTACTGTTGCCACGTTAGATAGCGACCATATTGGGCTCATTACTCTTAAGGTCGAGATGCAAGGCCCAGATACTAGATACGTATCTTGTGAATAGTGGCGCAGCAGGCTGGTAACGATTGAAAGAGTTACAAAGAAAGGTTTTGTTAGGCAATATAATGTTATTAAATACTAGATACATAACGTAAACCATGACCGAGCCGGCTACATCACCGAACCGGCTACTTTTTCCTTAGCACTACTCTTTCTGTTATAACTCTACGAGTTTGAAATAGTTTTAAGATATTATTTAAGATATACAAAGCTCTAATCTAGAGCTTTCTAATGCTTTAAAGATTACCTAATTAAGCCTAGTATAGCTAAGATTAGAGCTAAGTAAAGTAAGAGAGCTTACTTAGCTTTAAACTCTAGTAACCTATATTATATAGCAACGTAGTAATCTATAACTTTTTAAAAATAATCTATATAATAAAGAGAAATAGTATTAGAACCTAGGCCTAAGAGGCTAGAGCTAACTAAGCCTTAGATATAAATACTTATTAACTACTACTATAGCTTAGTAGCAATTTATCTCTAGTCTTATAGAATAATATACTCTTATTTTTATTGTTACTATATATCTAGTATCTATTAATGCTATATTATCTAATAAATAGATTCTAGATTTTTAGAGTTTTTTATATACTAGTTCTAGAGATATTAGAACTAGAATTAGATTTTCTAGGTATATTATAGATAAAAAATTAGATATTAAAATACTAAGTATAAAACTAACTAAGTAAAGAAAAACTTTAAAGATAATAAATTTTTCTAGCTTTATTTCTTTATAGAAAGACTATGCTTAGATAGATATAAAATTATATAGAAAACTTAGTTAACTTAGATTTATATCTAAAAAGTTTCTTAATAAAAAGCTTATAAGTAGTGCTTCTTTAGCTACTTATAATCTACTAGTATATAAATAAAAGAAATTAAGAAGTAAGAGAAGCTAGATTTAAACTAATATATAAAGAAGAAGATAAGCGCTACTAAGTCTTTTATTTAATTTCTAGGTATATATGCAAATATATCTATACTATCTCTCTCTTAAGATATAAAGCTATATATCTCTTAGAGCTTAAAAATATTATTTTATTTAATAACTAAGTAAATATAGCTTACTTTAAGCTCTAACTTCTAAGATAGAAAGTATTTATTCTAGATATAAATGCAAAGTAGAGATATTATTAAGAAATAAGCTAGACTAAAAGAAGATAGTAACTACTCTCTACTATTAGTATAAAAAAGTATTAAAAAAATATAAGAATATATAATCTAGTACTAGTTAATAGCTCTAAGTAAGGCTTATATAAGCACTAGAAACTAATACTAGAAACTTCTTAAAAATTAGCTTAAGTAATAATAACTACTCTACTCTAAGCTAAGCTTAGTAAGTTTATAATTTATATAGTACTTATAATTTATATAACTATAGTAGCAAAACTATATAAGCATATAAGTTAAGAATAGATAAAGCTATCTATCTAGCTATAATCTTCTATTTCTATCTATAAGTTATACTACTATTATTGCTATTATCTTATAATCTAAATAACTTTCTATACTATATTATATTGCTATTATAACTAGTCTTACTTAAGAGTAACTATAAAATAAGTCTTATGCGTTTAAGATTATTAGAGTATATAAGCTTACTAGCTCTATAAAGATAAGATCTAATATATTAGTAGCTCTACTATTCTCTACTATATATTATAGACTAGTCTATAAACAACTTAGCAGCATAGCTAAAGCTCTAATATACTAATAATATCTTTTAATATTATATTAGAGCTAAAAACTTTATAACTATAATAATTAATAGTAAGTAATTACAGCAATAATAAAGGCTATTTCTTAGAGTATAACGTTTAATTTAATTTGCTAAGCAGAAGTATTAAAGGCTTACTATATAAAGATTCTACTCTAGCGCTATCTTCTTAATCTTATTTCTAGCTTCTCTCTACTACTATAATATCTTATATTACGTTTCTTATTTATTTCTTCTATAGTTATATATTATATTATCTAGGCAGAACTAAAGTATATGCTAGTATACTATCTAAAGCTAAAGCTCTAGCTATTCTAATCTAAGCCTCTCTATATTATTCTAATTAAGTTAGTATTAGAATCTAGGCCTAAGAGGCTAGAGCTAACTAAGCCTTAAGTATAAATACTTATTAATTGCTACTATAGCTTAGTAGCAATTGATCTCTAGTTTTATAAGATAATATACTCTTGTTTCTATTATTACTATGCATCTAGTATCTAGCAATATTATATTATCTAATATTTAAATTACTTATCTTATAATACTCTTATATATATTATTCTAACACTATAAGCTTATAGGTAGGCCTATTAGATTTTATATATTATAGAGAAAGGCCAGGCTGCTTCTACTCTGTATATAGTAGATAATAACGCAGAGAAAGTATTCTCTCTATTCTCTAGTGCAGTAATACTACTTCTAGAGAACTAGTCTAGCTTATTATAGCCTAGCCTAGATTCTGCTACTCTAACTTTAACTCTGCTAAGTAATAATATAGTAGCGTAGGCTAGGTTAGCTTCTATTTTACTCTCTTAGTTAGTAATAATTAATAATAATAGTAACTTAGCTATAATTATAAGAGAGCTAAAATAACTCTAGAATTAAGCTAAACTTAAACGTAACTACTAAGAACTAGTATAATTTAGAGAGTTAAAGCGTAAAGTATAAGCAAATAATCTATTAGTACTTAATAAGAGCTTTATTTATCTAGTTCTAACTTATAGAGCTAAGCTTATATTAAATCTTAGTGCTTCTTATCTAAAGAATCTAAAGATATTTATAAACTATAACTACTTATAGTATAACTGCTAAGTATATAACTATAAAGTAATATTTTATAAAGTACTTAATATATTTTACTCTAATCTCTATAAAGTAGATTTTATAGTAAAGTTTTTTAATAAAACTACTTACTCTACTTAAGATATATTTGCGTAGAATTAAAAATAGTTAAACTCTGCCTAGCAGCCTTTATAGGCCTAACTTAAGATAGTAATACTTAATTATCTTAGTTTTAAGGCAATTTAGCATCTTATAGCCTATAATTATCTAAAACGTACTAGGTAGCAGCAGAACTAGAACTCTAATATTCTTCTAGTAAAGATAAATATATTATAGAGTAAGCTAAGTAATTACTTAGAAGAGTAGTATTAGAATAGACTTTATAAGCGCACTACTTCTAGAGATCTAGAAAGAACCTTGTGCTAAGAGACTCTCTTAAATATATAATAGTCTCTAAGCTAAATACTCTTACTTACTACTACTAAAGTAAGATAAATAGAATAACTATCTTTCTAAAGTATCTAGCGCTTAAAAGAGAGAGTTAATATAAGATCTTACTAGATTTATACTTAAAGCATTTATAGAACTAGAAGAAAGCTAAAAAGTCTAACGTAGTAAAGATAGAACTAAAGCTAGCTAGATAGGCTTAAGATAGCCTAAAAGACTCTATATTAGTCTATTAGAGCTATAATAAGCCTAAATACTTCTAGAGAGAGTATCTAGAGTTTAAGAATATAAAATAAGAGGTAGCTATTATAAATCTATAGAAAGAGGCATAGCAGTCTTTATAAGATGCAGAATACTAACTAGAGAGAGTTAGCATAAAGATTAGCATATAAGAACTAATAGATAATGCTACTCTATAGAGCATATAATTCTATAGGCTTAGTAGAAAGTAACTATAGAATAGTTACATGCGTTCTATAGAATTTTATAATATTCTATAATATCTTATATATAAGATAACGTAGAATAATATAGAATATATAAGATAATACTAGTATATAGATAAGGCGCAGAACTTTTATAGTTTAGTATCTTTAACTTTATACTTTAAGTTACTTAATATATTATACTCTTTATAGAAGCTTATTCTTACTATCTTAGTATACTCTACTTCTATATCTAGTACTACTTTACTCTATCTATAAAAACTAACTTAAGCTCTTTAATACTAGCTATCTAATTATTAGCTATTTAATAGATTTTAATACTTTAAAGACTCTTAAGATAAGTAATATAGCTATAGATATATCTAAGTTCTCTTAGATCTATAGATATTCTACTCTTAAGGCTTAGAAGCTTAATAACTTCTATAGAGACTATAATAAGCTTAAGAACTAGATTCTTTAGTTTAATTAACTATTCTATATTAAAGAAGATAAGATTAATAATAATAATAAAGTTATTTTAGTCTTTACTTATATAAAAAGAGATACTAAAAAATAAGTACTATCTATTCTTAAAACGTATATAGATAATAATATTAATAATGCTAATAATACTATACTTATAGAAAGCTAAGATATATTTAAAACTTATCTTAAGTAAATATTCTCTCTAATTAAGAAATTCTTAGTTATAAAATAGAAAATCTAATATCTTAAATAAACTAAGTTAGCTGCTAACTATACTATAATTTTCTAATAATATGCTATGCAAACCTAATAGAGTAATATTACTCTTATAAGAATATATAAA